CGCTTTTCTAATTCTTGTTGTGAACAAATTTCGATTTTTTTACGCAAACAAGAGAGCTATGCTTAAAGATGTGGACACGGAGGGCAAAACGAAATATTTCATCATCAATCCCCCAAAATCATAGGCTGTAACTTACCAGTACCTATATCAGGATAACGTTACAGAGACTCTCACAGCTTTTTCAGGTCCTGTGACGATGATCTTACGTGTTTTGTTAATGGCAGGATTCCAGCGAATCTATGTTTACATTATCGTGCACGAAAATTCTGAAGATTCAGATCAGGGTTTAGGAGCCATGTCGTGGTCGGGAGAAACTTTTGAGACCTCATGCTCATTTCATATTTTGAATTTAATACCACGGTTATCTTATTAAGCAAGATACACATTACTTTACCAAGAATTATGTTAAAATATCCATCTGTAACCAACAATAAGAATTTGAAGTTGAAGTTTATCATATTCTTGGTTTGAGAAAAATTTGGAGTTAAGCTATGAAATTTTCCCAATAGAAGACGATATGTTAAGGTATTATGCACGAAAGTGTTCTTTGCAATTTTGCTATATGCCTTCAGAATCTGAATACTATACTTGTTTTTTCCCCACGAATATCTCGACTTTTATCTCCACCACCACGCTTAAAACAACCGTAAGATTGGGTACATACGCTACATAAGTTTTTGTAACAATTTGATCGGCTACAGACCTTGAAACCTAGTTTGGAAAAAATTTGATATCGCCCTATAAAACTCAGATTCTGAAGCTGCAAATTTTATATGTGAAGATAGCAATATGCTTGAACAAAACCTTCACTTTCCTGATAAATTGTGAAATTATTGCAGTTCCAAATTTAGAATTATATAAACTTTAATTTTTTTACAGTTAGAATAAACATAAAAATGTGTGATGTTTGTGTTTTATATATTACAAAATGAGTGAAGAAATTCAAAAGCACTTACAGCTATTGAATATTATAAATAAATAATCCATAAAGTAAAACGAAACCTCAACATTTATTGAAAGTCTCGATGCAGATAATCATTAATTTAATTACCGAATGAATTATATAACCAATTTAAAGCCAAAATACTAATTACCGGTACTCAACATCTATTGATGATACAAAGAATCAGTTTGTGCTCAAACAAATTTTTCACATATATACGGTAATAATCCAGAACAATCATAGTCATTTAATGAATTTTCCGTCAAATGGACGCAATCTTCATTTCCCGCAGCGTTATCAGGTTGTGGATCTATCCAAGGAGTATTATCTGCGGTGGAAACGACGCCATCCTCCCAAATAAAGTTGCCTTCATTTTCAATATCATTCAATCCAATCCACACATTTTCCCCACTGGCGAGACTGATTAAATGACTGGGAATTAAAAACATTATTGAATGTTTATTGATGATAACTTGATAAGAGTAAAATATTGTTTTTGTAATATATAAAAAACATAGTTAAATAAACAACACTATTCCGCAAACATATCATGCAGCTATTTGTATAAATAATATTCTGATATAAACATAGCAAGTTCTTTCAATGTGTATTGCATTTTGTAATCGAACTTATACTTCATCGCTTTCGTATTTGAAACAATAATTCAATACTCACTTTCTTATTGAAGAATCGCGAACACCAACGGAGCTAACTTGCCCTTTTTCTCTTGACAGTTTGCTTTGGCAGTCGCATAAGAAACCTGGTCCAAGAACATTTTGTAGTAAAAGTTGTTGCTTGCTTTATACCAGGTTTTAAGTTTTTCTGTAAAATAGTTTAGTGAATTGATGGCCGTTACGTCTTTATCAACGTATTTTTTTCAACATCTTATACCATTATCATACAAAACCTAACCACTTTTAATCCATCACCCCCCCTTTTTTTACTTACCCCTTTCCTTTGCAGCTTTTACATTATTTTGCAGTTGGGTGATAATATCTGTTGTAAATAAAATAAAAATTGAATTTCACAAAAAATCTTGACAATAACGTGCTATTCAATGCATATGCCCACCTTGTTCATTTGGAGTCTCACAGAAACCTTCAGTAACGAGACGACCTTTAACAAGTTTGTGGATGCACAAGTCACCTAAATGCAAAAGTTTTTATTATTCGTGACTCCTTGTCTGTATATAATTTACATAAACTTGAAGTGATCATTCCAAAATGTTCGTAGAAAATGAAATAGAACAATTCACCGGTAATATATAACAAAAGATTTGAGTTTTCCTTATATTTTCATCTTTATCAATCAGAGTTATGGGAAATCGATACATATTTTGAGCTAAGTTATTCGTTTTTGAGATTACGTAGTTGAAACCAGCATCCGTACACACTACACATTATCAAAAATGTAACCAGATTTCCTGCTATTTTACAGATATATATATTAGTTGAGATGTATATTTTCGATTTTTATCCTCCATCACTATTTTTTTTCAGACTGATTAGATTTTGACAAGCATTGCTCTATTTAGTTAATGATATTTGATTTGATAAATTTTCCAAACTGATTAACTTTCAATTTTTTAGCTTAGACCAAGCATTACTTAAATAACGACACAATATAAACAAACCTGTTTTGCCAAATATCATCAGCTCGTTCGGCAAGATAATAACATACAGCAACAGGAAACAACGAAACTTCATTCTTGCAAATAGGGAATAAATTACAATGAAATTAAACTTTAATAACTTTAGTATATTTAGCTGGGAACAGTATATATAGCTGATTATTTTAATTCACTACACGTCGTTGATTAAGCTGCGTTCTATTGGCGGTGACAACAATTTTTTGGCTCATACTTAGGCTACGCTTTGGTCATATGCAGGACAAAAATACATTCTAAAGATTCCATGTTATGACCATTAAAATTATATTTTTATGATTTTTCCGTGAACATAGATGTGAGCAACTGATTTTTGTGAGTAATGTTTGTAATCAGCTCTTGATATATTAAGGTTACTATTATTATAACCGGCCATGAAAATATATTTTACATTTTAATTATTATTGGATGTTTTTGTAATCTCATTTTAGAGCCATTTAGGGTTTAATCGATGTAAAAACGTTTATATTTCTAAAAAATAAAATTCATTGCTGCATGCCATGGTAAACATTTACAGGTTACTTCGGTGTCAGCGTCAATAATTATCAGATTGTTTGAATGAAATGGATACTTGATTCATTTTATGATACATTATACCCTTATTATACATTTTATTATACCCTTGTATCTTTCTGAACATATTGATTGCATCTATAAACTTGTAAAATTTTGTATCTATGACATAGGCTCGGTTGCAAATGAGATTTCATAGGCATGAGCCCGAAACAGCAAAAATTAAGAGTACTGATGACAGTTGCAACGCACAATTGACGTCATCAAAATATTTAATAGCATTTGCAACATCAGGATCAACCTATTTCACATAAATGTGATAAACTCCCTACTACCAGACACTATGTGCTTCACAATCTACAATTTTCGATGCCACTTTGGTATGCGATCGCACTTGCTTAACGTGATCTCAATCGCATACCAGAGTGGCACCGATTGTGCTGGCGTTTAATCTCGTAAATATATTTCTCGTAGAATAACTAAAACCACTGAGATCAAACCACCCGCGACGAACAGACGAAAGACCCGAGTATCGCCCTGAGGTTATAGGTGTTTTTATCCATCGCACTGGCACTTTGAGAATATGGTCTAACCGTCTAACTGTTTGCCTGGTTCATATTCTGACCAACTGAACCAATTTCCCAGGACATGTGAATATGTATCGAGCCCAAATATTTTTTATTCCGCCTTTATCACACTTACATGCTTCTTCACTACTTATGACGTAATGTTAGTAGTTGCCGGTTGACAAGGACCTAAACAGGAAAAAATGAGAAAAGGAAAGAATATAACATATATAAAAAAGATAATAGGATTTATTGAAGTAAACTTGTAGCATAGAAAATGTGTTGTTATCGTTATCAGTGTGCATGTGGTTATTTTTAAACTATTTTCAAACTATACAACATTAAAATCAGAATTTTCCCATAATTGAAAACGAAGGATCTTTGTATCGCTTTTCTAATTCTTGTTGTGAACAAATTTCGATTTTTTTACGCAAACAAGAGAGCTATGCTTAAAGATGTGGACACGGAGGGCAAAACGAAATATTTCATCATCAATCCCCCAAAATCATAGGCTGTAACTTACCAGTACCTATATCAGGATAACGTTACAGAGACTCTCACAGCTTTTTCAGGTCCTGTGACGATGATCTTACGTGTTTTGTTAATGGCAGGATTCCAGCGAATCTATGTTTACATTATCGTGCACGAAAATTCTGAAGATTCAGATCAGGGTTTAGGAGCCATGTCGTGGTCGGGAGAAACTTTTGAGACCTCATGCTCATTTCATATTTTGAATTTAATACCACGGTTATCTTATTAAGCAAGATACACATTACTTTACCAAGAATTATGTTAAAATATCCATCTGTAACCAACAATAAGAATTTGAAGTTGAAGTTTATCATATTCTTGGTTTGAGAAAAATTTGGAGTTAAGCTATGAAATTTTCCCAATAGAAGACGATATGTTAAGGTATTATGCACGAAAGTGTTCTTTGCAATTTTGCTATATGCCTTCAGAATCTGAATACTATACTTGTTTTTTCCCCACGAATATCTCGACTTTTATCTCCACCACCACGCTTAAAACAACCGTAAGATCGGGTACACTACATAAGTTTTGTAACAATTTGATCGGCTACAACCCTTGAAACCTAGTTTGGAAGAAATTAGATATCGCCCTATAAAATTCAGATTCTGACGCTGCAAATTTAATATGTGAAGATAGCAATATGCTTGAACAAAACCTTCACTTTCCTGATAAATTGTGAAATTATTGCAGTTCCAAATTTAGAATTATATAAACTTTAATTTTTTTACAGTTAGAATAAACATAAAAATGTGTGATGTTTGTGTTTTATATATTACAAAAATGAGTGAAGAAATTCAAAAGCACTTACAGCTATTGAATATTATAAAATAAATAATCCATAAAGTAAAACGAAACCTCAACATTTATTGAAAGTCTCGATGCAGATAATCATTAATTTAATTACCGAATGAATTATATAACCAATTTAAAGCCAAAATACTAATTACCGGTACTCAACATCTATTGATGATACAAAGAATCAGTTTGTGCTCAAACAAATTTTTCACATATATACGGTAATAATCCAGAACAATCATAGTCATTTAATGAATTTTCCGTCAAATGGACGCAATCTTCATTTCCCGCAGCGTTATCAGGTTGTGGATCTATCCAAGGAGTATTATCTGCGGTGGAAACGACGCCATCCTCCCAAATAAAGTTGCCTTCATTTTCAATATCATTCAATCCAATCCACACATTTTCCCCACTGGCGAGACTGATTAAATGACTGGGAATTAAAAACATTATTGAATGTTTATTGATGATAACTTGATAAGAGTAAAATATTGTTTTTGTAATATATAAAAAACATAGTTAAATAAACAACACTATTCCGCAAACATATCATGCAGCTATTTGTATAAATAATATTCTGATATAAAACATAGCAAGTTCTTTCAATGTGTATTGCATTTTGTAATCGAACTTATACTTCATCGCTTTCGTATTTGAAACAATAATTCAATACTCACTTTCTTATTGAAGAATCGCGAACACCAACGGAAGCTAAACTTGCCTTTTTCTCTTGACAGTTTGCTTTGGCAGTCGCATAAGAAACCTGGTCCAAGAACATTTTGTAGTAAAAGTTGTTGCTTGCTTTATACCAGGTTTTAAGTTTTTCTGTAAAATAGTTTAGTGAATTAATGGCCGTTCGTCTTTATCAACGTATTGATTTTATTTTATTTTTTTAACATCTTATACCATTTATCATACAAAACCTAACCTCTTTTAATCCATCACCCCCCCCCCCCCCCCCCTTTTTACTTACCCCTTTCCTTTGCAGCTTCTACATTGTTTCGCAGTTGGGTGATAATATCTGTTGTAAATAAAATAAAAATTAATTCTCACGAAAAATCTTGACAATAACGTGCTATTCAATGCATATTCCCACCTTGTTCATTTGGAGTCTCACAGAAACCTTCAGTAACGAGACGACCTTTAACAAGTTTGTGGATGCACAAGTCACCTAAATGCAAAAGTTTTTATTATTCGTGACTCCTTGTCTGTATATAATTTACCTAACGCGTATAAACTTGAAGTGATCATTCCAAAATGTTTGTAGAAAAAAAATAGAACAATTCACCGGTAACATATAACAAAAGATTTGAGTTGTTCTTATATTTTCATCTTTATCAATCAAAGTTATGGGAAAACGATAATTATTTTGAGCTAAATTATTTGTTTTCAAGTTTACATAGTTGAAACCAGCATTCGTACTCATTATCAAAAACGTGACCAGGTTTCCTGCTATTTTACAGATATTAGTTGAGATGTATATTTTTGATTTTTATTCTTTATCACTATTTTCATTCAGCCTGATTAGATTTTGACAAGCATTGCTTTATTTAGTTAATGATATTTGGTTTGATAAATTTTCCAAACTGATTAACCTTCACTTTTTTAGCTTAGACCAAGCATTACTTAAATAACGACAAAATATAAACAAACCTGTTTTACCACATATCATCAGCTCGTTCGGCAAGATAAAAATATACAGCAACAGGAAACAACGAAACTTCATTCTTGCAAATAGGGTAAAAAGTACAATGAAATCAATATTTAATAACTTTATTATATTTGACTGAGAGCAAAATAGCTGATTATCTTAATTCACTAACGTCGTTGACAATGCTGCGTTTTTTGTACGATAACAATGGCCAAGTCAATTGGCCGATACTGAAGCTACGCTTTGGTCATATGCAGGACAAAATTACATTCTAAAGGTTTTATGTTATGACCATTAAAATTATATTTTTATGATTTTTGTGAGTAATGTTTTTAATCGGCTCTTGATATATTTAAGGTTAATATTATTATAACCGGCCACGAAAATATGTTTGACTGTTTTTGTAATGTAAGCCTTGAGCCATTGAGGGTTTGATCAATGGAAAACCTATTATATATATTAAAAATAAAATTCGCTGCATGCCATGGTAAACATTTACAGGGTAATTTGGTGTCAGCGTCAATAATATTATTATGCTCAGATTTGTTTGAATGATATGAATAATTGATTCATTTTACAATACAATACTTACCCCTATATCTTTCTGAACATACTAACTGCTTATATAAATATGTATGTAAAATTTTGTATCTATGTCTATGACATAGGCTCGGTTGCATGGCATGACCCCAGAACAGCTGAAAATAGGTATATACTGATGACAGTTCAAAACGCACAATTGACGTCTTCATAATTTTTGATAGCATTTGTAACATCAGTATCTACGTATTTCACATGAGTGATAAACTTCCTACTACCAGACAATATATGCTTCACAATCTACAAGTTTCGCTGCCACTTTGGCATACGATATCACTCGCTTAACGTGATCTCAATTGCATGCCAAAGTGGCAACGACAAAGATAAATTTATTCTCATAAAGACATTCTCATAAAATAACTAAATCACTGAGATCTCACAACCGCTGCTAAGATACCATACCAGAGTAGCACCCAATTTTCTATATTATTTAATTATATATATATGTTTGTAGTTATGCTTTTAAACAATGAGTTACACAAGGCAATTCACACCGCCCGACGGCGAACAGACGGAAGACTTTGAGCATCCCCTTGAGGCTATGGGTGTTTTATCGAGCGCTCTTGCACTTTTGGAATATGGTCTAATATAGTTTAATCAACTCGAGAAATCTGACGCGACCTCGATAAGTTAGTTACCTGTCAGTTGATAATTAAATCTGCTAAGCAGTAGATTCATTTCCACATGATAACGTTCGACCTTGTTGATATATTAGGAATACTCATCAATGTTCAAATATACAATTCCAAATCAAATTCTTAAATAATAACTAATAAAATACATGTTGTTAAATTATTTTACGGAATTCAAGGCAAGCCTTGCCATCATGGCAGCAATACTCCAGCATACAGTAAATATGGCAACCATGATGAACATAATATTTGAGTTTGACATGTTCACATCCATCCATTGTATAAAATAAGACAAAACAATCATAATAGCATGAATTAATAAAAATCCAGTGATCCCAAGAGCTTGCTTCAAAATTGAAGAATTGTGTTGCTCTTCTTCATCAATATCCTGTGCATCCGTGCAAATATCTACGATAAAAGTGAAAAGGTTGTATTATTGTTGAAATGTAAAATTGAGTATAACAACAGAAGAATGGAAGCAAAATTCCATTCAGAAGTTGATTGAATTGTACCAGAAGTCATATGCAGATGTGTACTAGATATAATATAGAAGCGTTCCAGTGACATTTCCAAAACAGTAGAAACTGGGGGAAATGGGGACTCGGGGGGATTAATATAAAAACAATTCAGTATTTTAGAAAATGGTAACATATATTACATAAAATCGATTAAAAATTTGTAATCAACAGGTCCAATTTTTGAATCATGTGAACATATTGAGTTTGTACTTGTTTCTACATAATTTTATCTCATGAAAAATGTGGTTGTCACATATGTATGCGATGTCACTTGCACAAAGTGATCTCAAACGAATGTCAAAACTTCACCAATTTGGCTGCCACGTTGTTATGCATTTAATCTCATAAAGAAATTCTCACTGAATTCAGTTTTTAACCTCAACCTTATTTAAAATCAGTAAGATCACACAACATGAGATCGCATACACAAGTAGCAGCAAATTTTGTTGTTTACCTTCCGTAGAATTTTCATTCGTACGATTTGAGGTGTTAGTCGATCTTCTGATATGCCGTTTACCGTAACGTTATAACTGGAATCAGAATCATCGATTACATGTTTCTCCAATTTGAGCATCAAATATATAAGTAGCCATATTGCAATTAGTATCAAGTACATTTCTAATGGAATGTAAAATATTTCTCGCAATCTTGCAAAACTTGACTCTCCTGGTGCATTGCCTCTAAAATATGGATAAAATGTTCATGTTGGTGAATGTTCACGAAACCGAGCATGCTCCACAGTTGAACGTTATCGAAGAACCGTGGAAGAACGCTTGAACAAGCAGAGCCCAAAATTAAATACTTAAAATGATATTATAATTAGAGTCACGACTGTTCGGCAATTAATTTTAGCGACAGAAAGACTTTAAATTTCACTGTAGGGTCTGTATTTCTAGCTGTTTTAGCGCTCTACACCAACTTGCATTGCTAGTGTGAGGTTATCAGGAAGGTCTTCAATGAACCTTAAAATCAAATTTAAGTTCAGATACAGTCTCAAAATAGGATACCTTATTACTTCAGTTCCGCAGAGAATGAGAGAGATCACAAAAAACAACAGGGGTGGTATAGCACGAAATGCAAAATGAATTTTTCTCCAAAAAGTAAGTCCGAAAATCTATAAATAACATGGATCACTTTTATGTAATAGTATAAAATCATAAAAAGTAAACGTACAATTTTTCTCATTATACCTGTGTGCATGACAGAATAAGTCCAAAACCTAAAAAATATAAGGGCCATTGTTGTCTTGCTTCTACTTCCCCGTGTCTAGTTTGAAAGGCCATGAAAGAGCCGTGGATTATCACCCATATTTCATTGAGTAATCTCCAATATCTAAAGAGAATTTCAAATATTTTACGCATTATTTATATACATCATATGAGATGAGTATAAATGTGATAACTTGCATACATTGTTAAAATTGACATGAAAATGAACATGAATTATTTGGTTAGTACAATTTAAAGATATTTTTCAGTTTCCATGACCCGCTTTGTCTAGCCTAGATTTAGAATAAAATACTATACGCTTAGTAAATTACACTTTAAAGTTCATTAAAATTCATTACACTGCGGTATTATCTAGTCTAGATAATATGCATCCGTGGCGAGAAAAAGCATCTCACCTATTTAAATGGAATCTCGTGTATATAAGACTTCCCTGCAAAAACAACATTCCTCCATGAATGAAGCCAAGTACATGTCCCCACGTGTTCTCCATCGGATGGTACCAGAATGTATATGTTGTTGCCCAGCATATTAAGTATCCGTGGTACTTACGCACGATCTTTATTGGTTCGTAATTGAGTCTGTAATTTAATATTCCACGTATCAGAATACCAGGATATATTGTAGTATTGATTACTTCCTTGTGTGTATAATTCTGAATCATGGCGGATCTACAGACTTAGCTTTCAGTTATGGTTTGTTGCTTTTTGTACAACAACGTACAAAATCTTGCTCGTTAGAAAACTAAAATAAAGCACAGTGAATATTTGCTGTGGAAATCACTTCGTTTCAAATAAGTTTAGATATATCTACCGTATTCGCTTTGCAATCGAATCAGAAGAAAGTTTTGTTGGCCACAAAAACATGAATCCGCGATCTTTGTATTCCAGAACAAGAATTAAACCAAGCACAAGAATCACGGAACCTTCCGAAGATGCTGAAACAAATGTAAATGGTCATTCGAATAAATAATGATAATAAATGGTACAAATAGGGGTGAGTCTTCTATTTTTGGGAGTCTGCGTTTGACTGTAAAAGCTCTTTAGAACATCAAAAAATTAGGCAACTTTAAGGCTTGTTTACATTTTAAGTCTTTGAAAATTTTGATATATGGATGATAAAAATGACGCTTAAATTTTACTCATACACGTTTTTTCACTTACTCATTCAAAAGCACGATGCGCAGTCACAAGCGCATGACAATCTACAATACCTGGTAAGGATTCAAATATTTATTTTCGTTTGCGAGAAATATTGTACAATTAATTTTAATAAACACATAAATTAAACACGGCACAATAAACTCTACTGCGATTGACGACTACTCGCGATAGAATATTCAAATATTTCAGCCAGTTACGTCCATATTGATGAAATCAGCAGCAGATGATGTCAAACAACCGTTTGACAATGTACAGTTATTATATATATCAAATCGGCTTTTAAGAGTTTTACTGGATAATTGCTGATACCGAATAAGAAAATCCAGGAAATATAACAGACCCCAGCCATACCCAATGCTACGTTTTGAGAAAGTCCGTCATAAGTCCAGTGTGTTTGCCCGAGATGAATAAGAAAGAACAAGGCGTTGATTATCAACACAGTCCAATTATACCAGTGTAATTTTGTTCCAAACTTTTGCGTTTCCCGACAATTCTGCTAATTAAGCATTTCAGTGTGGCCGATTGGTAGAGGTGAAGTGATTCTTTTAGCTTGAATATAAGGATTCCAATATGTTACGTGAAATATATTTTTTGATTTTATTTTGCGAAATAATATGCGTATGTTCCCTTGCATTCGAACCCAATGCGTAAAATCTAGCGAAATGATTCTTTACCAGCTTATTGAGTACACAGCAGTATGATCCCCCAGTAAATATTTTGCTATTGGTAGACAATTTTTGTAACCCATAAAAATCTGTTATGTATTCGACTGACCATCGGCATTTAGCATATGCGCCACTTTCTCGATATTCGAATACAATTATCTTCTAGTTATGAATCTAAATTGTGATTTTACAGCTCAATATTTGAAGGGGGGGGATTTTAGGCGATGTATTCGATGGTGTATACCAAAGGATTAAGAATCTGTCAAACGTAATGAATTGATATCCATCGTACATTTACAGGCACAGGGTGGTCGATGGAAATAAAACCCTCTAAAACATAATATGCATACGTTCAATATTCACTAAAATTGTATTTATGCTATTCAAATTTTGCATTACAAAACTCACCTTCATTTTATTACTTTGTGCTAGAAATATCGTAATCCATAATGAAATTTGATGAGCAGAATAACACAACCATATGATAGCTGTACTGAGGGGAGTTATTTTGTCTAACGGAAGTTTCCAATAGTACCATCTACCAGTACAACCGTTTCCATGGCGACCTAGAAAAATTGGGCGAAACTGTCAGTAGGAAAGTACAATGAAATTCTGCAAAAATCGTTTACTATTACTCTCAATACTTTCCAACATTCGCTTAAAATATATTCGAACAAGATGGTATTTAGCATATCGAAAGCCGATTCCCGACATATAATTAAAATATGGCATTTTTCTGGGTCATTTTAAATCCGTCTGTCAATTAGACAAATGCTTTACCCCCCATTATACTAAGTACCAGTGGCGGCGCGTGGTCATTTTGACAACCGGGGCAAGCTACTGCGGGACCAGGTCACCCCCATCTACGGGGACAGGATGAGCGCTGTAAGTTCTCCCATCATTTTATGGGTATAAAAACCATTCCATCGGTAACAATCAATCGGCAAAAGCGACAATTTTTAACGATAAGAAAGTGTCTTTAAAACCGGTCCAAGTCAAGAGATTAATAAATATAGACATAGTTTATTTTGAAACCTCTTTCAAAAGGAAAGGCAATATTTACCCAGATAAATACAATGACATATTAACAGAAACTTCGGGAAAGCAGACAAAACCTAAAATAAGGTTTAAAACGTTACTATGAAGAAAGGAAAGCTAATGCAAAGATAAGGACATGCGTCGCTCACTCATAGATATATATGCTGCTAGACTTCTACTGCTTGAACATATATGCAACACGCCGCGGTTTTTTGGAAGCAAAATGCTCAATAACGCGTTGATTAAAGTCGTGCATCTCAGAAATAACGTCTATGTGAATGGATGAAACAGCCAAGGAATTTAATCTATCTTGCTTCATTGTGTTTCCGAGATACGTTTTAATACGCTTCAACGTTCTGAATGTTCGCTCTGCGTCGGCGGAAGAAATAGGCGTCGTCAAAATGATGTCCAGAAATTTTGCAGACGCCGCAAAGGTAGTTACTAGAGTGTTATCTATGAGGAACCCATAGAGCGCGCAAGTTGATGTGGTGTTCAAAAAAGTTTGATTGGTGTATATACATCGCAATTCATTTTCCAATTTATCCACGTTTATCATGGGGTAAAATTTGGAGACGGTAGCCAACAAATGGATGGGAAATTGACGTGCAAATTTTGAAAAATTTTTGGGGTTCATCAAAGAGAACGCGGCAAGGTGTTCAGTGCGCAGACGATCGCCTATTTGATTCACCAGAATGTCACAGCATTCCTTTGCAGACAAAATCAAACGCTGCGTTGTTTGCCCGCGGCGTAAAGAAGCATTCATTCCATGTGTCGTCGTATTTTATTGTTTCCCGGATACGAGATACAGCATCGCAGAAGTCTGAAATACACGACTGCACAGACGCTCCATCCATTAGCCTTGACTGCAATGCGCCGTATAATACATCCACGTGATAGAATATTGTGGAGGAAAAAGCGAGAAAAAATGAAAACTCACCATCTTCTAGCAGACGCTTTAGACCTGCCGCCTCCCTCACAGAGCGTTCGTCCCAAATCGGAGAGCTCTGAATGCCATTGAAACACTCAATGAGCTCAGACCTAATTTCGGACACGCCCTGCACCACGCGTGATTGGAAGTTCCAACGTGTTGGTGCACAAGCTGGGAGACGGCGGCTACATATCTGGCGAAGGAGGTCAGAGCGCTTCGGCAAAACGGAAAAAAATGAAGAAAACCCCGAAACATTTGCAAAGAATATACGGACGCATGAGGAAAATCTTCTTTTATATAAACTTGAACACCATGTTTCGACCCACTCATGACTGCCGCGCCGTCATAAGTTTGAGCTATCCATTTTGACTTCGCGTTGTAAGGCTGTAACACTTCTTTCAGTACAGCTGATATCCCGCAAGCCGTGCGATGAACGATTGGTAAAAAGCTGTGAAATCTCTCGGTAGGTTTACCATCTTTCACAAACCGAAAAATCACAGCCAGTTGGGAAAAGCACGTGATGTCAGTTGTCTCGTCAGACTGAATCGAAAGGAACTGGCAATTCTCAATTTCCAGAGCCAAATATACAATGAGCAACCGGGGCAAAATCGGCGTCGCCCCGTCGACGTTCGGCTAAGGCTTTGCGAGCGAAAAATGAACCATGTCGGGAGAATATGGCTAGTGTAGACAGTCTGTGCAACCGATATTGAGGTATTTTTCGAATATTTTTTATTATACCGAAAAAACAACCGGGGCATTGCCCCGGTTTGCCCTATTGACGCGCCGCCACTGCTAAGTACAGAGATCCAAGTTAACATGAAATTTAAAACAACTGACGTGTTAGAAGAAAATTACTTAAAATCGATATCATCAAATTCAATAATAGACGTACACATAATAAGCAAATTTTATTATTTAAAAATCGGTTAAATAAAGTTTTTTTTTATCCCAGATCCGGTTGAAAAGTTGTATGATTTTTATTTGTGAAAACGTGAACGTATTACAAATACCTTTTATGTTTGTTTCGTTGCAATATTCTGGTTCTGGCATTAGGCGTAAACTTGATGAAGTATTGTAATGTTTGTATCCAGATGTTGCATTCCAACCCGCCTTACTTCCTTCATGTAACAAAATTAGGTTTTGTGTTTTAGAGAATGGAACTATAGCTGGATTAAATGAATTCAACTGGCCGTTTTTCAAATTATTCATAAATTGTAATGTGAAACAAAAATCTTTTACACGTTTATACTCATGTTCATCTTTCAAATCATTTAAATTGTCATTAGAACATAAATAGTGTGTTTTAATGTAGGGCTGTCAAAAAGTCAGTTAGTTATAACTAAGATATTGATGAAGATGAAAACGTCTACACTAAAAAGTTAAAATCGACGAAAAAAAGAGAGATCATTACTTTTATTTAGGTATACCTAAATTGAGGATAAAAAACAACTTTAGAAATCTGAATAATCCCTGAACGAAGACATAAAATAAACGATAAATATTTTTACAAAATTACTAAAAATTTTTTTTTTTCGTAACAATATTTCACGATCCAAGGTAAAAAAACTTATCAAAAGTATATATTCCATTTTTGTAACTTATGCGGGTCAAGCAAAGCTATCTATTTTATTATTTAACGTCTTACCTGCCACCATCATTGCCGCCATCATACAAGTTAAAAATAACATTCCCAATAACCAAGCAAGTATGTCATGACGGTACAACATTAATTTTAGTGATGGAACTCTAATTATTTTCAACTTGGTGTTTCTTTCAGTCTTTGCCTCTGTTGATGGCTCAGTTGTATTTTTAGAAGACATAGCAAATATTATAAATTCAAATACCTGACTGTTTTTATAGAAAGTTTATGAGACGTTAACTTAGAAGCAGAAAAATACTAACAAGGGTTATCCGGGAAGATCGTAAATTTTCATCATGGGCCATTCATTACTCAAGCTGTATTTGCTGGGTAGATTCAAGTGAAGGGGATTGCGAACCATATCTCAACTCGACAAAATGCAGTTTTTTTCTGACCTGTTTATTGGTATGTAATGAAAGCGATGGCTTGAATCTGGAACAGTATCAGAAAAATAACAAGGATCGAAAACATAATAGCTTCAATTAACTTTGAACGAGAGGTGAAATTTTCTCCTGGGTCAATAGAAACGCAATATTGAATCCAACTCTAAGAAAATCCTACTGAATCGAAATTATGAGGCAGACAAGAGTAAGCAATTGCCTGTCTGCAGTTAGGTACAGGCTGTACATTCGTTCAATCTTCAACTACTACCTTCAGTCATGATATTTTTATAGTTTTCCGACAATTGAAGACAGCACAACGAAAATAAAACATTTTCGAATTGTGTGCAGCAAAATATTAACAACCTGTCACTATAAAGAATAGACAATACATTCATAATCGTAATTTAGAGAATTAATAAAATCTCTTCCATGTCATACAAAGCGATTATCTAGTACAACCATAACTTAGACAATTCGTATAATTCATTGTTTTCGTCACAGATTAATTTCTTGGTAGCCTTCTTAAAATAAAAAGAGTTATTAGATACCTACACACCATACTGTTAAATTTTCCTAGACCAGACACGGCTATCTACTTATAAAAACTGTTATCTATGGACCCAGTTTGGTTTGATCATTTGTTCGCATCTATTAGGCATAAACTTATACACCATTACTCGATTAGAAAGGTGAGCCCACGCGTCATTGTATGGTCATGAGATCTACGTGCAAGAAACGACCTTATAGTGAGTCATATTCTTAAATATAAGGTAGTGGAACAACAAATATTGATTGCTTCCTTGAGAGAATAAGGCAATATTTAAAAAAACAGGTTGACTGGTATGCACGTACACACATGCAAGTAGGTATGATTCTTTTTTCTGAAATCGCAACGTTTCATCAAGCCAAATAAACTGAGCATTATGATGATATGATTCACGTGTTTGGATTTACATATTGAGTGACTTGATTTGATATTCGTCATATTATGTCACTAGCGCCAAGTAAATCATAATCGCCACCTATATTCTACAAACTCAGTCTTATGACAATGCCATAAAATATGTCTACACAATTTCAATGGTAATGTGAAAAGATAGTTGTGGTTAACATGATACTGCTTCCCAGCCAGAAATACATGATTGTGACTGTTAGTTATAGAAATAAATTAATATTGATTGATGGTTATTCTCGATCAATAATTATTTTTATCATAAATGATTTAATACAAAATCCAAAATTTTCATATTAATGCTATATAAAACTTTCACACAAGCAGTCTTACTTCTATATCAATGCTAATTTTAACCGAATGAGCATCTTATTTTGAGCAAACTTAGCGACTAAGCAGTTTGAGATCCACTCGTTTACAGCTCGATAAGACCATATGACCTATTATTAAAATGCTTTTTTTTATATACAACATTCCCTGCAACCTTTTAGTGAAACAAATCTTATATGAGATCAAAAATGACGCGCTACTTTTAATTCCTTCGAAAATTTCAGTTTTTGATCTAATTCTGTGTTTGAATAAAATTGAATAACAATACGATTAATTTTTCACCAGAACCTGCGTGCAAAATGAACACGAAATGGGGCTATGGATATTTTTTTTTATATCTTTGTTGGCCTTGGAAAAACACGATTTTTCTCACAACTAATATAAATCGGTCCATACTTCGGTACAATACTAGCTGGAAGAACCCCCTTAAATGCCATTTTTATGAGAGCAATCTTTTCAGCAAACTTAGCTACTAAGGTATGGTCTTACTTTTGTTTCTATATATTTGAGCATTGCTCTTTTGTTTGCATGAAAACTTTCATTTTCATTTTTTTGATTCAAGTCCATAACTGCTAACCCTGAGCTGTCTCGAACCTACAATGAACCCAAATGTTCGATCCATAATATTATTATATTCTGTGTTTACAAATTTATTCTTGTTTAAATAAAATAGTGTAGCAAATGAGAAGCTTTTCACAAATTGAGAAAGTGCAAATTACATTTCACACAGGACAGTAAAAATAAAAAGTAAACAAATTGAAATTAAATATTTCATTTTACTTGCTTTTTCTCTTTTCATTTTATGGTCATAAATTATTTGTAAAACCTCAAGATCTTTTCGTGCCTATTGGTGGAATCATTAAAAATTCGAAAAGGAAAATATTTAATGGAAAAATAGTCATAATCTTTTGTTGATGAAAGACTAAAATGTTCATTTTTTCACGCATTGCTAGTTATTTATTAAAATGAATAAAACTTGGGTAATGTTTTGATATTGTAAATTATTTTTATTGTATCTTCCCCATAAATGAATCCCCAATTCCAAACGAAGATTGATCACACGTCGCCGGCAAAATATTTGTGCTGTTTTTCATTTCTTGATATAGCAAGTTTTCTTCGTTCCTTGCAATATTTCTGACACTTGCCGCACAACTTTACAGCTACCTTTTCTGTAGGAAAAGTCAAAAATGTATGTGCAAATAGTTAAAGGAACCAGTTTTTCATTTTTACTCTTAGCATTGACAGAATTCAGAAGCTTTTCTTTCTACTATTCAAAAAGACAAAGATTATGGTTACCACCATCAATTTCAATTTTTTTTATAACCTTTGTTGATATATTGTTAAAAAAATTTAGTTAGAATTTTATTCCAACTTACTCCAGATAGTAGAGAACAAAATTGGATCACGCTTGTAAACATTTCCAAATTCTGCACATGTAACTGTGAATCCATTCAAATCCCTATCACATAAATTAAATACATCACAAAACGAGGGTTGTGAAGAATATTTCTGAAAAAATGAAGTGTTAGAATTAGACGAGTCAGTATTTTAAAGACCATAATACACACTTTAAAAATTTTCTTCCCCAAAATCTTACAAGCCGGTGCGCCTAAAGTATGGATCAGGTAGTGCTTTGTGTATTATTGTCTGCACTCGAAACCAGTACCGGTACTACTATTTTATAAAAAACGGCCATTTTTCGCTTTTTTCGAATAAAATACAATAACCACTGAGCTTTTTATTGAATGAGCTTTGTACGGTAACTCGATAACCATTAAAAAACGTTGAGTCTTATAGGCCTGTGCGCCCTATGTATGGACATAACCCACAAGATGGTATATAGTTGTAAAATTCATTTTCTTTATTCACTTGTTGAAAGAATTCATTAGTTCCAAATATTTTATATCATTTGTTTTTTTCATATGAACTATAGCTACACTGAATGATACTGGTTAACGCAAAAATTAAATCACTTTCAAACCAGATCGTCAGATCATGAAAACGTGAGTTTATAGAAAGCATAAGTAGACTCATATTGAGTTGTACCAACCTCCAAATCCATTTCATCGTCTGGTTCAAAAGCCCTCTCATATTTGGCTTTGAAACTCACAAGATCCGGTACAATTTCTTCAACATTCATTTCGTCCAGAAAGTCTCGAACGTATTCTTTCTCAGATTTTTTATCTGAATTTTCACTGTAGTCATAGTCCTCAAAAGGTTGAGTTCCTAAGATATTTACATTCATTAACATTGTGTTTGAATGCTAAGTTAATAACATAGTGGATTTACTAATTTAATTTTTAGCAAAGTTAAAATATGAACTTACCCACGCAAATAAAACAACAAATGAGAAGAAGAGTAATCTTCATTTCGATAGTCAACTTCAACAGTTTGTATATAGAGGAATACAATCATTGAAAAATTGAATTATTTAATCAGGGGCTCTGTTGAATTATATACAAAAGTGAAAAAAAAAACGATTACATTCAAGTTAAACAATAAAAATAGCTTACAATGCAAGGAGAATTTTGCATGAGAATAACAAGCTCGACTTAGAATTTTAAACATGATTGCCGTTTTAGATTCATAATGTATATGAGTTTTGAATAAGCAACCAAACATCTTATAGAGAATCATTGCTAACAAAGGACTTAAAAAAAATGTCTGAAAATCATGCAACAATAATAAAGCTATTGAATAGTTTGGACTCTTTATTCGTTTCGAATAAACTTTATAAAGTTAGCTCAATACCTGTATTTTTGGGTGCAAACGGGGTTTGGACTAGAAACGTAACTCTACGCAAAAATTCTAGTATAAACGCTCATTCCGTTTAAAAATGGAGTTCTAGCACATAACTTGAACTGAAAACTTGAGCCGTGCTCTCATGCCAAAACCATAATTGTCATGTTCATATACACATGGCGATCATGCATTTATACTAACTTTTTTGTCAGATTGAAACAATTATAATTTATATTTTTGTAATTTATAACTCTATAATGACTCGTATCGGATACAAAAAAGCAATTAACGCCTAAAGCGGAAGAGGAACTCGAAACCGTGTGGTAAATCATTTTACATTACCCCATTATCGATACCAACTTCCTGTATAATTATTATTATATTTTGCTTCTTTTGACAGTTCTGAACGGGATTTCATAAAGCAAATTTTAAACACTAATGACACGAAAAATATGAGTTTTTTTTTTTCACTGTTTTAACTTTCTGAGCAACCCACTTCCAAAATTTTACCAGCATAAAGTGTCCTTTGTATTATGCAGAATTTCCTCTTTGGCTCGTATGCTCATCAATAATGATAATAAGCCAACAACTTGAATTTCGCCTATCAAAATTGAAATCAGATTTATCACCAATCGAGCCAAAAAAACATCATCATTTCAGGAATCGATCAAAAATCAAACAACTTGAATTCCTGGCGGTATGTCAATTTAATAGGCAGAAAACCCGAACGTGGCAGAATTTAGATACAAAACAAGGTATTTGGACTTGGACATACTACGATCAGTCTAACAACATGACTAACTCAACTCCACGTCTAAATTCAACTATTCGCGTATATATACTTTTATTCTCAAGAATCAACGCAAATTTTTTGAATTTGTCAACCTCATAGAACTTCGAAATAACAGGACAACTTCATATCATTGCTTGATTTTCAAATGTGTTTTCCGACAATAATTTTTGTAATTGTCCTGGCAACAGGAGACCAGCTACGCGGGAAATAAGATTGAAGTTATACCATATCATTTGGGGCGAGCAGATGATATAAGCAAGCCGATTTCTCACACCAAGTAGCAGCATTTATATCAATTATCAACTATTGTTAGACGTAAGTTTATAAAATATCCACTTTATTTACTCAAGGCGACACAGTCATTCATTGCAGTATCATTGGAAAATTAAGTCAAATACTCGTGATCCTACATCAATGTCGAAATCAATCATTACGCTTAACGACGGGATGCGGGAATTGCACTCGCTTATTGCCGACATATGGTCTATGCTATTGCTAAGTAGAATCAGTTTGTTGGCGCAAAAGAATTATAGTAGTAAGTTATTTGGCCAATTGTTGAACTCGCTCGTGTGCGAACTCTTCCTAAATTCAACAATGCTAAGCAATGGTATACTTCAACGCGACGGATGAAAGGAGTTCCGAAGATTGTAGTCAGTTGACAGTTTTAAGAGCTTCGAGCTTCAAATCAATATGTGTGAACATTCTGGAACCGCTTCTTCAAATTTATTCATCTCACGTATTATTTGACATTTTGTGGCGTGAAATTCAAGGCATTTCACGCGGAGACGTCCTTGTGGAGTTGTATTGGATTTTCCCACACTCTTTTTTTTTTCAACAATATGTATCACCAATTACGATAATTCTGTATACATTGCTCAGTCGTACAAAACTCAGTGGTTTTGCATTATCATTTTTAATTTTTTACCCATATATCTTAGATTTCCCAAATAGAAAAAGTCAGCAAGCTCTTTTTTTTTTATAAAATATAGGGAAAGAATGTCCTTATTTGCGTATTCTTCCCTCAGTACTATTATTAAACATACTTTAGCGAAGTCCCCACTGAATCCTTCGGAGGATAATATAAGCGCACTATAAATTTTGACGCCGAATACTCTTATATTATAAGGTTGCACAATCGAATTGATTCAAATAACAGATAACGAAATACACTTTGAACTTTAACGCAAGTATATGTGATGTAACCAAATTTCTAACTTACTAAGAACGATAAAACAAAGACAGGCAACACTAAAGTGAGGTTGGAGAATGAAAACATTGCCACATACACGTTTCACTGTCACAAGCGTTTGACACAGTAATACGAGTTGCGATTGCGCCTTAATGCGGCAATTGTTTGAAGAAGGAAATTATTGCGCCCCGCATGCCTTTTGAAAGATGTGCGGTATACTTCACACCTACAGCAGATATAACCATTCAATGCATTCGTTTCGAACTTTACTATGATCACAAATTTATTCTTGTGCATATATTAACACGTTAAATCGTAAAGTCACGAAAGTTAGCAGAAAATAAATTGGGAAGAGTTAGTATTCTGAGTATTAGAATTACATTGTATTTTTTCATTGCATGATGGAATTCAAGAAAATAACTTTTGGGACAATACCACGGTTATTCCAAATATCCATAAATTACGTCTATTATTATACTGATAAAAAAATAATCAATAGAATAAGTTACATCAAAACATCAATGACTTTGCACATTGAATGAAAGCATTACTCAGAATTATAAAAAAAATTAAACATTCACTACCGAAAACGGCTAATTACAGATTTATGAAAGCAACTATAGATCAACTTCTCAGTTTACGTGATTTTTTAAAAACGGAATAAGATGTGGTGAAAATGTCAATGTTGAATGTTGTAACAATCAAGGATGGCAAATATTGTTCTAGTTTTTTAATTAATACTTTGGAAGACATCTTGTTTGTGAATGATACCATGTTGATGATGAGCAAAATCTCGATTGCACGTTGCTAGTAAATTAATTCAAATTGGCTTGTTGTTTTTGATAAAGTTAGCATTTTTTTATTCATTACAAAAAAAAAACACATAGTTTCATTGATCAGTTTTTGGGTTGAAATGAAAACTCGAAAAAAAAAGAATCAAATTTTAAATCTATTTATATTTTTTCTTTCTCTTTCTGTTATACACATGGTCGTAAATTCTTTACCAAATCTGTTTCACGGATGTTTTCCTGGGTTTCCTTTGCAATTCTCTTGACACTTGACGCACAAATCTCTAGCTTTATTCCCTGTACAAAAAAATGTGTAAATTTCATAACTCTAGTCCATATACATAGTTCAATGACCAGAGGGTCGACAATAGTTATCTACCGATACATAGTATATCATTCTCAAATATTGTTTTTAATTATTTTCAGATATTTCACGACGTTGGAACGTAGAAAAGTTATTAATACTTTAATTCTTTCAAAAATTTAAACAAATAATAAAAAAAACTGATGAGAAGCAAAACGACAAACTAGGATTTGATTTGCAATTGAGCTGATTAAAGAAGACTTGAAAAAAGAATTGACTGTAATGTGCTCAACATTTTTAAAAATGAAATTTTGTAGTTGTAGTTTTAATTTTTGAGTATTTTTTGGAGGGGCGGGGGGGGGGGGGGGGGGGGGGGGGGCTCAAATGAGTTCAAACACATAGAGGATATACAGCCAAGCTCATTTGGCTAAACTGTTGTTGTTTATTATAACTTTGAGTTATTAGAATAGTGTTAGGTGTGGCCTTTCGAAATTTGCCTCTCCTAGTAAATATATATATGTATTTCATTTGGGTGAAACTGTACTGTTCAATGATATATCTGAGGAGCTCCTCATATTCACCGATCGTTGTGATCGCAGGCAAAAATATGATCTCGCAATAAACTTTCGATAAGCTGCAGTCGGATGCAGACAATTTTCAATTTAAATTTGCAATTAACTTACGCCAGACATTAGGGAATACATTGTTGTGTACATAATCCTGCCCAAACTTTGCACATCCAATTTTGAACTCGCCTCCTTCTTTCTCACATAAATTATACACTTCACAAAAACTCTTCTTCTCCGAATCTGATTTCTAAAAAAAGAAACGTGTGACCAATGGGATTAAAAATAGACAATTTTATATTCAGGTATTTATAATTATTTTTATTTTAAAAATCAGTTTTTGAAAAGTGAAATTAGAAAAGTCGCAGAGACACACCCTCTATATTCTTAGAATGTTTTGTTCCGCGGGCACTATCGGAAGTTTGGTATAGCAGTATATACGATATGACCGAAACAAACGTGGAACGTAGATAAAAAGTGGAGGTTTGATGTAGGTATCTTTTTTAAATATTTAAAAGCAACTATTATTTTAATGCATTGCATTGCAAGTGGTCAGAAATGTATGGTGGCCATTTACAATTTATTATGTGCTCTATATATTTACGTGAAGTTAGACTATTGAACTAACGGACAAGCACAACCACATAATGTCAGCAGATTCTACGTAAATTCGGGGCAACTCTACAAATTTCACAATGTGGTATTTTTAAGGTGAAAGCATGCATTGTTGTCGCTGTCTTGTCCTAGTGGCTATATACTACAAACCTCTAGATCCCTTTCATAATCAGGCTCAAAGTCACGTTCGAATTCGGCTTCTAAATTTGATTCAAGATCTTGTTCCAAGTCTGCATCATCGTCAAAATCGCGGTCGATCTCAGCTTCAATATTTTTTTTGTCCAAAAAGTCCAAAAGATTTTCATCAAAATCTTCGTTGTAGTCAAATTCTTCAAACTGTAGAGCTTCTGAAATGTTTTATTTGTATTGCACTTCAATAAAAAGGTATAACAACAATTGCCGTTAAAAAAAGTTGAATTTATTCCAATTGAAATTTAATAGAAAATATGAAATACAACTTACTTGCTACCATAAAGCAACAAAGGAGCAAAACAGGTGTAATCTTCATTTTGTAATTCATTTTCTGCAGCTTATGTATCAACTACAATCCTGATGAACTAAAGTATGTTAGCATTTGATTAATTGTGCGAACAATGCAAACAATCCAATACGGACGTGCTAAAGTTTTAAATTTATCACCACGAAGTAATGTTTTGGGCTACCAAAAAGAAGTAACTCCGCATCAAAAAAAAAAGAATCCGACCTAAAGTTATAAGTTGATCCGGGGTATTATAATCTGGTTCAGATATTAGAGATGCGTGGGATTGAGCTAGATATTGCAACAAATATTTGATAAATAGCGCAGTTATTATAGACATTTTGACTGTTTGGCTACTTCCAATAAATAGTTTTTCAAGATTTGGAATGCTCAGAGCTTATATTTTCAATTTATATTCCAGTTTCCTATTCCAACCGAACTGCGCATTCCCGGACACATTGTTCCCACAAACTGAATAATAAAACTGTACTCCGCATAATGTTTCGTTCAAAAACATCTATTATCTCTGGATAAACTTTTTCCTCCATGTCATTTCCTAACAACATTAAATGTTTTAATCTACGCGTGCGGATCATTTCGATGTACAAGTTTCTTTGTTGAACCGAAAACCTGGTTTGACTCGGGGAATAGTTGCAATATTTTTATTGTTCGTGGAGAGGTTAAATATCATTTTGACAGTTTATTTTTTGGTACTCATCGTAGACACAATGGTAGAGTAACATATGGCAGAGGCGCCAAAAGCTGAAACCGGCAGTGGAAGTTGAAATCGTGTAGTAATCACATTTCAATAACCCATTGTCAGTACTGACTTCCTGCGTAGTCATTAGAATTTTTTCGTTTGACAGTTCTGACAACCTTCTGCATGAAGGTTTCAAATTCATCGTTAGCAGAGTCGTCATCATGACAAAACATACAGATTTTTGTAAAGGTGCAGTGCTTTTTGGACACAAAATGTACATAGGAATCATTTGGTTATAATATTGTTGTCCTTGTTGCTGTTCTTGTTGGCTTGTTTCTTCTTATTGTTATGAAACAATCGCTTCTCTCATTAACTACTGGAACAATTGCTTTGAAATTTTCAGTGATTGAAGATTGTCATTTTTGCTAAAAAGCTAATATTTATTTATATCAAAAATCTCTGTGTGGGCTCTATGAGATTCATTTTTTTATGTGTGTGATGACGTCATCAAAAATTGCGCACTCTGTGAAGATTGGCGTCGATTTGGCTTTCGTGGCCATATATTTGAGCATCGCCTTTTTGCTCATATGATCTTGCTTTCTATTATCTAAAATTACTGGTAATGAAAGTACCGACAACGAGAACAGTCAGTTCGGTACTTTGACGTCACTCCGTTACAAAAGTGCTCACAGGTAAAATAACACACATCGTCCTTTCTGAGTTCCCTCTGCATCTTAGTAATTTGAGAATTTCATTGAAGAACATTGCAAATCTCCAATTAAATAAATCCACAGCACATTTTTTAAAACCCCTTTCATATATCTTTGGAATATTTAGTTATACGTATTGGACATGTACCGATACCGCTCATTTCGGTGATACCGATACCAACGAAAAACGGCTGACGGCCGATTTGCCGAGAGGTCGATAATTTATAATTAACACCTCAAGTGTACGGGACAGACAGACGGGATAAAACAGTTGCCTGCAATCAATATTTTCAGTGCATATTATTTCAGCTTGAATGGCTAATATTCTAGGGCAGCGGTCATCAAACTACGGCCCGCGGGCCAGATTCGGCCATTGGCGTCATTTCATCTGGCCCGCGATAATACGAAAATAGGGCGAAATATTTTTCCGAAGGATTTTTCCCCGAGCATAGCCGTACTTGTTTATTTTGTAACAATAGTCAATCAGCAAGATGCAAAATGTGACGTAACCATCCGCATCCGCTCAGACCTTTTTGTCACTCAGATCTACAATCGTGGTTTTAAACAATACCTGGTTTTCGCGATTTAGAATGCTATTTGTTAGCTTTTGGTTGTGTTTCGGAAATTGAAGTATGAATCAAATAAGTCAATCATCATTTTGCCTTCGTAGGAGTTGCTGTTTAATTGCAGAAATCAAAAAATAGTCTATAAATAGCTGTAATAAAATAGGCTAAAATTTTCTACTGGTACGCAACATTTTCAGTGAAAGATGCACTCGCACACTCGTGGCGCATGCTTTCGGCGAAACTGTTGCTGTGTACGTTTCTCGTGCTAAAATGAACGTCGAACGTTCACAAGTCACATTAAATTTTGTACCGTTCAAATGCGAATATTTATTTTTTGCTAACAACTAACCTCAAAATAGTTGTCTAAAAATCTTGTATATTTGGTTTGCTATGATGTTCTTGTTCTATATTCTGCGGTATATATATATATATATATATATATATATATATATAGAATTTAATATTTAAGACTTCAGAAATGTAGAATTTATATTTTTGAATAAAGTGAATGGATTTCCCAACTTTTGTAAATTCAATTTATTGTAATGCATTGACAAAAATATTTGTCTGGCGCGACAGTTTGAGACCTCTTTTCTAGGAGATGAGAAATTTATGTTCGTGATCCAGGTGCATTAATAGCATCCCTACTATAAGAGTTTATTGAAATATCAATTGCATCGTAAACTGCTACGTAACATTTTATGGGTCTCAACACTGTCAAAAAAAATTAAAACTATGCTCATTTCAGCAAACGTTTCGTTGTGCACCGGCGATCAATTAGAAAACTCATAGCGGATTGGCTATACTAGTAAAATGAAAGATTTTTCTACTCGCGTTTCTACTTCCCGCTTCTACTCGCGAGCTCAGAGTTATCGAGGCAGATACCGCGAACATGATCCCACCACGCAAAATAGATTTCAACACCCGTAGACTACTTATCTCTTGGTCATGGTAAGGCTATGGATAAAAACAGCAAGGATATGGATATATATAGATAAAAACAGCAAGGGCGTTGACAGAGTGAACTTTCTATGGTTGCATTCATATGCTTCGTCATACTCTTTGCTGTGCATGGTCTGTGGTTCCTCAACTGCCTAGCCCTGGATAGACGCATAAAAGGCAATATATCAATAAAAAGCAGCTGCTCACGCACCTGCCAAGCGGAGGACACATGCCCAGAAGCATGCAGAAACTAAGGTTAGAAGTGATTGTAATGGATCTCCCATAACTCATCACATTTGTGCATATGCCTTAGGATTTAAATCCAATTACGAATGCACAAATTGAACACCGACCAAAGTGGTCGCTGAATCTTATCTATAACGATAGTCGGCCACGCACAATAATATATCAATATAATATTCCCCAAATTATGCCTTAATGAGCCATAGGTTGCCAATCCTTGGGATAAATATATGTTCTTCCTTGCGATAGAAATCTAGGCATCAACTGAAGAAGAAAAACATCTATCATTCTATACGACAGTGTTGGAAAAAAACTAGGAAGGAAAAAAGCAGCTAATCTCCCAATCTATACCAGACCCACCGTCAACTGTCATCAAATGTGTCGACGGTTTAACAAACCTGCCGGTTCCGGAATAGAACAACTTCCAAGTAGGCCTGAGCATTCCGAATCGAATAATAATTTATTCGAATCAGTTGATTCGAAAATTTCGAATTGCTGCCATCTGTTTTTGTTCTCCAAAGATAGAGGCGAATCCCTCATTTTTTTGTTAAAGCCATATTTTTAAAATGCAAAGTGTCATGTGACTCCTTACTTCAGAATGTTGTAGGCTATTGACATGTTTTTTGTTGTTTGTGAATACGAAGCGAACTGTCAAGGTGACGAATTCTATGATTTCAGTAATTTATGATTCCGGAGTACTATTATCAATCTTCCAAGTATTCAAGATTCGAATAAAATGTTTGATTTGATCCTGAAATCACCTGGTATTCGAGAATGCCTAGCCCTACTATAAACACAAAAATGCACTCACGTTAAACGCTCGTTGCGCAACATTGCTATACAAATATCACTAAAAATTCTCGACCGAAAAAAGGGATTCGCATTTGGGAGCAGCTTATCCGAACATCAAGCTAGTTAAAAAATTGCCAAAATTACCACGACATTGGCTTGGCTGTTGGATGTCAAACAGTGATAATTAAGGAATATACACATACACAAGGCTGTGACCAGTGATTTATTCGGCCCTGTTTTCACTCCTATATTTAAAATATACAACTTATTTGCAATCCAACAATTTATTTTATCACAAAAATGTTTTACATCAACCAGTTTTTCAAATCTTCTTCGTTTAGTTCCAACCATTTCAAACTTTTTTCTGCATTCTTGATTGCTCCTTCAACACCTGGCTGTCTTGATTTTCCATTTTCTCCACGCTTTTTCAGATCAGTCAGCTTGTGACAAAAATAGAAACATAAAAATTAATTTGCTAAAGTGAAAAAGCGTTTTTTTGTGAATTTCCAGATTGGAAAAAAACTAATAGATTTTTTGAGCTAAATCAGATCAACATTGAACAAGACCATTCGTTTTAATCGATAAGTTCAGGATTCACTCACCAACTTTATATCATCTTTGCTAGAAAAGGTATTTGTCAAATACTCAAAAAATGGATGAGAAAATTGAATCCTGAAACAATACAAACATATTGTTATGCAGGTTACTAATTTAAATCAAAAACAGCACAAGACAACAACAAGAGATTGTCGCGATCAAATTCCAAATCTGACGAGTGGTGATCGCTTTTTACAAAGCATGACTTTTAGCAAAATTTTTTTTATATTATATGTTATATAATATATTACACTCATATATGCTCAAAATATCGTCGTTGCACTTCAGAGTAGTGTCTCAACCTAGAAGTCTAAGCTCGCGAGCGTTTTAAAGGTTAACTTGTAGAATATTGTTTTGATTCAACTTATATCTTTACGCATTTTATTCATAATTTAATCTGACCTTCAAATTTCTGCTTTTCTAGCGACCACCCTGTATAAATTTATATATTCTGGCCTGTTCATGAATAGGAGACAGGGCAATTGGTCGCATTTTCTTGACATCAAAAAAGTGATTCCGATCCCCAACAAATATTCTCTGCTCGGTCTGGGAGATCTAACATCTCTCCACAATATGATGCAATTTCAAATGCAGGTATTGGTCAAAAGAGCGAAGCATCAGCGTCGTACATAAATAAAGTTTCCACTCATTTCATTTTTTACTAATGCGACGGCCTGGCGCCTACTGCGTTAAAAAGTCAGCATCGATGAGTGGAAATCACGAGGGTTAAACTCCATCACTTCTTGCTAATAAGTTAAGTTTATCTATACGTAGAACCGCAAAACTTTACGCCATTTCTGTCGGCATTGTTTCTCCACCACTGCAAAGCAACTCTTAAAAGGTTTGTTCTAAACAAGCGTGAAGATTAAAAGTGATCTCTATTATTTAATTACCCCTTCATTTCTATTACATATTTCCATACAATACGTCTACCGTATTCGTTTTTCATGACAAATTCCACACATGTTGACCAAGCTTCATCACGTTCAACTATCGCATTTTCCGCCAAACATCTGGCAAGCAATATCCACAATTTTGTCTCATCTTCAACGCAAGACAATCCAAATCTAAGTAAATAGACGTTGATTGTCGTTTATTTTTTTATTGCTAAATAATTGGAATAATTTGTAGAATTCAGGATTTTTAATCAAATCCTTATCACTATTGTGCTTACAATATCCAGCAACAAAAAACACGGTTACAGTCCATAAAAGACTTTTATAGTGCAGTTTAGATTTTCATCAATTAATATCGATGTTGCGATATCTGTTACTAGGATATGAATTTCAAAATGGCCGATATTCAGTCGATTTTGGCTTGTATAACTACACTAATTCTGTTAACAACTGTGATATAAATAGATGTTATAGCTCAATGCTCCAGAGTACATTCAATACCTTAATTTTCTTTGCTCTTCTTTATCCAGTGTGCTAATGTGTTCTTTCATTGCAAAATTCCATTCATCCCATCCCCCGTTTCGCAAAGCTGTGCAGTATACCTCTTCTCTGTTGTTCATTGAAATGGCCCTTTTTTCAATGTACCATAGTTACGGAAGATCATAGATACCTTGCTGTCGCGATGGACAGGCGAGCCTACGTATGCCGGCGTCACGTTTCAGTGGCGCCTAGGCAGAGCTTTGATTGCAGTAAATTAATGAAAAAACCTCACACGAAATTATGCAATAAAATCAGCGCGGATAATTCTTGGAAAAGCTACACCGAATTCTAATCCATTTTGAATTAGAGTCTAACTGCGACCCCATATTTAAAAACTCGGACATATGCTTTTGACTTAATGCTATAAAGACTTGTCACAAAGACTGATTTTATCAAATATATATTTTAACTTGGTTTTACGACATACAACTTTACGAAGGTACCTTTTCTCCTCCGGATTCTTCATCCAAGATGCATAGAGTCGTTTTGCGTTTTCGATGCAGAATTCACTTCCATAGTAACACGCTGTATGAGTCGCAAGTTGAATGGTTAAACTGTTTAGAAACAAAGAGAGAAATAATAAATTAAACGGTGATTACCTCGTTATGATTACGCCCTCTAACTTGAATTGAAATTCATAATTTGAATTGAGACCAGTTGATTAAAAAATTGGCAATAAATATTTTTGAAATTCACCCCCCAAAAATCAGAACCCATAAATACTCTTCTCCGGTAGTCCCTACTTTGGCTTAGAATAGTTACAGTTGAGACACTTTTGGATCCATTTTTATACCGGAAAGATAGTGTATAACAGCAGCCGCTACCGGAAGAACAATTACTCAGATTAGCTATGTGTAAGTTACTATGGAAGTATTTTCAAATTATCAAGTCAATATCTTCCACCATACCTGTCAAACAGATCGGAATCTTCCATAGAAGAATCATCCATAAAACCGTATTCTTTGTATAATGGCGATACCAACTTTGCCACATATTTCTGAATATAAAAATAAAAAATTAATATAAACAAATATGAATAAGGAATGAGGAACTTAAAATTATTGCTTGGATATCAAGGAAAGAACAACGCATGAACATACCGAAAAAAGGGTACTCCTGAAGTATGCGCACCAAGATGTCGCACAACCTGAACTGTAACATGGTCCACACCCTGAGTTCAGGTTGTGCGCCATCTTGGTGCGAATACTTCAGGACATTGGTTCTCAAAGTTGGGTCCGCGGTCGCTTAGGGGTTCGTGAAGCGATCTTGAGGGGACCGCGAGACAACTTTAACCTCGGCACAGGAGCACTTTGATTTAAGGTGAAATTTTGATGTCATGTTTTCACAGTGTTTCTACATAGCACGTCACGTTATACTGAAGACATTATTACGTAACAAACGTTGGTTAACGTGCCAAGTACGGCAACTAAGATCGTATTGTTTATGGAAGGCGTGTGCATCTGATTGTAAATTATTTCAGGTTTATTTAAAAATGCCCTCCTGGCCGTAAAAATAGATTTTGATATAATGTTTCATATGTGAGATTAGGTTTTGCTGTGATAGTTCTGGAGATAAAGAAACCACGGTGGCACCGTCCTATCCCGATGTCGCTAAGATGGTACTAAAATGCTCATTTCATTTGCAACAACTTACGAATGTGAGGCAGCTTTTTTAACGTTGCTCGCTTTTAAAAAAATATGTTGAAACAGAATGGACGTGGGACATGATATGAGAGTTGTATTGTCCAAAACAGAAAACCAAGGTAGAAGAACTAGTCGGAGCCAATCAGGCGCACCCTTACCATTGAACTGTTTTAATGTCATTCAATAGATGAATGCTTGATATACCGCGTTGTTATTTGCTTTCATTTCTTTAGTGAACCGCAAGCCATCAGCAAAATTGCAAGGGGACCCTTATGCATAATTTTTCAAAAAGTTCGAGAACCACCACTGCTTCAGGAGGTCCGAAAAAGTAATTAATTTATCAAAATAAAATACAGCGCAACCGACGAAGGTATAGATGGACAGAATCAATACTACTTCCATTTATTACAAAAATATTTGTGGGCTCTATGGGATTCGTTTTCTACGTTTTGTGTGATGACGTCATCAAAATTAGTAATTTCGCGCCGTGATTCCGTGATTATATCTCAATGATCTTGTGGTCAGGTTATCGGTAGTGTAATGGCCTTCGTGTACATTGAAGCATCGCGCCTATGTTTTTTATACAACAGTAAACACTGACCCTAAACTGTTGGTATAAAGAAGATTTGAACAATATTTTGTCGAGGTGCTCTATACTTGAGGTAAATATTTTCCAAGGTAAATATTCTGTCTCGTTCAGCAAGTACTCAGATAATTTGAGAGGTATCGTTACATTCAATCGTCCGCTTCTGCGAATGGAAGAATATGTAAGTTGAAGCAGCAATATAATTCTATCTAATTTACAAGAAAAATTTATACGAAGACGCAGAATACAATATCATATTTCAACAATAGTATCTTCACTCTCTATTGTTACATCAACATGTATTGCAACATGCAATGATGGAAAACAATTAAAAATGTTTTTGAGAATATATAAAAAAAAATATACCACCTTGCCATTGCAAATGAATCGCTGATGAGCTGTCCACGATTTTCTACTGGTATTTCCTGAAAACAATTGACAATAACTGCTTTGTAAGGATTTTCTCAAAGAAAGGCCACGTACAGTCATTGTGAAGTAAGTGAATAAAACCCACCTCAGAGCAAAGTTTAGAAAGACCATGGACATGTCATGAGCTACTTAAACGAATAGGGCTGTCAATACTTGTTCCTTACCTCGAATTTGTCAGACTTGAGATATTGTATAATTTTGTTCCAGGTGTCTTCGTCATAATTAACTCTGTAAAATCCAGTTGCATCAGCGTTCACCAATATTAAATCTTTTTCGTTGATTGTAACTGAAAGGCATTAATATTTATGAAAGCCAGTTTTGGGTTTTGAAGTTATTTCATTACTTCTGAAATAATGACATTGTAAACTCAAATTGAACCTCGCATCTTTACTGAACCAACCAGTTTGAAGCCAATTATAAGGTATATAAAAACGAAGTAGTTAACTTACATTTTTCGTTAGGTAACATCCACGACAATTTGTTGGACTTGGAATAATTACCATTCATAACTTTGTACATGACAGGAACATACCAACTATTTCTGAAACAAAAAGTGAATGCTAAATGAATATATATGTATATATATATATACAACAATTAACAACGATAAGTCCGCATGTAGATTATCGTAGATATTTCCAGTAGTCAGAGAAATCAAGTGAAATTCAGTCATGATGCAAGTAAAGACTTGGATAATTCCGCAAATATTGGTGAATCGTTTAGGTTTATTTTCTTTTCAATTAATTTCATATTAATTCCATTCTATACTTATCGTATGAAGATTCCTCATCTCTCAAGAATCTCTCTTGCGTTATTGAATACACATCGTTTTCCCTTTTAACATTCAAAAGTGGATATCCAGCTTGTGTAGTCCACGGTGTCAACATTTCTGATATGGATGCCGGATACGAATTTTCTGTTTTGTTAATTGCCTGATAGAATAATCCAATAAACTGAATTCAAATTTCATGAAACTGATGTCGACCATAAATGAAAATATAACTTATAATATTAAGCATAATTAACAAAAAAGTTAGGAATCTGGTATTTTTCAACGCGGCTTTAATTAAACGGAAAAAGTATATATATTGAACCTTCAAATTGCTTAATACTTGAATTTTCTTCGCAATTATTTATACAGGTTTTCAGGTCTCAGTCTCAATTAATTTGAAAATCAAACCTGACGAAATCAATATTCATTGTTAGAATATGTTATAGATTTTAACTCGAAACGATCTTACATTCTCCCAATATTTGAACAGTGTGTCTGTCGTAGTTGTGTTGTAAGAAAGATCTTTCAAGTACGCCTGCCAGAAAAAAAGAAAATTTCACGCTATTTCAACTTTAAATTATGAAAACAATATTATGTGATGAAAACTTATCGCCATATGCAAACTTTGAATTTTTTTCAAAAAGTTCTAGAAACTCGAGTGGAAATTGCTAGGCTTACTTTAAGTCCATTCATAAATACTTCATCGCCGAGAAAAGCGTTGATCATGCGTAACATACACCCACCCTGAAAAGTAGAAGGATAATTTAAGCGAAAGCATCAGTGTATTTGACAATTACCACTGTATTATACATGAACTTCTAATAACTCGAAAGTCTCCAAACCAGCTATCGATGAGTGCTTCTAAAGTTTTATGCAACTCTTATTCATCAATTAAATGCTAATGAAAATAATATTTGTTCCAATTTTTATTCACGTATAAAAAGCAAAAGGTTTGCCAATACCATTTATAAATTTGGAAAATATGAGTGGTATAGATAGCTATGATTTAGTGTCTTCAATATAAAAGTTAGTATTTTGCACTACGCTCTGGTGAGGACATTTAACTTTGTATAATTCTATATATATATCAATGAGAGTAACAGTTAAGGTTAACTCTATCTTGAGATTCTGGTGAGTCACAGGTATACCAAGATTACATGTAACTATATATAATCAAAATTCCCTATTCCGCATAAGAGATTAACATCACACTTTCACAAATTTTATTCTGCAACGTTTCGTCCGCCCAAAGTCACACAAAGAGTCCGTGAATATTCTTTTCTTATCTTTGTTAAAAACGGCTTGGGTTAGAAAGTCTGACTTTGGTTAGACGAAAACATTACAGAATGTAACGTTAGTTTATGGAAGTGTGATGCAAAACCTTTCAACCATTCAATATAGCAGTTTTAATTCTTTCTGCAGTAACCTTGCAATCAGAACGTACAACCCCACCAGATCCAGATCATACAGCACATGAGAACTGTTTTAATTTAACAATTTTGGGACTTTTGATAAAAATTAAGTTTTGTTTTCACGCAAAAAAACATCAGCTAAACAACATTCGCGAATTTGAATGGGCATGTTATAGTAACGGCATACAAACTTTTTTGTAAACAATGGCGTCAAACATTTCGAATATTGAATCTGGTCTTTCTTCTTCATGTATTATAGGGTGTGACGAGTTAATGTCATCCGCGTCCATTGCTTGATAAAAAATTTCCAGGAAAAATAATTGTTTCTTGAAATGAAAAAAAAAAATGAAAGTACAAAAGTAGTTATATAAGTTGCGTCAAAATCCAACTAGGTTTAATGAAAAAATAAAAAGACGTTTATTGCTAGTTTTTCTAATTTTTTAAACACAAACTCACCGAGTTCCATGTTGAATAAACAGATTCTGCCCCAGAATATGAAAAATATGTTGCAAATCCTTCGTTCAACCAAATATCGTTCCAAAACGTCGGGGTAACCAAGTTGCCAAACCACTTTATATAAATATAGTTTGTATTATTGAAAAACTTTTCGGGTAGTTTTTTTCATCTAGATCTTTTCTTTATAACCACAAGTCTCATTGCCTCGAGTCGGGACAAATGTTACATCTGCATCTTGTTTATGTGATACATTACTCGGAATTGAACTAATATCATTTAAAAAATAAGTCAGTTACACATGTTAGTGTATCCGCTGTTGGTCGCGTTTTAAAAGTGCTGTAACCAATGTACATGTGCAATTACGGGTTGCGTCAACAATCAAAAAACTTCTTTTAAGTAGGCCTTGCTTATAAACAAACTGTAATTCTGCATTATCGTCCACTTTTTTGTATTTGTGACTATAATTTATTTATAACTATACCTTATATAGTACAAACATTACATACGAAAATAACATATACTTACCATGTGCACGAGTTCATGTGAAATAGTATTGACACTTTCAAGTTTATCACGAATAGTCGAATTGTCGTCAACCAAAAGGAACTTCTTTTTATACATTACCAATCCCCAATTTTCCATCGCCCCAAATACAAGTTGTGGCACGACGATTTGATCTGAAATATAATTTAAACCTACAATGCGTGGGTTGTATTTTGACTTGGATGCAAATAATCTGAAGATGACAGGAGGCGATGAGAGTCTTTAAGACAGTGACTTCTCTCTAACCTTTAAATATTTATTCCAACCTTTTATGGCTCGTGACTCCCTGCTCTTCAATCCAAAATACGAGCGAAGCCCGCTTTGTACATTCTGAACATCTCTATTTACTTTGGCAAAGACAAAGGCAACGTAATTGTCGTACCATTTTCGATTCATGGTAATATTGGAAATTTAGATATATTTATCGCGTCTACAATACGTTTATGACAACTATCTCGCAGACTACCGTTATAAGTAGACTAGGTCCGACAGTTGTCTGCAGGCGAGATGGCTCAATTAGAATCGGATGGCCTGACAACCAAACATAGAGGTTAAAATTCGCGGAGTACAGAATATTCATAGTGATATTTTGATTGGTAGATTCAAAATCCCACTATGATCAAACAAACAATGCGCAACAATCAATTCATGCAAATGAAATGAAAACCCATGTGAAATATCAGGTAATGAGAATAGGAAGACGGGGAAATTTTTTATGAAGAGAAAAGTATGCAAACGGATTTGCATTAAAAGAAATTTTGCGCCTAGTATTGTGGCCCCCTCACACTGCTCTGTAGCCTCTTTAAACTTCACAGAGAAATTATAAAATCATCACAAACAAAATTTCAGATCTCATGACTCTAGACTGCTCATGTACTCATGTATATTACAACATTGGTGTTCACAATGTAATGTATATGATAATGCAACTTTTTATTCAACATAAGGTAACCTGCTTTGGTTAATGGATATTCAACACCGAAGAAATCTTGGAAATGGTCTAATATAATTGGTGCAGTCTTGGTGGCGTAATCTGCTGTGCCATTTGCAATCCACTCTTTTGGTGCGAAGGTGCGTACCTTTGTGTAAATAAATGCGGAATTGAGAAATTTACAAAAGTATCACTCGGTCGGTTTGTAAACACTGTAGAAAACTATGAACTATGAACCGGCCAATAATGAATGCACTTTTCATCCTACTTGCAGATGCTATACCTTATTTTAATTGCAACAACCCCAAAATAGATAACAACATATCATACACACATGAAAAATTATGTACCTTAATCCCTGTTGCGCTGGAGCTTTCCGCAAATGAGTAATCATCACATATCGCAAATGCCAAAATGTAAGTAGCCATCGGGAAAGTCTCTTCAAATGTTGTTGAATTCCATAACACGCCATCAATTTCTTTAGTCTTGTTAAAATGAGATGAGAAATTACGGATAAAAATATAAAAAATAAGACTATCAATTTTAGTTTAGCAATAAAAGCATATCAAGGGTATAACTAGATATGGTCTCCTGGAAGCTACAATTTGCTGATCTATTGCGTGTTATGCCTGTGCATGAAAACAATTCACTAAAGCTTTTTTATTTTCTTGAAAAAGTAGATGCTATGCTTGTGTTCTGCAGCTCTTGTGTTATTTTAACTTAGAATAAATTCATTTTACCGTGTGTTTCTTCGCCGGCATGTTTGAGATTGCGAGACGATTTTCAACAGGTCTAAACCATATTGTTATTGTAAAATTGGCTTTAAATCCAGGTTCATCAAAACAAGGAAATACTTTTCTTGCACCAGTTGGCTGCATGTGACTTGAAAGTATTGTCCTGTATAAATAAAATAAACACTGTTGTTGTAACGACCCTCAAGTTATTTTATTGCTGTTTATAAGGGACAACCATGTGGGTTTGGTTAGCTAAGTGCGTCTTGAAAATTAACAGAATTGTGTTAAACATGACTAATATATAATTGAATATTTTACATATTGCATTTAGTATTGATGCATTATTATTTCTTAAATGCTGTGTACATGAACACTACTAGTTGCAATTTAGCCATCTGCAGTTTATTTATTCATTGAACCTAGTTAAACGCACTTGAGTGTAAGAAAAATCAGGCAAAGATTAGGAAAAAGAAGTTGAAATTGCTTTTATTCGTTAGGTCTACATGTTTACAAACTTTAAAGGCATACACATTAACGATCACAAAATTGAGTTCAATTTAAAAGCAGCATTTTTTTTCGTGTAAATACGCCATGAGTTTTCCCTGATAATTTGGCGCCTCACGAACAAAAAGTTTGGAACCGCTGGTAGTAGGCTATAGTACTACGCAAAATTTAGTTTTCCAACTGACTTCCAATTTTCTGGTTTTGAATTAAATTGGAAAAATCGGTAAAAATGATTTGCACGCAGTGATATTTAATCGATAAGTCTTCTCACCTTGTTTCTACTGTTTCCATTTCGAAAGTGCTTCGATATAATCCCCATAAATTATGTGACAGAGACGTGACATATTGTAAAATGGAAAGTGTGTAATATTTTCCTCCATCGCACTTCTCTTTTGATTCAAATATAACATATTCATGTAATTCATAAAATGTCACGTTGGTTATTTCGACATCGCAATTTCCAGTCTTCAACGATACTTTTGATAAGTCGAATTTGATATATCTTGAAAATTAGAAGCGCACGACTTCAAGGAATAACAGAAAATTCAGTACAAGGACAGCATTCAGAAATGTTGGCAATTAAATAAAAATAGCATCAGCCGTTCAGCGTTAAAGGCTTTATCTCAGTAAAAAATTCTTTAATTTTAAATTAGCAGTTATTTATTCAGCCCACCTACCACTTAATATCATATGTGATAAATGTTTCTATTGAGTTAATGAAAGACGTAACAAATTTATGTTATTTTGATTTATTCTTTGGGTCAAAAATGCTTACATTTATGCACAACGAGGTCGAGGTCATACTAATGTGTGTGAGAGGGATGTAAAAAAACTTAAAAAATAAAATAAAAAATATATAAAGTAATAGCAACATCCTTCAGTTGCTGAAAAGAACAATTATATTCTAATAGCAACAGCAACTTTGGGAAGCGATTCGTTTCAACACACCGGGTCCCATAAGATATTATAAAACAAAAAAGGAACCAGATCGAGTAGCGAAAAAGGTTTTAAAAGTAGCCTATTTTTACGATTTTGAATATCTGATAATCAGTTCCCCATAAACCCTGGCAGAAATGAAAGTAAATATTAAGCATAACTCACTTGGAATGCAACAAAGTATACTTCGTTGGGATTTTGCAGAGGTAAGTAACGTCCATTGATCCATACAAAGCATTGCTTGTTGCATCATCCAGAATCGGTCTCAAGTTGATATCGTAAGAATTTGGAATAAGATTATTAGGAAGGCGGATATCTGACCACGGTTTCTGTTGTTACATACAAAGCGAAGTGTTAAATAAAGCATTTTATAATGTATTGAAATTACCGTTCAACCGACTGATATTAATGAGGAATAAATTTGTTTTCAATTGGGGAAGAGGAAATATTGCAACGTTTCTCAGGTGGGACCAGAAGCTTTTTGGGATTTTAGTAAATAATATTACACATTGGCATGCATGCAACGAGCATCCGCACCATCCATTATTAGACTGATATTAATATTGCATTTGTCTTTCGTTGTATTGAGGGTGATTGTCACGTTATATTTGTCTTGGTATTTTATAATGTATTTGTAAACAAGACGTCCACCTCTCACCATGTTGACTTGCTCGCTTAGTTGGGCTAACAAGAAAGCAATTTTGGGTGAGTTTTGGATATCTGCTTACAAATTATATCCAATCATCCCATGCAAGAGCCACAAAAAACCTAGCCATTTCCATGGCTCTATGAACACGGATTTTCCGCTCCGACTGAAATTAAAATCAAAAAAGAGAGCGACGGAACTTTGTTACCATTATTCTCAAAACAGACACACACATCGCATTAACATTTGCAGAATAAACTTGTTTAAAGCTAACTTCAGTTTTTTACAAGCGTGCCGCAAAATGTTATTTTTATTTGCCTAATATACCGAGAGCAAAAAAAGTTTGAGGACCACTGAAATATTGTTTACATATATAATTTATATAATTATAAGATAGCCCAATAGGTTACTGCGTGAAATATTGAAAGCAGGTGAAACCTTAAAAGTAAGATATCACCTTTGGTTCATCCTCGCGTGGCCTTTCTTCATCGATTACCTTAGAGTTGTTTGAGCCACCAGACGGAACACTTGCATTATCACATATATACCACATCAGCATACCTATGAGTAAGCCTTTTGACAAAAGAAAGAGAGATTACGGAAAACCATGAGAGATTAGCGTTAAAAAGACAATGTTTGTTAACTGAGCGTTTTTTTTATACAAAAGTCTGTGTCTTTATTTAACCATCACATTGGATATAGATCATAAATGAATATTTAATTATATAAACGTAATATTTTTCTAAAATATACCTACCTTGTATAATGAAGAGAAACAAAACAAAGGTACAAAGCAGAGCTGCTGAACATCGACTAATATGCATTTTGATATTATAACATAATCAGTCAAACACTGAACAGAACAATTATAACTTAAATTGTTTCTAAACTATTTGTAAAATAAAACCGACGTCATCATAAAACTAACGAATAAGTAAAAAGGCCGATTGTCTAACGAAATGTTTCAATATGTCATATAATATAAGTATCATATGAAATAAATTAACTTTATAATGAAATACTGAGCCTTATAGTTTCTAAAGAAATTTTGAAGTATTAAAAAATAGCATCTCGGGAAGCTGTTTGAAACTTGAAATCGATCAGTACAATATTCAATCAGCACAACAACGGATACATAAAAATTTCACAACACTGTATGTACATTTCGTACCCAACAACATTCTCTATCTGCCGAGGTCGTTCCAAATACCCGGCAGATTACGGTATATAAGGAGATCTCACGTCGAAAGTGTAATTGTTTCCACCCTGATCATTTGTGATCACGACTAGGATGCCTTCTGATGCTACAATACGACAAACTTGGTATACGCTTTGTATTTGATTTACGCTCATATTTCCCTTGATTTGATTGATAATGTTAATTCGAAGAAAACAATTGTAACTTGAATACTGTATTTCCATTCCTAATTAATACATGATTTCACTGCTAATATAATATTTGTCCATGATCACAATCTCTATAAATCACACTTTTCTTTACTAAAATATAAGCATACAACGGATACAATTCGTCTTTCAATCAAGACCAGCTGTCTGCATACGATGTCAATTAGCATCTGACGTAACCTCACAAAAGCTGTGAATATTATGAATACAGACGTATAACTATTTTATTTAATCTGAAAGTAATTCGATAAATAATTCCAAAAGATATTTTTACAATGAATATGAATTTATATATAAATAGCAGTTTGACACTTACGAAATTTACGTTTTTTGTCATGTTATCAAAAAGTTACATCGCCTTTACTAGGCTACTCATTTGTAACAGTGATATACAGTTGGGAGATTTGTCAAAATGAAGAACGATTGTATCTGACAATACTCCCACACGCGTGAAACCTATTTATGCTTAATGTTCGCATTCATTGAGTTTGACACATTGATATCATTCTGAACAAGCCCGCCTTCTACGCTATCACGGTAAAAATATTTAACTTTTTCAAATTAATTATCTTAACTTTGAGCTCGCAAATAATATATTGTGAAATTTGACGCAAAGACAAATCATGAAATGCTGAATCAATTCTATTGACGCTTGGCTCATTGTAAGTATAAAGATGACTATGTCCCGATTTAGTCGGGCCAGTACGGATTTTGACACGCCGTAACGTCGGATAGACAACAATGTAACGGTCATGTCGTATGGCAGTCATAAATATTTTTTTTATTCGGTATTAATACAAACTTTTTTTTGTAAACTAAGGCAGCCAGTTATCACTGATTTGCGACTAATTTCCTTATTTCAGTGAGATAGAGACCTATCATATATTGTTACGTCATAATTATTATATGATTTATATGTCAATTTAGCTATTTTAGCATCTAACGTGGTTATTCAAAATGCCGAAAAGAAAGTACACGTTTCCAATATTCCAATAGTATACTAATATGCATATGAGTTGAATATTACTAAGCCTCTGAATCGAACCAAGGTACATCCAATCTGCACTCTCCCCATTTTTTGTTTCATAGGGTAAGCCTAACTATGAGTATTTATTTCAATTATTTTTTGAAATTTTAAAACTCTTTGCCTAGTGTATAACGCCGGTATAAATAATATCAATCACAATTATATTCCTTTCAAAGTTGGGCCAGGTCGTTCACATAGATGCTTTGTCCCTAGAGAAAATCTTCACTTGCGAATTCCTGATAGGCAAAGTGACGTAAGTACCACGGAATTTGGTACTGACCGTCTATCTAGGGTTAATATGTATATTGAAGCGCATATAAACTATTAGCATACTGCATTATCTGCTCACAATTAAAGTATTGATTTGTTTTTTCTCAAAAAAATTCTGAAAATATTCAATGAATCATTATCGCATCTTCTATCGAGCAAAATAAAAATCATTCAAACGTTGTTTGTTTATTGGTATATTAAATAGCACAGTAAAATCTTTGTAGTAGTAGTGCGGTCATTTCTAACACAAAAAGCTTTGACGTTGTGATCATTGACTGTAGGAGTATTTTTGCAACAATATCAGTTGTTGCAGAGCAATTTGCTAACCAGTCAAAAAATTTATGTGGACTTAAGAATGTGGTGTATTTATTCGGGAAGACGAACATTAAATGTTTGCTTTGCATCTCGTTTTTTTCCAAATTCAGTTCGTCGACATTGCCACAAGCTTATAGCCTCCTTCCTGGCTTTGTGTCACAGTCAGAAATAGGAAACTCTAATCGGGGGATAGAATGCAAGCCAGTTTTCTAGAGGTAATTTACAGCATAGTTTATGTAAGGTCTCTTTACAAATTTGCGTTAAGAGTCTAGTCTAGGTTCCAAAATTATTATATTAAGTATTATAAATATAACAAGTACTATTATTATTCGAGTAAAGAACGTTTCACATATTTGCAAACATAAAGTCTTGTGTAGTAACCAAATCAAGCAAAACTGCTATTTCTTAATTAAACATAAATAATTTAATTAAATTACAATATATAAGAACAATCAAATATGGAATAAAATCGTCTTGAATTTCAGTCAGTAGCCAAATTACTGTGAAAGCTGCAACAAAATGAACAAAAATTGAGAATCAACCAAATGTTGCATAAGTTTGATGTTACAAATTTAATTTGTTATATTGATTTAAAAGTCTACTAAAATTAGGATCTATTTATTTGATATCAAGAAACGCAATAAGCTATTTTGATTCAGATTTATAGAAATACACTAAAAATTATAGCTAAGCGCTCAAAATAAAACGTGTTAATTTTTGTTGCGGTAGTCCCGCTTCCCATTGTACAAATCAAATAGTAAGTTGCTACCGATTCCCTGGTAGTTTGATAAAGTGCAACAAAGGCGTGTAAGCTCTACAAATACTTTTGAAATTTTAAACAAATATTGTGAAAATAAATGAAAGCAACAAAATTGATAGGTAAAAATAATATACAATTACTCGTTTTAATACAATGTATTGATATAAATTTAACAAACAATTACAAACATATTGATATATTATACCATCCGTCATTGACCGAATAAGAATTGTTGAATAAGAATTGGTTTGGACCACTCGTTGAATGTAGCTGGAACTAGTATACTCATAAGAGTTAAAAATATAATGGTTGAGTTTGTACATCATATAAAAAAGAATATTGTTTTCAAAAACAGACAACAGATGAGTCAAATAAGTTTGTTTATACTATTGTAATATATGTATCTAACATATATATTCAATTCTTATTTCTATATTTATTTGGAAACGTTAATTCGTACTTTGTCCTTGAATGTCTATGAATTTTATCAATTTGAAGTAAATTTTGCACTCATATTAAGATTTAGCAACATTCCAAAATCTTTCACTGTTTGATTTTGTATATACTCAGTCCAGGTATTTTAAAAGTTCTACTACCAGTTCAAACAACAAACATACGACTGCCTTGTAGATACGTTATAACGTTATATATTTTGAGACGAACAAACGTTTTCCTCCTGTGGTTGTTAAAGTGGTACTGTTTTAATAACAACGTCTACCAAGCGCGATCTTTACTTTCAGTAATTCTGTTTCTCACAAAGAGCTCCATGAATTGTGCGACCTGGTTGCATGTTAATAAGGCCGGTGGATTTAAACAAACCGTGGTGTCGAAAAGCTAAGTTAGTGAATGATAGAGGTTGATCCCGAGGATAATTATCATGTGGATACCAATTCATCGACCAACTCGTGATCTCACCCGAACGAAAGTATGTTGTTCTATTCTAAAAAAAGAATCACAGTTTTTCTGATTGAAGCACGAAATCGGTCTAACTGAGGTAGACGATTTCCTTTGCGACATCGCCCGGTGTCATTTTGGATTCGGACCCAAGAGTATTTTCTATATAACGATTTTACGTGGTTTGTGTGAGCCAATCAGTAAGCCAGCAAAATAGAGCAAAAGCTAGCAAAAATAGAGAGTTTATGTAGAGTATCAGTCTGGTTACGCGGGCATGAGTAAAAGTTTCAAAATTTTGAATACGCTAAATATGGAATATTCAGGAAGAAATTTGTGAAATAAAAAAATAATGAATTAATGAAATATGAATAACTAGTTATGAGGGAGAATTGTTGAATGTATTATTGATTTTTAACCCCCATTATTGATAAAAAATTATGTGAACAATTGGATCAACTAAACAAGCTGCAAGATAAAGTTTAAAAACCTCTGGTGTTATAGTCATCCCAGTCCATAGGTAAAAGTCAACATATTCGCCCGGCTTTACTGTATAATTTTTGATAAGGTCATAATAGCATTCATCGTAAATATTTGCAAGATTCCACCCCGATTGACACATCGTATTTGCAACAGTGTAATTTGTATTTTGATTTCCAGGAAATATCACTTGAAAACATGTTCCGTTTAAACATGCATCGCCTGAACCTATCGTAAATATACAAAAATAGAAGAAAGTTTAGGCTGAAGTTTAAGATGTGACCGAGAAACAATATCTTATTAAAGTTTACTGTTGTCGAGTTTCTAAAAAACTAAGACGTGTTAGATAACTATGCGTTGGCGCAGGTGAGTGAATATGCAAGAAAACTTACAGGAAAGAGGGATTTATAACGCTTAGAATAAACTAATGCAGAAGATAATTTAGTTTTGCGAAAACCCACTTTTTGCAAAAATACAATTTTGGGAGAAATGGCTTTTGTGGGATCAGGCTTGTAGGATAATAAACAAAATGAATTTACATCGCCGAAACAGATATAATCATGCTTCGTTGCAAAGTAGGTTTTCGCGAAAACGGAATTTCCGAATTTTCCTTTTTTTATAGTTATCCTACATTTTTGTTTCGGTAAATGGCAATTAGCAAGATTAGTAATCAAGCAAGTTGGTAATTAACACCAACTGTTTTATTACGTCGAAATTTAAATTTATAGAGCAATGCCAAGATGCAATATCGTATGAATCGCCTTTCGAAAAATTTTTTTATTGTAACTAAATGTAATCTTACTGGTTGTGGGTGAGGGTGAAGACAGTTCGGGATATTTTTCAGCACATGAAAGTGTTTTAGTAGTTTGTGTAGAAGGCGTCGTTGTTTCAGCACGAGTTGTTATACCATATGTTGTGGAATCTAAACGCAGAGTTTGATGCTTTAGATTGTGACTCCACAAAACAAATACATTTTTTTCAAAAAGGAAATAATTTTAGCTTTGAAATAAAAACTACATTGATTTCTCTATCTATTTGACTCAATGGTTATAAGCATTATATTATATACATCCGAATATATACATTTCTTATGCTACAGAAAACAAGAGGATAGTTACCTTGATTGGTTTTACTAGGCGCAAGCGTTTGAGTAGATTGGGAGGCACTACTACCAGCTTGTGTGCGTGTGTTGTGAGTAGGAACTACTGTTGATTGTTTAGTGACCGTATTTCCTTCTGACATTAGACTATTGATGACGGTTGTAGCAATTGATACAGTACCTGTATTGAAGTGAGAGAAACGTTAAAATTATGCAATAGACGTATACATATTTTTGCACAATCAAAATGCAAGCAGCAATCAATTAATAAAGGAACAACAACTCGACAACTTTTTTTTATTTGTTCATCGAGGATATAGAATCCGATTATGTGCAAACATATTTGGGCGGTTTTTCTCAGCAACGATAATCTACTGTAGAATCGACCAAAATTTAGTTCTTACTTTGATGAATGCATGCTATAAACCATTATGAAAAATTTTGAAATCCATTTAATTCGTTCATTACTCCAGACAGCTAAGATCCATATCAAATAACCCAAAAAATAAATAAATTCAAGCGCTAGCAAAGGCAAAATGAAAATAGCACAGTAAACATAAATATCACAGTAAAACACCGCAATATCGGCAAAATAATTAATAATTAGAATAATAATTAAATTAATTTAATACTCTTGGGCAAAGGTCGAAAGCCACCGACTTGGAGTATAGTATAGTATTCTACAGGTTTCCATTGATTGATTTTATCGCGCCAAAATCAAAACCAAACAACTACATCTTTCCAATTTTAGTTGATTTCACAGTGTTTTATATACTATAAATAACAATGTAATTACTTGTAGAATCACAACCGGTTGCTTCTTTGGATAACTGTTTCAACAAAAGGTCTTGTAACTCCGCATTGTCTCGTATTTTCTCTGTAAAGTTAACAACAGATCAATGCTCAAATATATGGACACGAAAGCCAAAACTAAGTAGTAAGGGCATGTAATCTGTTATAGTAGACTACAGGTGCTGACTGACCATCAGATCGCTAACGAGAAGGCGGAACCGCCACAATTAGCGCAATTTCGAATTTTGATGACGTAATCGCACAAAAAAAATATAAACAAATCCCTTGGACCAGGGGTCGATAAACTGCGGCCCGAAAACTATTTTTTTGCGGTCCTCGAACGACCCGACCCAACTTTTAATGCATAAAACAAAAATGAATCCTAAAATTATAATTGCCTTCGCACGAATTTATGGGGTATCAAGTACTGCTGTACGACGCTTGTTTTGTAGTGAGGAGCGTCAGTTCTCTGCCTTTTCCTGGTGAACGCCCCATCGTTCGTTTTACTATAAGGTAAGTTTATGTTGATTTTTGAAATATAAAAATGAATGGGAGATGGAGGAGAGTTTGCGACCAGGGCCGAACATTCGAAAGTGCTTGGACGGAATGATATTTTTCATTCTTGCGCATTTCAAAACCAGTTTGCCATGTCAGCATCGCAGTTATTAGGGGATTAAACGTCATTATGGAACGTGTCTTGCGAATACGAAATTCGACCACGAGACCCGGGGTTGCGCCAATACTCATCCGTGCTACAGTAGAAAACGTGTGATGTGCTCGTTCAGAGACACATATTTCTGTGAGCAGTTTTATATAAAGTACGTTACACAAAAATAAATTTTGTACTCGCTTGTCAGATCGTCATTTGGTCGACGTATTCGGGGCCAACAAAAGTACCATTTGATTTTAACGCTTTGGCCATGACACAGAAACAACATCATCCTTCACATTGATAAGAAGTGAATAAAAAAAGTAATGTTTGATGATATATCGAAAAAGACCACATACACGTCGCATTGCGGAAGGGTTTTAACACAGCAAAGAAGGTGCGACTGCGGCATAATTTGAATTTAATGTGGCGATTGTTCGTAGGCGGAAATTAATGCGGCCCGCAAGTACATGAAATTTTTCGACCATTGCTTCAGACACTTAAACCCACAAAAATTTTTGAAATTAAAAAAAATACCCTTATATCAAAAATACAATCTTTAAACCTCTGAAAATTCCAATGAAATTGGTCAAGTAAATAATGAGAAAAGCGATTTTTTAATAACAACAATAAAAATAAAAAAATTTAACAACAACAACATAATAACAAAATGATTCGTATGTCTCAAAAGTCTCAAAAGTCTAATCATTTTTATTTGAAACGCATTCACAAGTTTTAATTTCAAAAACGCAAATAAATCTATCCCCATCTGTCGGCATCCTCAGATCGAAGCGGTACGCGGTATTTGACTCGGATTTGATGCTTTCAATATCCAAGCATATATGATTATTTTCATTTCCCTAGCTTGAACTTGTACTGTTTGATCGCGCGAGTAGACTACATGCTATCAATATTAATAGTATATTTTAAACCAAAATTTCTTCAACATAATCTACTCACACATATACTCACGTTCCAATTCCTCAGGCTGTAAAACAAATGTAAAATATCTTTAATCAAAAATAGAAAATAAAAGAACATAATTTCTGCTACAAATTTAATTGAGATTTTTTGGGGATTTTCTTTTATTCATAAAGATCTTCTGCAAACTTGTTTATTAAAGTGTTAGTCATTGATGTTATTAGAAATATAGAATATTGGAAGGCCTTGATCTATTTAAGAATTGATATCTTTATATTCGTTACATCTAAAATTATTAACACACCGATGAAAAGTTGATTTCAAACGTCTTGGTGTCTTCTTCCTCAATGGATAATTCAGTGCTGCCGTCTAAAAAAACATATATAATGTTTGTTTTAACATAATTCTAATTTTGAGAAGTATTGTCAGTTGTTGAAGGCTGCCTTGCTACACAATACAGTGAGACCGAGCATTGATATTTTTAAGAAAGGAGAAATTAATAAAAGGGGTTCTTACCATCGCAGCTTTTTGTAAGTTGTAAAACTAGGAAAAACAACGATAGTTCGATGGCTATCTTCATGATGTTTTCCGTTTTCTACATCTTCAATTCAACGACAACATCAAAAATATACTAACATCGTCAAAAGTCTGTATTGATTTGCAGCTAGCGATGACAAAGTTGGAACTAGACTGCTGTTTCGACCTGATAAACAAACTGCCTTGTGCCTAAATTGCGCTAATACATTCATTCAAGTCGGAACAACAATATGGCATCAACAACGCCAGTCTCTACCTGATTGATTATTCACAGAATCTCACTTATGGATATTTAAAAGTATGGTGTATTGGTCTGAGTAGTGGCCAGGGATAAATCACATTCTCATTCTTGATATATGCATGGCCATGGTTAGCTTTAAAACAAAATGCTCAAAATAGTTCAATGAGGAAGCTATGACGAATCTCTACCTACGCCTGCTCGTTAAGCGAACGTCCGCATTGTCCTGTATTGACTGCCATAAACTTCCGCATGGCTTGGAAGTATTTAGAAGAACTCGAACAAAATATTAAATTTACGATAATTAAATATTAGTTTATTTATTTTTTATAATTGATAAAGTGAAATTACAATTAAATACGATGTAAACACACACAATAAAATGATAGCAAAGTTTTATAAAAGCTTGATAAAACATAAAGGCAACGTGGGCTTAAAAATAATTGTAGAAACAATTTTTGTGCGCGACTCGTTAAACGAAATAAAGTATAATAACATTTACAGCGTCGTCCACTCACATCTTCATTGATTTTCCTCAGCATAGCAGAATCTACGTTTAGTTATTTTGTTAAAATCACCAATCATTCATAATTCAAAAGTAAACTGCTAATGATCTTTAAAATTACGATTTGCTGTTACACAGATTACAACCAATACAGACTTGGTCCAGATTTTATTGAAGCGAGTATGCGACGAATTCGAGCTTTGAATAAAATGAAAAACCAGGCCAAAATTTGAATCCAACTAAGATTAATACTGAGATTATACGCGGGAACAAAAAGTATTCTAACTTTACGATAGTTTACTCCAAATTTGATAGCTTGTTTTATGACCGAACATATAACATATGGTTTATGTTATGATTGTTTTTATAAATATTAAGGTTGAGAATGACGCTTGATTTCTTTACTGTAGTCTTATCAAAATGATATAGAATGGTTTTGATAGTATCATGTAATTCAGCGTACCAACAGATGTCACCAAGACACTTTTGTAACCTCCCCAAGGTTGCAAAAACAATACCCTATTGTGAGTACTTCAGCCTCTGGCGTAGCATTTTGTTCCTAAACAGGGCATGCTTTTCCGGGTTCAAGCATCGATGTGCATCGATTTTGCATTCTAATTTGTGTACATGAGTCAATCAAGGAACAAAGCCATTATCGTTGGATATATAGAGTCATTTCATCAGATAAATGTGTTATGCATTGACAAAATACGTTCAGACAAAAATACCTATTTAAAATATATCAAATGAAATTCTTCTGAAAACCGTTAGAACCAAAAATTAATTTCACAAAAATTAAGAATGAAAGCAGAATCAAAACATTCATATTTGAAATATAAATTGGTAATTTCGTTAGTTATAACGTAACAATAAAATACAACAAAATTGCATTCATGTGTTTTCTCGGTCATTTGTAAATGTTAGCATTGATCAGTTATCTTCTTTTCGCATATAAAAGAAAAATTATGCGGAGGATTATCACAAGGATAATCATGAATTGTCCAATTGTTTTTAGGGAAAACAACCGCACATTTCTCGTTATTATTCTCTGGCTGGTTTGTACCCCAATTAGTGTTATTAGCAGTAGAATTGACTCCATCCGCCCAACGCCAAAATCCATTCAATTCGTCTAAACCAATCCACAAGCTAAAAGTAATAAAATATTAATTCTCCTTCATCAGGATTTTATCTGAATATTTCTACAATTTATTTCACACTTACTGACGTGTATCTCCAATCTTTGTAAAATTGAGCACAGTTTTATTGCGAATATAACCAGATACTAAATTTCGGCTCATATTATGACAGTACTCTTTCGATTGTTTGTACGTCATGCTTTTATTGATGAAAAGAAGTTGGTCAACATTTTCCTCTGGTGACGTTGGTTTATCTGAAACGGTTGTAATATAGCTGGAATTTCGGTGGAAAACACAATATTCTAATCATATAGACTTAGTTGGCTCATTACTATTACAATATCCCTATTCCTTTTTATCTGAAAAATGATTACCTGCTTCGTTCAATAGCTGTCTTTTAATCTGCTCAGCAAGACGGTCTTGGAAATTTTTGTCCTCAAGTTTGTCTGCGAATGCAAAATCACAAACAAAAAATGATCAAAAATGTTGACAGCATTTATATACGAGCTAATTTAAATATTCAAAGATACTTTATTACGATATAACCGTTATTTTAGAATACTTGTTCAAACGAAATTTAGGTAACATAATCATTAGTTTCAATTTTAAGTTATGAAACGTCATACCTCGGTTAAATCTCTAAATCGAACTGAAATGCTATCATTATTGTTTATAATGAGATATATATATATATATGAAATGATATTAGGAATAAATATATCAGAATAATTAAACGAGTGTTAAAGAAGTAATTCTAATTTTAAAGAAATTCATTCAGAATATCAGTAATTAGGGCCGGGAATTTCTGGGATATATTTTCAGGGTTAACTGCAGCGTGACGTTTGACGTAGTAATTTATAATTTCAGCTTGTTACGTCACAATGGTTATAAAGCAATTTCGCGTGATCTTATCTCGGTATCGCTCAAAATTATTCACGAATCGAGATAGTACATGATTGCTCTTTTGCGAGAGATATGCGCAGCGTGGTTAGGACATGTGGAAGTATTGTAGAAAACCCGATTCCGTTACCAAACGTCATCTATGTGACAAATTTTCAGTGATCGATGTACAAATTCTACTTCGAGATATCATAAAGAAAAACGGCATCATCTGTGCACTTGTTCGATGACATTGAATATATATACGATTTTGCAATAAAATCGTGAACAATATATTTCGATTGTAGACTGATTCTGAATTTATCATTGTAAATTTTTATAATCAGCAATCATTGTACTTAATTATTTAAATTACAGATTTTCGGGTCCTTACCAATACAGTTAGTGATATTCTTCTGAAACAAACGCCACAGGAGATAAATTTGCGATGACGTAATCATTTTTGAAGAAATTGTACAGTATAAAAATGATTTGTACCCGAGATGTCAGTTAACGGTTAAAATAAATCGTAACCGTTAACCATCTAAAATCGGTTAACCGGTTAACCATTTCCAGCCTTATCAGTAATATTTCTGCAACGAAATAAGCGTCATTTTCTAGTTGATTGGTCACATATTAATTTATAGTCAACATTCAAAACGATTCGATATCCAGTTATCTAAAAAGTTGTTACTCACTTTCCAAATCTTGTACCTGCAAAAATAAAATAAAAATATTCACATTTTTTATGATATTTTTGTTGCAATTTTAACCGTAAATGCTGAGTGATATACACACCGAGTTGAATGACAGAGAGATGCATCCGTCTTTTTCCGAGGAACATTGAGATTTGCTTGAAATGCTTGATCGAATTTCAACTGATATATAATCCAAAAATCAATACATTTAATCATTCACATTTAATTTATTAATGACAAAAATAAATCCAGATTGTATTAATATATTATACGTAATCGTACAGAAAGTGGGCATTATCGATCGATTCGCTAAATGTTGTTGAAGTTGTTTTTTTTTTTGGAAAAAATCGTACCGGATAAAAATCGGTTTGAGAGTTTCAGTAAATAACAGTGGAAGAAGTAGTTAAATGGTTATTATATTTATTTAATATTTTACAAATCATTTCGGAGTTATACGGGTTTGATATTTCTTCAAAAATATTGTTTATTTTGAACATATTGCCCCACCACGCGGCAGTACGTCAAAATAGTACAACAAAGCCGGTGCTTGCCGCTACGGCTTCAGCGGTATCGATGCAAATTGTCACGGAGTGATCGTGAATTTTTATTCGAAGAAGTCGAATTATCAGATTTCTGTGTATGCCACGTAGACTAGTGCGGTTATTTAGCAGCATGACATGCAGTCAAATGGATGCAAATCTCTATAATGAAAGCTAGCTTGAATGCTGAAAATGATTAAATTTTAAATTACTCACTTTGACATATTCCTATTCCAAAGAAAAGCAGCAAAATATAAAGAAACACAGTCGCCATTGTGCAGATATGGTTACTTCACCTTGAGTTGACCGTTGACCGTTGACAAAGTTGACCGTTTACATTTTATAATATACTGTCTTTGTTTTTCTGTAAAGTTGATTATTTACATTTCAGTATATACAAAATCGTAAATACTGGGTATAATTCTGAAATATCAAACTATACAAATATTGCAATCCTTCGTAATAGTACTGAAAATGTTTAATTTTAACATTGAAATGCCAGTTTGCAGCTAATCAATTTTTCAAAACGCCCACCAGGCACGTCTACCGCCTCACATTACAAAATAAGCACTAGAAACAGCGGTTTTATACAAAGCTAAATCAGTAATGATACAATGCAATTCAATGACTACAACGAATGACATCCTGAATGCTAACGTAAGGATAATTGGTCATTCTTCAAGAGACAAATACGCGTTTGTGTGCTGCGTTGCATACATAACAGTGATCAATCTATAGGCGGAAAATTTTCCCCGCAATGCATTTCCATATTGCACTCTACATATTTAAAATGCCTTCAATGAGTGTTGTGATATTTTGATCACACACTAATATCATTTCACAACTAGAATAATTGTAATGATATTTATAGTGTGAGTCTTTACACAATTTAATTGTCTGGTTTAATTAGGCTGCCTATCAAATGCTAATTAATGGATACTTCCTACTATTAAAAGCACTGTTTTATTGACGAAAATCTTGCCGGATAAAAGCCATCCGATATGACTTTTTCTGATTATTATCTGATGAAGCTATCTTCCAAATATCAGTTCGCCAACTCTCCGGCCCGCGGAGCAATATAATCCGGCCCGCGACGCTTCACTGAATTATATTAACAAAACAGCTGTATTGACGATTATATTCTTTACTTCACAGAATTCGTTTTGAGACACTAAATTATACTATAACCTAATAGGTATATAATTCACAATCCCTCGTTTAATAAGCCTATATTTGATTATAGTTAGAGAAATGGCAACAGACTGAAAAAGGTTGATACTGAGTGCAAATCGTTTAACGACGCAGAAAATATTCAAATGATCAGTCTTCGCACACTGCTTAAAATTCAACTGAAATCTGTGTGAAAAAATGTGTTTCATTAGCCATTCCTTCAGTTTTTAATTTTCTAAAAATATGTGCGGCCCGCCAATGACTTGCAACCTTTAATTTTGGCCCGCGAATGACAAAAGTTTGCCGACCCCTGCGCTAGACTATATTATTCATTATCGATGTATATTTTGATTTAATGGACAGTTCGATATTTCGAAAAGTTTCAATAGTGTATAAATTAAGATGACAAATATACTCGTAGTACTTCGAATAAACAAGCTGATACTTTGTCAAATCAATGTCATCACCCCAATAATTCCATGCGATTACAAAAATCTCTGTTGTTCTGAAATATCGAGTATATATCGGCAATCCGGCGCTCCAGAAATGTGTGTACCAATATGGAGGTAACTAATCTTGTTCGCCTACATTTTTTCCTGGAGATGGAGATTACGACAAATTACAACCAAATTGTAATGAAAGGCTAATGAAATCAAGGATTACCAGTGGATGGATTTAGCGGGTGCTCCCGAACCCATTCTTCGAATGTCCTAGTACCGGTTATTGTGTCTTAGGGTTTTGTCTTAAGGGTAGACATTAAAAGACCATATAGCAAATGGGCAAAGTGACCCGCAGCTAAGGACTTACGTTATATTTGGCCAAGTTATGCATTGTATGTATATATGTAAAGCGCGCGTTGGTAATGCATCTTACGTAATGAGATATATACGTACATTTTCTTGAATGAGGTAACTTGGCTTATCCGTCTACTCGTGAAACCAATCTATTCTACATTTTCTTCAATATATATATTTTACGGTTCGCCCCGATATTGAATTAATTTTGCCTCCCTGCAGAAGCAGGGACACGATATACAACCTTTATCACTCATCTATGACTGCCTGAATCTAACCCCATTTGCCTTTCAATTGATAACTTTCATTTTTGCCTCTTCTCATAGCTTTTGCAGCTGAGCTTACAAAATTCGGATCTGTTTTTGCTCAGTTTTCAGTATTCAGAACTATGTCTATTGTGAAATTCTTGATTTAACAGAAATCCGACATTGATTTGACTCGATGAAGAAGATTATGTTTGAACTTAACTAAAACAACTAACAACACCTAAAAAGTTACACGTGCTAACATCCATAGACTACTATATTATGTGATTTGACTTATATTTTCCGAATATGATAATTTAAATTGGGAATTTGCTAAAAGAAATCGTATGAAATATAATTTTGCTTTTTATCATTTGAGGTTTCTGGTCGAGATATAAAACATATTGAATATTAAACCAATAAAATAAAGAGAGATGTTGATAATGGATAAACAGTTGTCGGACAGATATTCAACTGACAGTGAGATTACAAAAATTGGTTTCAGTTTAATTCATTAGAAATTAAACCTGATATTTCTTTGGGTCATGTTATATAAATTGGTTCGATGGCACAAAAATCACGAATAAATTTATTCATTCCGATCATATACGAATTCATTTTTACACTACTGTATGTTAGAATTTAGTTTTTTGATTGGAAGTTAATTATCTGGGCTTTGCAAAACCGTGTCAACCTATAGTTCGCATAAAGCACCGCTCAGGTGTGACCCAGCCTGAACGTTGATTATGCCTTGATCCTCTTCATTATTTCTTGCAATACGTAGAGCCATGCTTTCTTCATTCGATTCAGATGATGGGAAGGATGGATGCCAGGTTACTTCAGAAAAATCTATTGGCGCATTGGATTCAGATCGGACTTCATTTGTCTGCGTACATAAATTTTAACATTATGTGTCATGCAAATCAACACATAATTATTCTGGTGTAATCGTCTATATTTTGTCTTCCAGATATATACTGTAAAAGGCTAGAAATGGCCCTGTAAAAATGCCTCTTGGAGAATATAAACGCTGTGTTTGCTTAAATCCCACGGATTCAAAATTCCCCTCTATATGAATTAAATTTTGTGAATATCACTTATCACTTTAAAAGATTGATTCCCCAACAATATTGCTAGCTTTCGTATTGAGTATTATATCATAGAAGAACAGTCCTGAGTGGAAGTACCCAATCGCCCATGAAGTGTATATCATACCTTTGGATCAAACTTCATTCCCAGCCATACATCGCCATTCATCTGGTTCAAAAACATTTGAAGCCGTAAATATTCTGCAATCTTGATGTAATGCTCTTCGGTATATATGTTTGCCAGATCCCAACCAATGTTTCCACAAATTGTTCTCGCATTAGCTTGTGTGATATCCTTGGATTCTTTCCAGACAACGTGGAAACATTTTCCAGAGTATTCAACGTCACATTTACCTGAATGTTTTATCAGTCAAAAGTTACGAGATAAAAATTGAAAATAGGAAATGAGAGCAAAAACAATTTTCAAAAGGTTTTTTAGAAAAGAAAGAAAACTACAAGTGTAATAATTTAATGAAGAATGATATGTAGTTTTTGCAAAATATAAGTTTTGGATTGTGTCACATTGACATCATGGTCGAAATGATTACTTCAGCCCAACACCAATTATTTCTAATTGTCCAAGCAAACTAATTTTAAAACTTCATTTGTGTTAGTTCGTAGTATTGGGTATCAGTTTTCCCATTCATTTAGACAATAATGACCCAACTCCAAGTTCGTTTTGTATAGCTTGCTCTGGAAATTTAAAAGAGTACAGTTAGGACAGTTACAAGCGACGCGTAAACGTATTAGATTTATAACAGTGGTGGCCAACACGTCGATCGCGATCGTCTCGAGTAATCGATCGCGTTTGATGTTGAGTAAATTTATTAAAATACCACAAAAAAATTGCCTTGAACCAGTTTCATACAGCGCCTGTTGTGTGTTTTGAAACAGAAGGAATACTGTCCTGTACATGCGTAAACCATGATAATTTTTTTCTAATTCCATGGGAGCGAAAAATCGGACTTGACGGAAATTGTAAATTAGATAGGATAGGCTACTGAAGTTTTATCAGTCATGTAACATTTATGGTTTGGAAATATTTATTTTCCGCTGTTTAGATAGTACACAGATACTTGGCAAAGTTTTATGAAGGAATTTTCTACGACTTAAAATTAGGCAGGCCTTAGATCTGAATTGTATGATTTGAATAAATCTAAAATGAATTATGAAAAACATATACTACGGGTACAATTACATTCGAATCGTTAAAACGTATAAAATAATCAAATGTTACAAAATGAGATGACGGCAAGATAGCTTTAGAAGCAAACGCCACAAGACGACGAAGATAATAGTAAATAGGACATATTCTGACATTTTATATATGTTTACAAGCAGCTACGAACCATCATGTGTAACTGATCGAAGAGTTTCCAACGATGATGAAAACGAATTCTTGATTTCTTCCAACTTAGAATCAAGTTCACACATTCTTGCGTTCAGTTGATCAAAAACTGTATAGAAAAGTTTATAGAAAAATTTACATATGGGCAAAGGAATAAGTTTCCGTAAAAGCGACGGGAATTAAGACATTGGTGATCGTCGATTCCCGCCATCTCTTGTCCGTATTCGCTGTTCAACATCGCAACCTAATAAATGGGCAGTCATCCTAATCTTTTGAAATTGTTACCTCTCAAGTAGGTGAGTGATTATGACAGGTGAATATGACGAAATTAAATTTCGTTGTAAATAGGCAGTCAATTGATGCATAATATACTTTGCATTCAAGTTTTTATATTAAATACAAATTCTAATATTGGTTTAAAACACATTCAACATTTAATGAGTATAAATGATAGATGCACTCGCACTCATTCACTTATTTAAACAGGACTGTACATTACATACGATTTATATTTTAGGTATTTAATGACTTTCAAATTCCCTACCCCAGTATAATACTGTATGAATATATATCCCAAAGGAGTTTAAATAGATGACATAGAAAATATTGCGTGTATTCTATACTCATGAATAGCCACATCTCTTCTTACAATTGTCAATATTAGTGCCCATTTCGCCGGCATGCTCAGCTGTTTCAATGTCATCAAGGTCGCCTAGAACAGCAGGCAAATCATTAAGATCGGTGTTTGAAAGGTCTCCGAGATCATCTGAGAAATCATTCAGGTCCGGGAAAAGTACGTCTCCAGTATCTTGAAAATCGACTTCAAGATCGCCAAAGTCAATTTCTTCAAAGCTTGGGACATAATCAGTCACACAATCATCCCCGACGCATGGCAACTCGTCATCTGTTCCAACAATATTTTCGCATTTACCTAGAGGAATAAAGCAGCCGCAAATTATTAACAGGGTCAGCCGCCTCATCATTAATCCTCTTACTTGCATCTGCAATTTTAGTAAGCAAATATTCATTGATAAATATGAATTATATATATATATATATATATATAAAATGACTCAATGATGCTCCTGCCTATATTTGTCTCTTGTAATTTATTTCTTCTATTAATTAATTCAAGATATATTTATTAGACCCATGAAACATTTGTAAAGAGATGAAGGAGGGAGAGCGGAGCGGAAGAATCTTAACTTGCGTCCACATAGTTTGAAGTCCAGTTCCGACGCACGTTTAGTTGCTACCTACGTTCACCGACTGACTCACAGTGTGATAAATGCAATCAAAACACGTCGCCAAAGTTCGTGTTGTATTTTTTTTAGCTTCCTTTCCTTTCCAGGTTTCCCACAGTTTATATTCACTACTTCTCTCTCTAATAGAATTAGCATTCGATCTTATCGTGAATTTATATAATTTATCTTTATCTTTAGGAGTTGTCTCTAAGCTGCATTGGGCTTTGAGAAATTGCAAATATTGAGAAACTTTTCTATTTCAGGTTTTTCGATCGACGCGCTCTATACTCCTATCTATATCCTGATCGCAGATTAGGTAAACAGGTCACATCTTACATATGAAGTAATACAATTCCAGTAAATTCACGTAAATATATCCGTTAATGTGGCAGTCTCAATGTATTAAAATAATATTTATTACTAAGCTTGGTCTGAAAATATATCGCCAGTCCGTGCTCAATTAGAATACACATAATAATAGATTAAATCGTTTTGATATGTCAGTGACCAAACTAAGTTTTTGACAGTATACCAACATGAAATGAACTATTTACTTATCAGTAACATAAATAACGGATTTGGATCGTCAGTCGCAAAATACAACCAATCAGTTGTTTCGATATAATTGTGCAAATATTTATTTAAATGTTTCGGATGTAACCGCACGGTCTGCAAAAATGTAAAATTTGTTTTATTATGTATGCGAAGTTGCTATTAATCTTACGACATGTTTTATAAAGAGGTATCAAATCTTTAAAGCAATGGGTATGCATCTTTGGAAAGCGTCCCGTATCAATGTTACCTTATGAAAAACGGGTGAAAGAATTCGTCCAGTGATGTAATAAAATATCCACCATATCCGGAAAAAAATCACGGTAAATCGTACTTAACGTTGAACTTTTTTATTTCATAATTGTACCATTGCTTTGCAATATATTAACGACTTATTTTGGACACGTTTCTAATACCAATGTTTATCATATAAATATTGAGTTTTTATTATTATAAGGCGAAAATCTTTCAGTGCATCAAAAATGTCCCAAACTTGCCCACTTGTTCTGAGGTAAGGTAGAAATAGATTGTGTGAGCAAATGAAGTGGGATTTGTGTTCTGCACTAGCTTCGGATAGATATAATACCTGAAGATCAGAAAAAATGTGGGCCAAAACCTTTTTGAGAACCCAAAACCTCTGTCAAAGTGATCAAAAGACAGGCGGCATATATTTTGTATTGGCATGGTAACACTTCATCTTGCTATCTATCGTAGGCAAATTAAAGAAACCAAGTTTCATACCGTGTTATACCTGAGCATTAACAATGGAATTTCGAAAATAGGCTATAGAATAAATTATATTTGCACAAACAGTGTGGAGCAAAAATCTGGAAAATTACACATTAGGTTGAATGATAACTGTTTACTACAAACTACGAATTTTGTTCGCACCACACCGCGTGTTTAGATTCGGCTTCGTATTGATTAACAAACTTCGCTGCAAAAGTATAGTTTCTTATGACTTAGGAATACGGGAGAGCAATGCTCAAAAATATGTGGGACACAAGCGGCCAAAACGGAGTAGTATCAAATCTTTATGCAGGTAGTCTGGCCACTAGATCAATGTGATGTTATCACGGAACCACTTCACCGTGCGCAATTTCCAATTTTAATAACGTCGTCACAAGAAATTTCAAAATGAAAAACAAATCCAATAGAGACCACAGATATCTTTGAAACAGGTAATAATAACCTTTCAGCGACAACAACAAGCTTCAACCACGGACATTTTTTTTGAAGCAATTGGTTCAGATTTTTGCACAACAACAATATATATAATAACGAGAATATCGGTCGGAGACCGAAGAATTATCGATCGAAAGGTTAGGGGATCCCCTAAACAGAAACTGTGGTTTCGATTCATCCGCTCTTACCCCATAGCGACACCGTGTGTCCCATCACTAATTAAATAATACCTCGCTAATTATACCACATAATTTATCCAAAATCAATAGGCGTCTGGTCCGAGATATGATAAATGCACATGCAAAATTTGGAGCAGATTCAACCTCGCTTTCGTGAGATATCGCGTGCATCTAACGGACAGACAGACAGACAAATACCTATCAACATACTTATCGAGATCGATAAGTAACAAACGATCCATAGGTCCACTTGTCCAGAAACTCCATCTTACCAAACTAAAATTGTGAGTAATATTATTGATACCTGTCGTATTTACATTTCTTTTGAAGAAAAAATATGTTACAGACAAAACTTCCAATGTATATTAACATAAGAATATTTTCAACTGAGTCGATATTTCCAACACCAGAAACTTTTAAGCAAGGTATTGGGATTTCAGCAATAATGCTAGCATGGATACATAAAAAAAAATTTTTGTCACCTCACTCACCAAATGTTTGTCACATGCATCCTACAAATAATAATACATTTGAATTTGCTGTAACACGAAAAAATTACTATCAGAGATATAACAAATCAGATGGAAGAATGCAACCAGTCATTAGTCACTTTCAAATACGAAAGATAGAAAAAATCGGGTTAAAAAAATAAAGATATTTTACTACAACACACGTTAAGGAATATTGGCAATAAAAATAAAAACAGTGCTTATTATGAAATAAGTTTGGTCGCGTACCATCCATCTTGAGTTTGACAAATGGAATAACCAAATTTGAATACCTCATAATAAAGAAAAGCGCTTAATTGTGGTTACAAATGAAACAAATTATCTTAGGCTATTTGGAATTACAAGAATTCAGCAAACCTGCATGATCAATCTGAAAGATTTGCCAGTCAAAATCTTGTCAAACTCGCCCTAAAAATTTGGGCAAATTTAAATTTGTAAAACGCTTCATTCATCATCCAGATTCAAAGTTATAAGAGAAGGCACCGACATTCAACTATATTGTAAAATTCAGCTAGTTAAAATGAAAGAATGTTTTTAATTGATCACCTCATTACCGGATTACGTCACTATATTTTTTACCAGTATTAGTCAAACAAATATTGCCTAATAATGATTGCGATGCTGTGTTCTCCCTCCCTTCCAGGGCTCAACCGATTCTCAGAACCCACAACCCCTTCCAACCCTTGTATGTGTGTTATGTTTCATGTTTCGATGGAAGTTGAAACTGCCAACGATGAAAAATCTGCAGAAGAGTAAAAAACGGGAGATGACATGAAGTGTATATAAAAGCATTGACAATCATAAATAGACAGCATCTGATTTGTACTCAATAAAGGTCAAATTCCAAATCACTTTATTTCGTTCTCAGAATCTTCAACTTAACAGAGTAATGGTAACAATAATTGGTAAATGAAAAACAATAAAGCGTTTTTGATGATGCTATATTTTCAATACCAAATCGATAATAATTGAAACTCAAAACTAGTGGAATTTAGTTCATTAACAGAATGTTTACTAGCGTTGCTTTCTTTATGCCAAATTATTCAATTGAGTTATAGCACATTGTAGACGGAAACAAATTATTATGTCATTGGGTATGGTATGAACTATGAAAAAGTCTATATTTATGTGACTTTATATTAGACTTTGCTCTCATGGTTGCAAAGTTGGGACATTTATCGAGAACATCTTAGCTCTCATCGATTATTATTTTTGCCTTCATAGGGTCACGTTGAACAGAAACACCGACGGCACGGTATTTTCTTTTGCAAATGTATTTGAAACAGACGCCGACGGTACGGTATTCTCGTTTGCAAATGTATAATAAAGAGTTTCTCAAAATGATTGAAATCGCGGTGTCGTCATGGCATTTTTAGAGCACAAAATATTATATTCCAGAAATTTTGAGAAAAAATATGACCTAACTTTACCGCAAACGCTTTTTGAAGAGCGATAAAATCGATGAGATGTTCGAGATGATAACAAATTCTCAATATGTAAAGAAACTTAATTCTAAATAGTCGGGTTCAAACGACTGAAATCTCACTGGCTCCGAAATTTAGTAAGGCATGGATAATATTCGAGTGCTAAAATACTATCTGCATTCGGAAATGGTAATTCAAGTAGTCTTATTATAAAACAATTGCAACAACAATTGCAAACAATTTTCTCAAAATGATTGAAATCGCGGTGTCGTGATGGCATATTTAGAGCACAAAATATTTTATTCCAGAAACTCTAATAAAAAATATGACCTAACTCTACCGCACACGCTTTTTGACGAGCGATAAAATCGATGAGATGTTCGAGATGATAACAAATTCTTAATATGTAAAGAAACTTAATTCTGGATAGTCGGGTTCAAACGACTGAAATCCCACTGGCTCCGAAATTTAGTAAGGCATGGATAATATTAGAGTGCTAAAATACTATCTGCAATCGGAAATGGTAATTCAAGTAGTCTCATTGATAAAACAATTGAATTCAATCATACCCCCTCAACAGTATATATAGAAGTGTGTGCCACTCAAACATTTTTAACAGTATTGAAGTTAAACCTCGAAAACAAACGTTGTGGGAGTTATATGTTAGTCAAGATCTTGAATATAACCTAAAGCAGGAATCTACAACCTCGGCACTCGTGCCAAGCACGAGAAGTGATTTTATACGTGAATGTCCTCAGGTCTGGTTTTATATAAATTTTTCATCGGCAGGCAAACGTATATCTTGACATTGAAATGAACAAATTGACACACTAGAAAACATAATTGCCAACCTTTTCCTTGAGCTAGAGCAGATTAACTGTGAAGATTGATGGATAAAATTATTCATTCATAATTAGAGTGGTTTATAAGCACCCAAGAAAAGGGAAACTATTTCAAATGTTTCAATTTCAAATTTGAACATGGACAAAAGATTTATTTTCTTTTCTTTTTAGAGCTTGGAACATTGACCCATTAAGTCACACAACAGATTCAGTCACTATGAAGTATATATAAGAAGAGAATCCGTTCTTGGTATTTTTAATGCCATCACTGTATTATAGATATCATACTTTGAACAGTTGCGTTTGATGCGAATTCAGTCACCGAGCTCAGTTCATTCCCTAGATCTATTTTTCACACCACTTCCTCAAAATCATTGAATGTGATTCGATTGTTTTCAATGACATCATCTCGAAACAATATAAAATGGAGCGATTTTAACGGTTGTATCCTGTGAATCATGAGCCGCGAAAACATCAGAGGCTCATTACATTCCAAATCGGCACTTCCGTGATACGTAAAATTCCAGTACTTCGACTGCCTTTTACAATAAAGAAAATGAAGAAATCCTAATCATGAATTTTTTTGAATGTTGTTGCAAATATGATAGAACGTGTTTAAAAAATAATTCTGAATGATAAAAATATTAAAGTGTTTTTAATTGTGTACGGGCCATAGTGTCCGTGTTTATATAGAGTATGTATTTTTCATGTTTATGCTGTTTCATCGGGTCTGTGTATTGTGTTGACATCCGAATTTGTATCTGCTATCTGCGAAAGAAGATATATTTTGTGCTCCCTTCTTCTGAAGGTCGGCGTTTCCAGTTATGGCTCTTCTGCCATTGTATGTGTAGAGTTGCCTTGTCAATAAATGACCAACCCGGAATCTCTTCTGATTTAACAACCACAGTAGCAAAAATCTAGTTGGGACGATAGCATAAAATAAAACGAGGCGAGTCATATCGGCAGTAGTAATGGCAGGGTTTGTTCGGTTGTTGATTTGATATGATAACGTCATACACGGAAGCTGTAGATGAGCACTTGTACCCTCTCTACCTATGAGTGCATTGTTTCCCAAATCTAATTCCAGTACTAATAAATCAATGATATTGCGAAAAATATTGAAACCGTTTTACTCATTCTAGTGAGCGCCCGTCGATAATGAAATCAGATAAAATAAACTAATATTAAAAGTACCACGGGACCACGGGTCGAAAAAAAGATAGAAACCCTGCAGTGACTATTTTTTAAAAACTATGCGCACCACCAATCTGACAAAAGTTAAATAATGAGGTAAGGAACAGCGTATTGAGGCAAATTTTGACAGCTTGAAATATATGTAAAACACTAAAGAGATAATCGAGATTTAACCCTTGTGTTCACCTAGCAAATCTGTAGGTCAGGACGGGGTTCTTGGTTCGTAAATTTCAAATGAGCAAACACACGATGTTTTGAAATATCATTTCTTAGTACAGCAGCTAGTTGCACGCCACCAAGTTAATTTTGTGTTTTAAGAATATTTACGAAACCTAATTTTGAATTAATGTATTGCTATATTGTATTGCATACCCCATATAGTCTGCATATATGTGCGTATCAGACAGGATGCAGGATGACAAACTATGATGCACTTCCTTTTAGTGTTAATGGACCATACGATAGTCAACATGCCATTTACAAAGTTTCCGAGAAGCTATTCAAATTTATACTTTCAACACGCAACTACATTCTGTTGGTTACTAGCAACTCGTATTATTATTATGCTTCGCTGTATGAGTATGTGAATGGCAGTACTTTAAGTGGTCAGTGGGGTGACATTTCCAATGAAAATAGCTCAATTACATGTGTTATTTTCAATCTCTGTTACGCAGAACGTAGAAAAGTAAGATTACTGGGAAAGCTAAGGACGGTATCATCATGAAATTGTCTATTTCTTTGTGCTTGGTGATCGCATGTCTGGCTTGTTTAATCGAATTTCAAGGTATGTTATGCATTCTGTTTTGAGTGAATCTTTTCCAACTAGACCGTAAGCTTGTATTGAGCCAGCGAAATTTTGGTTCTGAGTATTATTCTAGGACATCAATTTCGTAACACAGAAATTCACATACCAAAGGTTATTCGAGCATTTATCTTGATTATTTATTTACCTTTAGTTCGGTATAACATTTGGTATAAATTAGTCGAGAAGCGTTAAACTAGGGTTTCAAAATTGGCAGATTCCAGCTCTTTTTTATTTTTTTCCACATGACAAGTTAATAAATGTTTGATATATCCGATTTATTTGGTTATGATATAAAACAGTGCCGTCAATTGTGAACTCGGCCTTGACACGAAAGATTAGCAAATGTATGCTAAATCTGGAAATAGTATAGTGAGATATATTCTACTATCAACATGTGTACTATTGTCAATACCATTTCTGAAAACACATCGTAATAACAAACATGCCATAGTCATCATACCCAAACGAGTAAATAGTAAAATTCCTAATTGTATAATTTAAATTAATTTATTACTGAATTCGGATTATTATAACCGCACATTTTGAAATGAACGTAGGTGATTCCAGAATACCAATTAGGTGTTATGGTAATCAAATTTGGCACGAATAAAAATTCGTACAGTGTTTGTAAAAACAGTGTTGATTGTAAAATAATATTTCTTTGTTGAAATTAATCGAAAATATACAAAAAAATTTTATAACTTTTTCATCACGAATCGATTCACTCTTTTAGGTGTCTTGAGTCATCTTCAAAAAAGAACTCGACTCGAAATGGACTCAATTACCGTCAGAAAGACTTCATCTGTAGATTCAAATGCTTGGACTAAGTCCCCTAACACGTTGATAATTTAACTAAATAAAATCATTTTTTTTTTGGCTTTCTTGGACCAGACAGATTTCAATTTATTTGTGAAGAAAGGTTCACGTTTACACTTATCAAAAACTTTGCACTTACCGTAATGTGTTTTATTTTAAATAGAAACGTCGTTATGCTTGGGAAATTCGTGTGCGGCTCAGAAAAAAGCAACTGAAAATGAATTAGAATTGGTCTTCAATTTCCATAACGTAAGTCGTAAGCAATCAACTTTATTTCACGTTCGCTATGGGAGGAGATTTAAAATAAAACAGCGTTTAATTTTGGCTTAAACACTAAATTTTTTTTTACTTTTTCATTCTTGCTTTTTTCTCTAATAACGAAAAATTACGATCATATTAAAAATTCCTTTGTAAATTTGTGAACATTTTACATAAAAAAATATCCACTTATTTATTTAATATTGAAAATTCAATAAAAAGCTAATAGAGCAGTGGTTCCCAACCACCGTGATTTCGGTGTGCCGCGGAGAGATTTTATTTTTTTATCAATTTCCAATCCCTTGAATCCCGAAAGAATTACCCCACAGCTCTTGCTAACAAGCAGAAACGACAAATTTGAGGAGTCGTATTTGGGTATTGTTTCAATTCCAAGTTTTGCGTAAAGCGCGCCAAAACCATTTTGAAAAATTGAAAATGTCAAACAAGATAAAAAATTATTGTGCGAAATTTTACCAAGGAATTAATATTTGACTAATAGCATTGCCATTATTGCCGATTTGTTGAACTATTATTGACACTCAAAAAAATATTCAGGATTCACGCAATGCCTTGTCGGTTTTTATTCACTAATTAATAGGAAAATAAAACAGGCACAATGGAAAAGTAAAATAATAAGAGTCAACTACCTTCGTCATAGATATTCGCATTTCGGCGTCAGAAACGGTAATATTGTTAGCTTAAAATTGGTACAGGTTATTTACAAACGGTGGGATGAAAGATCAAAGCTGTCGCAAAAGATAAAAATTGGAATTAAACCCTGAATTCACACCTTATTAGCTGTCTTTAACATAATATGTCGCCGATATTAAACAAAGCGTAGTTCTCTCAGAAATATAAAGCCAAACTGCGACGTTCGCCGTTGTGTAATAATTGGTCATTGTAAAAAAGAGGACGGGCGGAAATAGCTTTCCAATGTTAGAAAGTCTAGCGTTTTGGATGCTTGTTGTTTATATATACTAAAAATACCCGAAATACAAAAATTCGTTAAAAATATTCGAATTATTCGATTCGGTAAAAATATTCTATTTTGCCCTTCCTTACGATCTTTAATCACGCCAGTAATCTGGCGAAACGCGTAGTATTCCAAACACTGTTGCAATGAAACTTAATAAAACCTTCATTAAATTTAATAAATCGCACTACTTTACGAAAGCGTGGTAGAATTGACGATTATTTCATATTTCGAACATAAAAACGGTAACATTTTTAGAACAGTTTCTGCGGTCTAAAAAGTCGAATAAGCGTTTCGACATAGTAAATGCTATGACCATCGCCATAAATATATGCTGGGAGTCTGGGACCTTGCACAAAATTCATAACGTGGAAAAATACATCCAGCGGTTTATAACAACTTTAAACCTATAGTGCCTAGTCCTACTGACATTCACTATTATTACTCCATTCCTGTTCTTAAATGTTGTATTAACATGAATAAAATTGCCTTTATCTGATCTTCTTTGTACTATTTCAAAGCAAACTGTCTTTATGAGTAAAAATGTTCATGTTTTGTGATAGGTGTGCCGCGAATATTTGAAGCGCTCAATAGTGTGCCGCGATTTAAAAAAAGTTGGGAACCACTGTAATAAAGAAAAGCGTATTCCCGATAATATTGGAAAATTATTTCTTTAACAAGCTAGAAGAAAGAATAGTGCACTGAATACAAGATTAATAGTTTTATATTTATTTTTATCTGTTCAACATTTCAGCTCGACGAACTAAGAAGTAAGTGACGCTAATATGCTGGGTAATTGGAAATAAACTAATTATGAATGTGCATGGAATGGTGCCTTGCTGTTTTTAAGTTTTGCTGTGCAAACCAAATTCTATGGTTTTCTATACTTTATAGCAGGGTTGTGCAGCCTGCGGCCCGCGGACCGAATGAGGCCCTCAAAGAAAAATTGTGTGGCCCGCGAAACGAGTTATTAATTTAGTTCAATCTGGTAAGTGCGATTAATTCCAAGCCTATACCCGAGTTCTATTTATTATCTATGCCCATGACGTTACAATGCCCTAACAGCTAGCTTGGACGAAGTGAACAACGTATATAATAAGATCAATTACCAAAATATTTGTTTCTGCAACTACTAGAAAGCCAATGTTAAATACAGGTGCGCCCGCGGTTTCACCCAGTTATTTATATCCGGCCCTCCTGTATTAAAGGTTGCACACCCCTGCTTTATAGGACCAAGTAATTTCTTGGTTTATTTCAAAAATTGTTTGTCTCAATTATGCTTGCTGGGCAGTTTCCTTTCAATTGTCTATGACGTATTCTTACTTTGTCGTTATATTTTGAAAGCCTCAGTTTCTCTTTTTGTCTATTATTTTATTCAAGTTTCGTTCTAAATATTGGAGCCACAACCTTATGATGACTAGTTTTGGTTCCTTGGTTCCTATCGATTGCAATGAAATATAGTATAATAATGTATATAATGTACAGTATAATAAACTGTGTTTAAAATATTTATGATTTTTTGCACGAAGAAATGAGATTATTTTCATAGGTTTAACATTCTATTTGATAATCTATTTTCACAATATGAAAATTATTGGAATAATTCTGGAAAACATCAGATAATGTCTTAAGAACCTTCAGAGGTGCACTTCGAAAAACTTCCAAACTGATAAATTGATGATGTGTGTTATAATTTAATTTTCACGCACTTGTTTCACCTCGCCGACAATGCTATCTAATGTTTATATATTTGCAGAAGCACTAGAAGAAAGTCCTGATATTCAAAAACTTTTGGAGCAGCAAGAAATCAATAGCAACCAATTTGAAATACAATCGACAATAGTTGATGGGGATGCATGCTCACCTGAAACATCAATAGAGTCGACTTTATCCACTACCACTGTCGTGACTGACTTTGGTGAGTTTTGAATCTATTTGCAAGCGTAGGGTAACGCTCGCTATACTTCCAAATTCTTTATAATATCGCAGTGAATGGCGTCGAAGTTATTGTATATAGGCATGTTACAGAAATTACCTTTCATTGGACCTCAAATGTACATATATATGTACTGTTTTGTTATTATGTTGGGGTTCGTATTTCTTTTCCTCTTGTTAGATATCCAAAATTCCACAACGTACCTTTTTTGTACCGAACGAAAGCTGTTATTGCTAATTGATAACGCATGTGACACATCCACTCCACCGCCCACCCATATTTCTACACCAATCAACATTTCATTATCGTTATTACCTTCATGCTATCAGCTATCAGTCATGAATGTGACCTGATCGCAGTGAGTTAATATGAATCAATTATTTTTATAAATTTCCGCTTAAGGGACAACGTGTGTAATCTCATACGTTAAATGTAGCTTTATTTTAGTGATAGGACGTGCCGTGCATGTGCAATCATAATAGAATCGTCTTTTTGCGAGCTGCATAAGTAACCCTCAGAAACAACATGGCAAAACGATTCATCAATTATATTATGGGGCAAGGGTGTCAAACTCATGGGTTTGCGAGGGTCGCATTGCATTTCGAGAATTGTGCAAAGGGCCGCAAACAGTATTTGATATATATTGATAATGTATACTTAAAAAATATTTTTAGATAAGGTGTAGTTTGTGACATATATTGTGATGCAATTAAACAGCCGAATGAAGTTTTGTTATTTTCTTCAATTTCAAATGCCATTTACATATTCATTTTTGCATTTCACTGTTATTGCAATTTACTGTATTTATTACAAAAAAATCATAAATTTTTATGTACAACTATCAAAAACATTTTTGGACAAACTTTTGATAAGGAAATAATAATACATACACTAAAATGACTAAATCTAAATATATAGACCTAAAATTTACAAAAATACTACAAAATAAACTCAACGTATTTTTATTACATATGTCCTGACGTTTGGCATCTATTTTATGCCACCAGCTTACTAATATCAGGCTGAAATGATTTTACAGTAACAACTCTAATTAACGAGGTCACATGATCAGTTAATCTGGATCGTTGAAAATGTTTGATTAATTTCAGTGAAGCAAAAATATTACGTTTATCATTCCATGTATAGATCAGTAAACAAACAAATGACTGACTTTTCGGACCAGACATTTCGTGACAGTTCCTACCATTACGTGGCATAGGACCGCTTGAGTTATCAATGATATATATTGATTTTTAGTAATTGGGTAGTTGTATAAATATATTAATATACAAACAAATAAAAATTTTCTGTTCGAAGTTGATCTTTAAATTTGTCATATATATTGACTGCTGAGCTTATTCTGATAATGTTTACTTATATTGTATTCTTTCATTGTACTGATGGAAATGTGACAAATTGAACAATGTGCTTAAGAATTTTGAATAGATGCACAAATTTTGCAACTCCCATTTTTCTTCCAAAATGCCACCCTCTTCATGTACTTTGCGTTTCATTTAATCACTAAACTTTTTTTTTAAGTATTCCTCTGCTAGCTTGAGGTGTATTCATAATTGGGTCAAAATACGAACAAAATTTTTTTTTTAAACCTTCAAAAGGTTTAATAAATGTATTACATTTAGATGAAAAAAAATATGACGACTATTGTTTAGCGTTCGAGGGCCGCATTGGAAGTTCTCTGAGGTCGCATGCGGCCGCGAGTTTGACAGCCCTGTTGAAGGGAGAGAATGACTCTATACGCGCATTCACTCACGTGTTATTGAGTTGACACACGTTTGATTGAGCATAACTCCGATCTGAACTACTCAAAAGTCAATGAGCACACAATGTAACCTACTGAACGCCAAATGTTCGCATGTTGTTAAGTTGCACAACCGAATTGATCCAAATACACTCAAAACCTCAACCCAGGTATATCTGATGAATCCAAATTTCTAACTAACAAAGAACGATGAAGACGAGCAACACTGAGTTACGAAGATTGTAGGTTATTATTATATAGACATTAGCCTTGCTATACGTATCGTCTTCTTTTGCTTAAATACGCCGGAAAGATGCAGTTCGACAATTAAGAATTGGTTTTAATAACATTGAATTATATTTTAGACCAATCGTCTGATGCAACTACAAAAGTTCAAACCACACAATTTGAACATACGCCAACTCCAAAAACACCACCGGAACATTCTGCTACTGAATCAACTAGAGATCCACAGCATGCATCAACAGACGAACCAACAATATCCACGGACTTAATAAATGCAACCCTCCACCTGGCGACAATGGCGGATAAAGCATCCCCAGAATCTCAGAGTCCCTCGGCTGCGCCTATTACTGCCCTAAACTTCCCTGTGACTGACGAATCCATGCAATTCTCAACGGCAGTCCAATCCGGGTCCAGCACAGAACATGCAATGGCTTCCAATCCCGACTATTCAAACGAGTTAACCCCCAATAAAGGATCAGGAATCACAACACAATATACAACAGCAGACATATCGACTACTATTGTTTCACCGAGAGATACTTCCACACCCATGGTGGAAACAACTTCAGACCCATGCACGGCACAGCAAACAACGGCTAACCCCACTAATGGTAAATCTATGTTCTAGCTTCAGTTATGATTTTATCAATTGGCAGAAAACATATATCAATTCGATTCAAGTTGAAAATTTTCTTGAGGGCAAAGAAGGGTTGGGCAATGGACAATAGCCAAAAATGTATAAGTTGTTCCCATACCATTCAAAATAATAGCAGATTGTCAGTTAATATAGTATATAATACATACTATGAAATTTTCCCTCATTATATTATTATAACATGCATTTCAGAAACATGTCCCATTTTTTATGGCGGAAAATGCTACACTGTTGTCACATGGAATGGAACAAAAAAAATTGAAGACGCAAAGACACAATGCACACCAGCAGATATATGCGACTACTGTCATTTCAAGGAAGTTACCCAATATTTAGGAAAAGATTTATACGAAAAGAATTCGAAAAGTATAGAAATATGGACTGGAATGACGGCAAACAGTTCAGTAAGTAACCAATATGTTCACATTAATTCCTTTGTGCTAAAAATGCACGGACTTAGAAATCCTTCACTGGTAGGGGAAAACCGTTCAAATTCTGCAGTGGTACAAAAAATGACAACAAACAACTGAAACAAGACAAAATTAGTCAGAAATTTCAATTGATGTTCAAACACGCTACTATTCAGCGTGACTGCCACTATGGCGAATCCACAAATGGAGCAAGTTGTCACTGCTTAACCAAAGGTTTAAAAGGATTTTATATTTTTTTTGCTTAGTTCCTGCCTGGAGAAAATTAAAATATGAAAATATGGAAAACAAATCCAATGATCTTTATTTAACTGCATTCTCAGGAGAAGAAAATGTATCTATCGTCGGGAGAGGAAGTCACATTACCATCTATCAAGCTGAAATGGTCTGGTGGTGAATATGTTGCTATAAGAGGTACAGTCGGTGGGGATAATTACCTTTTCGTCTCATTAGGACCCGCTGGAAAGAAGGGAGTTTTGTGTAACGCTACAGATTAATAAATCTTCACATGACACAAGTTTTTGAATTGGTTTGAATTGGAATTGCAAAACGAATAATTACAATGTCTATAGTTTCAAACAGAATATCAATAGAATAGAAATATCAATCTGAAAATAAATAGCTGTTAAGGGTGACAGGGTGGAGGGGATGTTCGAATGGCTAATGTGTTCAATCATATTGGAAGTATATTATACTTATAAATTAACAAAATAGCTTCAAAAAAACTAAGTCACTGTAATGAAAAAAAATTACCACTGATTGAGAAAACATATTTTCTAAATAAAAAAGAGACCTATGAAATAATTGTGTCTTGCAACATCATTTGAAAAATTATTGCACTTAATATATATTATGCTGATAATGTTTGATGTAGAGTTAATGATTCCAAACACATTTGAAAGGTTCAGAAGGAGGCCCTTTGAGACATTTATTCAACTTATCACACCCCTTCGGTGCCCAATTCTGAAAAGAAAATGTAATCTGAATTTAAATCGTAATTTAGTATTCAACTTCAATATTTCTATAGCATTCGATTGCCTCATCATACGTAACCTTTCTGAAAATCAAAAACACTTGACACTGTTTGCAGATAGTGAATGGAAAATGTTTTCATTTAAATTCATCTGGTTCCAAAACTTCCAAATTGAGATAGAGACGAGAAATACAAAATTGTTAATGAAATTGGGAGATGGCTGTACAGCCAAGAGCCATGCCGATTTTGGAACAATCTTATCTGTTACGTCAATTTTTATCAAATATTATATAAGTCACTATAAAATGACAAATTTTGAAACACTAGTAATAGTATTAATTTCGAATTTACTTTGAAATAAATTTGTTTCAAATATCAAAATTACCTGTGAATTATCCACTTACCATTATGCCATTATCGCACATATCTAATACGGCATGTCCTGGTATTAAATTTTGTTCATGTTTCATCACTTCATTTTTAATTAATTTCATTGCGGCTTCGTATTCAGAATTAAACCTGAATATATTCGGGAAAAAAAAAATTTATTAAAAAGATATGTTTGATGATTTTTTTCAAATAGTTTTGCGAATTCGCTGCCATGTTTTTTTATTACATTGAGGCCTAATCGCCCAGTATTTAATGATTTGGGACTAAATTTATAGTTGGCTGAGGTTTATGTCCCACACCATCTACATCACTGGTTCTGAAACGGTTGGGCGCGCCCCACAAGGGGGGCATAGACAAATTCTTGAGGGGGCGTGAAGCTAATTAAAAATAAAAATATTTGTTAGACTTGGTCTTGCCCGCCTTATTATGGATATTTACATTTCTTTATTGTTTAGAGATTGCAATTCCATTCATATATTTTCAGAGTGTTTTTCAATACAACATGAATTTTTAGCTAGTTATTTTTGAGGTGGGGCGCAAGACTTGACAAATTCTGAAAATGGGGCACGGCCTAATAAGCTTGAGGACCACTGATCTACATCTTACTCAAGAAAATAAATTGAATTGAGTTTACGAAAGAAAACATCTTGAAAAAAATTTCAATGAGATGAATCTTGATTGAAGATACAAAACTTTTTTTGACAATTACTTTCATTTGTTTTTTCCTAAAACATAACTATTTCAAAATGTATTTTTTTTTACTTCCATTTTTTTCATTAATTTGTTTATTAATTATGTATATAAAGTAAGAGTAAGTATCTAAAGGTTATTTAAATGCTTTTTGATTGCTTTTTCGTTTCAATTTGTGTGTCCTGATAAACTTTGCCTATCTGGATTCATAAGGTTTTCGAAGATTGAATCAGCGTCAGATACTTAAGATATCAAAATTTGAGCTCGGCAAACTATGTTTTTTTTCATTCATCTGTCTGGTATTTAAGAAAGCCAAAATTCTGATTATGACTCCAACCTCAGAATGTTCAAATTTTATCCCAATTTACAAAAGTATGAGAAAAATGAGACTCCTGCACCAACAAAAAGCCAGACCTTTGCCTGACTGTGCAGCCTGTTCATTATTGTTAAACTGCAAGAATTATGCTGTAATCAGTTTTAAGCTGATGTTTTTGTGTTTTTTCACTGTATAATTAATTCTGTTCTCCACATGAAATAAAGCAGATATATATAAAAATCAGGGCAATAAATAATGGTGTAAAGTTAAGAGGTGGGGCTATACACTGTAATCTTGATTAGTCTATTCAATATCGATGTGGATATAAATAAACATTTGTACGCACATGTAAGCCGTAAAATCAAATTTACATGCGAGGTATAAGCAATTCGCAACAGTTAGCGGCGCTCCAGAAATATGTGTACCATATGGAGGTAACTAACTTTGTTCGCTAATTTTACATCAAGTCGTGTGAAGGGACTGAAACCTGTGGACAGCGGGTATATTCACTTGGCTAACACAGACAGTCCCGAAATCGTACTAGAACTAAAAAAAGGAAAATCAGAATTAAACTATGGCCTAACCCTAACCTGGTACACATACTTTGAGAGTACTCAGTTAGCGAATAGTAGGGCATGTGTAGGGAGGTATCAATTAAATATTGATTGGACACCATAGACAATGTTAGTGAATACACTAAAGGAATTTTAACGTGAATAATGGATGAGACATAGTTAAATTACATAAATTACCATATTCCACTTACTTCATTGGACATTTTTCACCAGGATCACGTCCCAAATGAAACATAACGGGCTGGGCTGTGTAATTCATTTGATCATGAGTTGTAATATTCGGTACATTTTCACCTCTGCAAAATTCATAACCCTGGAAATCCAGAAATAGACGAATCCATATCTAAGATAATCAACAAATTTACAAAGAAACAAGCTAATTTGAACCGCTTACATGTGTTTTGTACTCTTCCCATGAATTGGTCCAAGTCCAATAATGTGCTTTGTAAAGTCCAAACCTTACAGCAAACAATGTATTGCCACGGTAATGAAAGATAGGTCTGTGATAATAAAACTTAATTTTGTGATTTCTTATTGCATAGTTTTTAAAGTAATGTCAAGGGTTTATTTTAGTATGATATAATTGAATCAATCATTGGTACTAATTTTCAATAAGTAAAAAAAGGGATTTTGCATTTATTCAATTTAAATTCATCAACATATATGTTATATTCCGAGTTTGTTCAGCTGACTGTTAATATAAAAAAATTTGGGCTTTGGGTTCGACAGGCTTCGAGTTTGATAATAATGTGCAAGAGAATTGCTGGACTCTTCGATGCTGTAGGGTTGATTCACGTAGTGGTTACGACTTCCCCCACCATCAAGTCCACGCATCAGAAACAATTAACTGGTCAACTATCCCCATATCTGACATGGGACCGGTAACAGGATGAGAGGTTGTGGTTTGCCATATCATTAAACTTTCCTCTCCTGGGGATAAATATGAAATGCTATCCTATTCTGAAAAACCATATCTTATGTACGTTTTCAGTTAAATTATAGAAGTGATATAAATGTCACTTTTCAACATCTACATAATTTTAGTGAAATGTGTGGGAAAGATAATCAGTTTCTATCAATACACAACTATATCAACAAGAACAAATATCAACAAACAATATCTGGGATTTTCAAAATTGAATATACGCATGCTTCAAATGTTAGATTTTTTATTGGTATGAGTAATAAAAAGTCAAACATGTTGAACAAATATTTAAACATTTGTATACAAAGCTCACATGATCTAAAATTTTCAAACAAGACTTGTTAATATCTAAGTAAACCAATGAACAGATGGATAAATATTCACTTGAAATGGTAATGTTTGTTCACAAGTTACCTGTTAAAAGGCTCGCCATTATACAAAACGCTTCTTAGACTAATTCCATCATATAATCTATCCGTGGGAGGTGATACCCCAGCTAAATCAGCGGCTGTTGCAAACCAATCCATAAGACTACCAAGTTGGTGGCTAATCTGAAATACAAACAATCTTAACAATTAGTAGAAAAAAAACAATGGAAAATCTTGGAAATGGATTGGAAAAAATTAACTTTTGCAGGGTAATTGTAATTCACTATTTTTTCCATGCTCCCGAAGTATGTGAACAAAGATGGCAGACACTGTAACATAGTATGTATACCAGGTTAGGGTTAGGCTATGATTTTATTTAAATTTTTCTTATTTTAATTCCATTACGAGTTCGGGGACTAGCCAAGTGACTTCCGTAGTTGTTGTACCTGAAATTATGGCCTAACCCTAACCTGGTACACATAATACGTTCCGGTGTCCACTATCTTGAATCACACACTTCGGGAGTACCTTTTTTTCTAAGTGGTATGATAATACAACAATTAGCTTTACATTTATATATTAATGTTTGGATATAAAGTTCAGGCCATTTCCAAAGAATTTAAAAATATAGTTTACACACCTGTCCTGGCTTGACAAATCCTGGTCCCCATGCAATAGTTGGCTCTCTAACGCCTCCTTCAAATGTAGTTTGTTTTCCACATAAAAATGGTCCGTTGCTACCATCAACTGCAATTTTAAAATAGGTTTTTAATTTCAAATCATTGTATTAGTTATAGGAATAAATTATGGTCCTAACTTCAGTTTATATTGAATGGACATATAAAACAGGATTCTCAGTTCACTAAAAATTCTCCAGAAATTTTAAAACGAAAACCATAAATTATATTTTAGATTCTGATACCCATGGATTTTGCAGATGAGGTTGTTTGTTGAAAAAGTGAATCAAATGAATATTGTAACAAATGATACTTCAGTTTTGTAAGTGAGATAACTGTAAGTTCAAACTTCTTTTCAAATTTTGTCAGGATAAAAAAATAGACAGGCAAGTCATAACGCTGTTGAGTGAAACAACATAAATATCCCATGTGTTGACCCATATTACGGTATGAATCCTCTCCATGCCATAGTTCTGAACGATACTCTGCACTGGCAAGGACTTTTATATAAAGTTTTAGAATTCTAGATTGATAAGTGATATACAGGATGACCAAGAAAAAAAACTATGTCCAGACAATTATTTTATAGGGCTGGTGAAGCTAATTGAAAATAAAAATATTTGATTGATTTGATCTTGCTCGCCTTATTTTGGATATTTACATTTCTTTATTGTTTACATTTCTTTACACATATTTTCAACGTTTTTTTTTTGAATAAAACATACTTCCGCCTTATTCCCTGGTATTTGTAGCTTATTGTTAGCTAGTTATTATTGAGGTGGGGCGCAACTCTTGACAAATTCTAAAAAGGGGACACGGTTTGAAAAGTGTGAGAACCAATGATTTAGAACAGGGGTGGGCAACATACGGCCCGCGGGCCGAGTCCGGCTGACTGTACATCAGTACATTATGATATTACATTAAACACACTTTCAGTACATTATGATAAATTCATTATGTGTTTTTTGGTCTCTATTTTTTGTAAAGTGTAAACTTCACTTTGAATGCGATTTATAACTTTTTTCTTGCATTAGCGAATAGATATGGGATTAAGATATTGAATACTACTCATGTTCTAATCTGGCCCACCGAGGACTTCATTTTCCCACATCCGGCCCGCCAACTAGAGAAGTTGCCCACCCCTGATTTAGAACATTTAGTATGGTTTCCATTTTCTGGGTCACCCTGTGATATACTCTTACCACATGAGCTACTCAGCATTGCGGCACCATTATCGGATGAAAAAAAGACGAGAGTGTTTTGGTCCAAATTCAATTCTTTTAACAAATTAAGTATTGATCCTACACCATAATCCAGCTCCATAACTGCATCGCCATATCTTTAAAATATGAAACTCGTTAAAATGAGTGATAGAATGCAGTGCGTACCATATTAATATTGTCGAAATGATATATTATCCATTTTTAGTTTTCTTTCCATATATGACAGTTTTCAAGGCTTCTACTCCAAGCAAGGCGCCATACAAGCAAAGACTGATATGTTAAAAAATTTTAGTTGTTGATGGGGCTCGAAACGTTTTGGTGCTACAACATAGGAATAGATGACCATGATGCCATAAAGTAAAAACACTGTGCATTTACAAAAAATACAAGCTTCAGTGATAGACATGGATCGAATGCCATAATTTATACTCCATGATGTTTCCCTAATCTGAGTCAGATTTGTCAATAGTTATTTATTGAAACAATAATCCTATATATGTTTCAAAAGGCAATGAAGCAAACTCAAGGGTATCTCAACATCATCGAAAAGAATTTGATTTCAATTTTTTGTGATTGAAATAGTATTATTCATATAGCCTGAAGTCAAAATAACTTACGCTCCTCTCTGACTTTTTCCACGAAACTTCTCAGATGAATATACTGGATCATGAGTTGAGTCAGGAGCCCAGTATAGAAAAAATGGAGAATCAGCTTGATGCATTCGAGAAATAAATTCTTTCGCTTTCTGTAAATGAGGAGAGAAAAATGTATAAAAGGTATAAATCGTAAGAGCATAACCATGTTGCATTATTTCCATTTAAAGCAGTGGTCGACAAACTGCGGCCAGCGAACCCAACAACCACATTGTTATTGATTATTTTTTTTATGAATAAAATTTGGCATTAAAATATCTGGGAAACATAGCAAAGTTGGCAAAAAATCCAAAGTGCGCCCCCTACCGTATCGAAAATATGTATATTTGGCCCACTAGTAACTAAAGTTTGCCGCCTGATTTAAAGGAATGATCCTTTTGTGATATGAGATATTCGCTTGATATCTGAAAAAAACTGAAGCAAAAGAATCCTATATACTTAGATATTTACATATGAATTGGTGATTAAAACACCAAGAGTAAGTTTCTCTTCCATTATATAAAATTACTAGTAGTATTTTACCTTTTATATTTCTATTGATAAATTTGTGAGAGAAATTGTATACATACAACAAAGCATTCCTGTTATTGACTATCACATCACATACTAAATATGTGACATTCTAGATACTCACTTCAATCAAGATTTGAGTATAATTAGATAAATCTTTGTTTCTATCAATAACAAAATCTTCATAATATCTGTGAAATTAAAACATAAAGTAATGGTAAAAATTAAAAATGTATGCTAAATTCGCAATTGGTGTCTTCATCAGGTACACAAAATTTATCAGTATGTTTTTTCTTTAGTGAGAGGAATCATTTTATAAGTATACTTGATAATGATTTACAATATCTATCTTCTCTTCACTGTTATGTTTATAAGAGGGAGTCCCAAATTGCTCCCTCTGCCACAGTGTTCTTCTCATTTGTCATGAGAAAAGGCCTTCACTAGGTATCATTTGTGGTGACTACATTAATTTAAAATTGATTAACTTTAATTTGTTTGATTCTTTGACTGTAATGCATTTTTTTTACTTTTTTTACTTTTCTCTGTTGGTCCTTCATTATTAAATTAAGTGAATAAAAACAATTGACAAAAAACCATTGAAAGCGAACTATATTTCTTTTAATTGAAGAGCAGGGGATCAAAAATGTGGGCGGAGAGAGTCTTTGAAAGGTGACTACGTATTTTCGAATTTGAACCAGTGGTATTTACCGTATAAACAACATAAATATACTGGAGAAAAATAAGTAGATAGATGAAAAGGTTAACATTTTATGTCATATTTTAGATTTTGTGAGCTTTGCTGAAAACTACCTTCCAATCATGTCTTCATTGTCATATACAGGTATATTTGGAGTGGAAACATCATCATAGGGCCCAAAATGACAGTTTGGCGCCCCAAACCATTCATCAAATCCATGTTTCAACGGAAGATATTGTTCTTGATGACCCAAATGCCTGAACAGAATAAGATTTATAATAAATGTTCAAAAATCATATCAAAACTGCTTACGATCTAGTATTCAAGGTTATAATTATGACAAATTAGTTTACTTTTCAGGAAGATATGTAAATGAATGCAATTTGTTAGTATTACGGTATGAATGAAATCGGGATAACTCATGGATGAAGGAAATTTATTTAACTATAAACCATCATATTCATAGTAAAAAACATTCATAAAAATAACCAACCTGGCAAAAATCAATTTGAAGTTTACAAGTTGGGCATTCTATTCTAACCAATTTTCTGATATACTTCAGACTTACCATTTTCCAATTAGTTTGGTATAATATCCTGCTTGTTTTAATAATTCTGGCAACAATACTTCCGAATCTGAGATTCCACCAACTATGTTTTGAGGTGTATAACCTAAGTAAAGCAATAAAATAAGTAAATAAATAGTAGGTTAGTCAAGAAATTGTAATCCATTCATCTGTACCAAATAATAACATGACATAAAATTTTTCACTTAGATATTCAAGTGTTTATACTTGGATGTAATAGAAAATTTTCTAAAATTTTGAATGAGTTGAAAATGTGAAAATACACATAATTTATTTCTTGTCATATTGGCACTATTCAAGAGTCCTGCCACACACTAACACAAATGTATTTCTGTAATGCTTCGGCAACTTTCTTGAATTCCCAATTTCCCATGCTGAGTGATCGTATTGTAGGTTATTATATTTTTATTTTGCACTATGGTCGAGTTCAAAATAAATTATCTTTCTATCTGTAACTTCTCAGAAAATTGCCATAATTTTAAACTCTGAAAAGAACAGAAAAATTTGTTTCAATCGAAATTCTATAATTCTACCGAAACATTTTTCTCATCATGCCAAATGAATCAGAAAACCTTTTTCTCACTCACCGTTATGTCCATGATAAGTGCTTGTATAAAATCCATTTCTTAACGGCAACCTACCCGTCAACATTGCTGCTCTGGCTGAAATGGAATATATCTAATTTGAGTCACAAGACATGCAAAATAACACACTGAAACTGCATTTATCATCAGAAAAATGTAGGCTTAAAGTTTCATTAAAAAAATATTAGTAAGGTTACATATAACCAGGGATGGCCAAAACTGAACATTACAATGTGCCAATTACATTCTGAGGAAATATTTTTTGATATCGAATACATTCTGAACTGGGGGCGAGCGCACGTGAACAAAAATTAGGTAAATCTCTATAGTTTTTTACCAGTTGAGATATTGTATGTTATTATCTGCATGTATGATGGCAAAAATCATTAATTTTTAAATAAGAATATTCTAAATGAATCCTAAATTTAAAATTTCACTAGATCGAATATAATGAATTTTAAATGTATGCAAATATTCGATTTTTTTTGGACAACATTTTGTTTTTAAATTTTGTGAGCATATGGCAACAGCCATAAGCCAACAAAGTTATTACTCACATGGTGAACATAGAGGATTAGCACTATAGAAATCAGTAAACAACATTCCTTCTGCAGACATTTTGTCTAAATTCGGAGTTTCTTTTGCTGGGTGTCCAAATATACCAAGATCGCCCCATCCCATCTGCAACAAAAAATAAGTTTATTTCGACCTGTACATAGATAACATAAATAGAATTTCAAGTCTTGGAAATAAGATTCGAAACTCTGACAGATAAGAATGTACATACTTTCAATGTTAAAATCAATATCAGAGGTAATAATGACACTAGCATCACAAAGTATCATTTACTTTTAAGACCCCATAAATTTACAACAAAAGTAAAATTGATATAAAAAACTGCAATTTTTATTTGCTATTCGTATGTAGAGAAGTTATGAAAGCGACGAACTTGCTAATTTGAAAAATACTACAATTAACGGGTACTCAAATTTTATTACACTTTAATAACAACATGGAAACTCACATCATCCATTAACATGAATATAATATTAGGTTTCTGTTGGTTGAGAGCGAAGACACTTTGGAATAACACCAGCATCAGACAAAAGAATTTTGTCGCCATTTCCTTGAGAAGCTAGAATTCCAATTAACTTTTTACGAGTAATATAGTGTGGCCTATTTAAAAGCAATTCACAAGTTCAAACAGAGATATATCTGTATTGACGAGAACATGATTTAGAAATATAATTTTAGCATTGCATAGACTTATCAAATAAAAATACTATCCTGTTAGTATAAAACTGTTTTGGTATATTGATTAGCACAGTATGTATTAAACAAAATCAATAGAAGGAGATATAAATTGTAGTTGATATATTATTACTAAGTACGGGGGGGGGTACAGCAGTGTGAAAATGGTTGAAGTGTGAAAATTAAAAATAATTGGCGAATATGAGTGTTTCTCTTTCTACCTGAATTAAGACACTCTTACATCAGTACATCCAGACATCTGTCTGTCACTGTCAGTACATCGCAGCAGTCATATACAAACTTTTTGACCTTCTACTCTACCGGTACTCTATATTTATAATTAAGTCCATTTCTCTACGCCTGTACGCTGTTCTGGAGTGGAAGTGGTGACTCCTCTTCGGCCCATGGGCCGGGGCCACGGCCCATCAAATTGGGCCTAGGCCCATCAGGCTATGGGCCGCGGCCCATCAAGTTGTGTAAAGGAACTAGTCACTTGGCTAACACAGACAGTCCCCAAACTCATAATATAAAAAATCTGAACAAAATTTTGCCCTAACCCTAACCTGGTACACATACTACAGGAGTTTATTTTTTGGTTCGAATATTGACAATTTTGTAAAAATTGAAAATTTTGGTAAGATAATTGAATTTTTCCTGACGGGGCCGCGGCCCATAGCTTGATGGGCCACGGCCCATGTGGCCCAATTAGATGGGCCGTGGCCCCGGCCCATGGGTCGTAGTGGAGTCACCACCCCTGTAGCTGTTCTGTTACCGTATGCCGTTTATATTTTCGCATTTGTTCAATCCTGCAATCCCTGAATTTCAGAAATTCTGGAAACCTATTTTACAAATGACAAGGATTCTGACACGAGCAATCGTCAGATCCTATATTCCAGTATTCTGATTGAACTGATGAGATTTTCAGGATATTACTAATCTCTCTTAATTTTAATAAAACTTGTTTGAATGTAAGCTTGTCAGGCGTCTTGTGTGACTTCATGTTGGGCAGTTGGACGTAGACACGGTGCCTGCCGCATTCGTTGACCGACCTCCCATGTTATTGTAGATATCGGGGATTTACCAGTTTACCACCGTGAGTCAGCAAGTGCGAGGGATTTCCCCTTACTGCCATTGGGTGTTCGCACTTGACAAATCGGTACCGGTACCGTACCGGTACGGTACTGCATTGCCATTGCTTGTATCTGTTTGTTAGTAATCGGCAGAGTAGTTTTAAAGGGGTCCGTGGACACTAGCGTTCCGCAAATACACGCGACCAAAATTCAGTTTGCACGCCGGAAAAAATTCGTAATTATTCACGATCGAAAAGGAGTTATGACATTCCATTACCACAAACAGATTTAAAAGACGAGCGCCTTTAGCCTTTGGGCTTGTCTCGATCAGCCAAAACCCAGATGCCAATTAAGCTAAAAGCTTTCTTCTCAAAACGTGAGGATGTTTTTTAAAGGAAGAAAATTTCTGCTATACTTGGTTATTGTTGTTCATTTATTATTTTATGAACTTCCTGATGGCGTAGTACCAAGGATGTCCAAAACAATCTGAATACCAGAATACCGGTACATTCAGACATTCGAGATTCATTATTTATATTTGATATAGTGAATATCTCAATTTAGGAATAATTGTGGCGTCTGACAGGTAGATCGAAACGTACGTTATTTCAATTAGTAAGAAAAAACACAGAGAAAACATTGACCTTTAGAATATATTTGCATTGTTTGAGATATGATGAACATGCAGATATAGTTTTTATGTAATTTCACACAAAATTTTGTCCGCAATTTAGAATGTATTCGATATTTCATAATCGAAAATATTTTCTCAGAATGTATTCAAAATGGTATAATATTTGGTTTCGCCCATCCCTGCATAGTAAATAGATTATTGTTCATTGAACTGTGTGGCTTCTGTTATGCTGTATTGTGTGATATAATTAATGTTTGTGTAGAATAGTCCAGCCATATCCAAAACTTTTATTTCATATTACCCCAAAATGACCTTTGGTGTCGTTTCTACAGTTCTCAGTGAAAAATTGAATATTGACTCTGGTATTATTCAATTTTGACCAACCTTTAGTGCACCTCAGCAGAAAGTACCCATTTTTAACAATGAATTAATTCTGAAATCTAAGTCAGGTGTGTGCAACCTGCAGGCCGTGCGCTAAATGTGTGCGGGCCGCGAAACGAGTTTTTAATTTAGTTTAACTTGGTATGTAAGAGTAATTCCAATTTCTTCTCGTTGCAAAGTATACCTATACCCTATAGTGGTGGTAACATAAAGGTTATATTGGGGATATTGAAATAGGGATGGCGAAATATGGTCGATACAGTATATTAAAGGCTGCACACCCATGTTCTAAGTGCATTTAAAGAAGTAGCCAAATGCATCCTAGGTGTTTTGTGACGAATTGTCATTGAAATATAGCTATTTCAAAAATACATGGAAACTTTAATAAGTTGCGTTTGTTACATCATAGTATAACATATATATATTGACAAGTTATATTTATTTAAAGTTGGATGTATCGTCAAAAAGGTATGTACCACAGAAAGAAGACAGAAAGAATATTTTCATTCTAATTCTTGTCTGTGCGATTTATTTGCCAACAATGTTAATGATTACTCACTGAGTAGAGATGTGAAATATTCTATTTACTCACACTTCTGATTGCTTAATAGATAATTATATTCAATTATTTACAGGATTTTTTGTTTCATAATGTTCGTTGTGTGAGACTGTTTTACTGCCCTATACTGTTGACAAGCTGCTAGTCATTTCATTGCTGATATTCAACTGTGGAATTTAAACTTGAAATAAAGTGAAATTACGTAATAAATTCATGAATATGGTGTTTGGTATTGTAGAAATTATTATTGCTATCGTTGCAATTGCTTTTCTTTACGCATTGAAAGTATGGAAGAACTTCGCTAAAAATCCATTTTATGATGACTTCGTTCGTTCCCCCGATCCAGTGGTTGTTGATCAATCAAAAAGGGACAAGGTCCTGAAAGTTGGATTCAAAGTTGAAAAAATTCCCGCAGATCCAGATGCAATCATTATTGGTAGCGGAATGGGAGGTCTTATGTGTGCAGCTTGTTTATCAAGGGCAGGAAAAAAGGTTTTGGTACTTGAACAACATGACAGAGCTGGTGGAAGCACTCATACCTTTGAAGAAAAAGGATTTGAATTTGATGTTGGTAAGATGGTGATAATTTTAATGTGCATGTGATTCGATTATTTTTTAATTTTATCAACGAACGGAGATGCAATGTGGAGTTGGTGTGATCAAGAAATTGATTTTGACAGAGTTCAATTTGAAATTCATATAATCAAAACATGATATTGATATATTCTATATTTATATTTTATATCTTCCTCTATCTTTTTCCTTTTGTTCTTATGGTCATTTAATTTTTTGTTTATAAGGTCTTCATTATGTCGGAGAAATGTATGATGGATCGATGAATCATACTTTATTTGATGTAATGACAGATGGGCAGCTTGTATGGGAGATGACCGACAAAGAATTTGATACAATCATGTTGAAAATGAAAGGTGGTTGTATTTTATAAGTGGCCAATATTTTGTTGTGGCATAACTATTCTTGAGTACAAAAAAAAAACATTCAAAAGATATTTCAGTGGAACACTGCTTTTTTTTACACGTCTTGGCTAGCTCAATGGTTCCCAAAACTTTTCAAACTTGATTTTTGAGCAAAGGATTGATTTTTTGCAATGCACTCAAAATCATCTTATTACGCACTGTGTTGTGACACACAATGTGATAACTCCTGGGGTAGCTATTTCTCATGTATGACAGTGTTAAATTAACGAAGTTCAATTTTTTTATTCATTTTTTTTTAATAGGGTTTACTTCTTTTTAAGAAAACTTAAATTAAGTATTATATTACCATCCTGCCGTATGTCCGTTTTTTTATCTTTTATTTTCAAAAAACTATTTAGGTTATCCCCTATGAGTTTCCTTTTATTTTACACATTTATTTAATGATATCAAATAACTTTTGGCACTATATGTTTGGGTAGGGTCTTTTCAGTCTTTTCAGATACAATGATGCCATTACTTAATCAAATTAAGATATCTTTACTTAACTGACGAAGCTATTTTTCTGCGCATTGTAGATCACAATATGTAGTTTTGCAGCATACCGAATTTTTACAAATTTTTTTGATTTTTCACAAATAATAGTATTACAGCACTATGTTTTATTTATTTATTTTTTTTACAGATGGGACGTCAAAAGCATTCAAGATGAAAGCCGGAGAAGGTGAATATGAACAAAATTTGATAAACCAATTTCCAAAAGAAGAAAAAGCAATTACTGAGTTTGTGAAGTTGATTAATGTGAGATTTTACAACATTTGTATTCAATGCTCATGACTGTTTCAGTGCTTTTGTGGAGCTTTGTTTGATTCAAGCCTCATACAGGATTTATTCATTGTTATTGTTTTTCTATTGATTCAAAATCAAATAAAAAAAAATCAAACAGAAAGCGTTTTACGATTGCTTTTATATTGCATTATTGTTTGAATAATCATGATAATAAAACAAATGATGGTGTTTCATTTCTGTTAGACATTTGTCACTAACATTTTTGGTTCATTAATGGAAAATCATTAATTAATATAATTTTATATCTTTTTTTTTACTAGCAAAGTTCTGATTCTGTTGTTGGATATGCTCTAATGAAAATGCTTCCCATATGGTTATTGAACTTTCTCATGAAAACAGGGCTGTATAATTTACTTTATAGTAGGTAAGTAACAAATCGATCTGTATTTAAACATTATTTTGAGCTGATATGATAAAATGACTTGAAACTGTAAAATATGTGCAAGACTCAAGAGATTTATATGACAGCAAAATCATGCCATTTTGTATAGTAAACTTATAGTAGGATAGGATAGGATTTACATATTTATCCCGGGGGAGAGGAAAGCTGATAAGACGGCTTATCCATATGGCGAACCACGGCCTCTCGTCCGGTTATCATTCCAAGTCGGGTATGGGATTAGTTTTACTGTATTGTTTGTTTTTCGGAAGCATGGACTTGGTGGTGGAGGAAGCCGTAACCGACCAGCGGTTACGTGAACCACCCAGTAGTAAGTTTGATGATCCAGTTACATGGAAATGCTATGTCAAAACTCTGAACCATTTTGTTGATTGGCTAGATAGGTCAGATTCAGTATTTTCTGAATCAACTGGACTTATGCTGTTAGAGGATACCAAAATACCTGTAGGACATTGATCTATCAAGTCCATTGACTAACTATTATTTTGTGGTTACAAGGAATTCAATAGTCATTTAAATCTAGATATTTACCCACAAAATTCGAACCAGCAATCCCCATTTTTTATCAAGGTGTGATGGTAAGATACTAGTCTTAACCCAAATAATGATTGATGAACTCTAGGATTTAGTAAAATCTCCCATGTATAGCCCTCATTTTCAGAAGATTAACTCCGAATCTTGAATCTGATATGCTCATGACCATTCCTAATACCAACTAATAGTATTAGGTTGTCAACATTATATTTTTCAGATATGACAAAATGACTAAAACCAGTGCCAAGCAAATATTGGATGAGTTGACTGACAATGAAGAATTGAAAGGAGTACTTGGATATGCATTTGGTGATTATGGTGAGTCGAAAAAAATCAGTTTTTACATGTTTATTGTTGCTGCTTTGCATAGTAATTTTTTCATACAAAGATTAATTGTACTATACACTCTGAATGAGCCCCTGTACAAGTGGTAATCACTGATATGATATTTTGTGCAATTGCGAATTTTCCAATTTTTATGTTGCACGTGATCTGATCAAGAATAAATATTCAATGCTTAATAACTGAAAATATTATTTTAGAATAGTAAATTATTCGGTGTTCAAAATAACTACCAACTTCAATAACTAGTACTACATGTTGTCTAGAAAATTCAGTTTTATAATGAGTTTCACACCTCATTTTGTATAAAGATTTATAATTTTAACCGATTTTTGCAGGTACATTTCCTTCTGATGCTCCATTTTTAATGCATGGAATATTGATGAAACATTTTTATAACGGTGCTTACTATCCAAGAGGTGGTTCCAGTGAATTAGCTTTCAATATGATACCTGGAATTGTACGGAGTGGTGGAGCAGTTTTGGTTCGTGCACCTGTCAGTAAAATTATATTCGAAAATGGACGCGCAACTGGTAAGACAAAATGAAAAGTTAATCAATTGCCTATTATATTTAGATGTATCATGATGTATATTGTATTACGGGTTATGTGAGTTTAACAAATTTGCTAATCTGGTTAGTTATTTTATGGTGGAATAAGCCACAACTGGATTGGATGGGATTTACATATTTATCCTGTATGAGAGGAAAGTTGATAAGATGGCTCAATCGTATGGGGAACCATGGCTTCACGTCTAGTTACCAGTCCATGTTGGGTATTGGAATAGGTAGCCAGTTATTTGTTTCAGATGCATGGACGAAGGAAGCCGTAACCCACCAGAGGTAAAGTGAATCACCCCACAGTGGCGAGGAATCCAGCAATCCTTTCGCACATAATTATCACCACAGGATTCGAACTCGCGAACCCACGCAGGGTAATCAGAGATGCGGTGGCTAATGTATTCCTAACGTGCCACACTGCTCAGCCCAGTAATGTTCAACATTATTAACACACTTTCCCAACTGTTATTTGGTGATTTCTCTTGTTGTCATGAAAGTGCCTTTGTAGCGTTGACTAGTTTATGAACATTCTGTATTTTTTTCAAACAGGTGTTTGTGTGTCAAAGAATGGAATTGATCATGAAATTAAGGCTCCCATTGTGGTTTCAACTGCTGGTGTTTTCAACACATATCAAAACCTGATACCAAAAGATATACTTGTTAAATATGGTTAGTTGAATTGGAGATATAGCTATTTAAATTCAAGGATGCCAATATTGAAGAATTTATAAGGAATGTTTGGAATTTTTATATTTATCACATTCTAAAGTAGCGTTTTCAAACTTTTTTCATCATGGCCAAATTTTTTTGTGACCCCTAGAAACTAAATTGAAAAGTTAGTTAAAATTTAATAGTACAAAGAATATTCAAAATAAAAATAATGAAATTTACAATACCCATAATGAGACCGATATGCTTAATGAGACCGAATCTTAGCATAAGGTCTATTTTGATGATGGTGGATCTTGGTACTGGTTCAAAAATTTCTAATTTGATCAATATTTTGTTTCAACATAAGTCAGTATGGAAAAAGATTTTACCACGAACCGTAACTCACTGTGGGTCAGGCCCCCAGTTCGGAGAGGTCAATAGATATTAAACAAATAAATATCAGAAAGACATTATTGTACATACAATAGTTGCAATAGTAATGCAGAAACACTGAAAATAAATAAATAATTTTTTTCATGCGATGAATTTAAATGTATTTCACTCTAAACAATGCTTTGCACAAGCTGCAATGAGCTTCTTCAATTTGGAAGGACCGGAACTTTTCCAGTTTGTCATTGTCCCGTACTAATATGAAACTTATACTATGCGTGAATATGAGCGTCGAATGTCACAGATGGTAGATGCTCATGTACTTGCCACCTTTTCGAACGACAATGAGGTGTCAACCAAATACCAGTGCTGGTTCGCGATTTTGGAAGATTCTGAAAGTTTTTTGAATCATCGTCCTCAAGATAAATCTGAGGAAAGTTTCTGCTTGGTCTGCACCCTGCTTACAGATCTGCTGTGGTTACACTATTTATATATATTGTCTTGTCTTATAAACTCCCCTGTATAAACATTTTTGTATACTCCACCCTTACCACTTTCTCCACACCAAACGACCCATTGCCCCACCTTGCACAACTGTCTATATAAGGGACCATACTATACATATTTAATCTAATGTTTTTTGTTTTATATTTGTTAAAAAGGGTGCATGCCGCACATTTGTGTTTTAGGCCAGTAAGGTCTTTTGCATGCATCCCGTCTTACATAATAGTAATCGTTCCTTTATTTTTTTATCACTATTACGAGACGAATAAACATACATACATACATACTCTCTGCTATGATATTACAACAATGAATGAAATTCTAACTTTCCTCATGACAAACATAATAGTATTATCACCATTTTTTATGATATTTTAAGGTGTGGAAAACATATGTGATAAATTTGATAGAGGGTTGGCTTGCTTTCAAACACTCGTTGGCTTGAAAGGAACGACAGAAGAATTGGGATTGAAACGTTGTAACTACTGGATGTATGGCGATGTGAATGGGGAAAAGTACGCTATTTTTCGATTGTTGAATAAGCAGATAAAATGGATTTATCAGATGCATAGACTGGATGGTGGAGGAAGCTGTAACAAACCACCGGCCGCGTGAACCACTTTATGGTGGTGAGGGGTTCAGCAATCCTCTTGTGCATAATTATCCACCACACAGGATTCAAACCCACGCAGTGTAATCAGATGTGCGTTTGGAAGCATATTCCTAATGTGCAGTCAGCACTATGTCTACTTGAGTAAATCAATTCTGTAAAAGTTGCTATCTCATTGTAGATCATTATTTATAGTTTCTCGTAGCCTAAAAAGTATTATCTGATTACACTAGATCAAAAAACCTATTCATCTAGTATTTCACAGTTGCACTTGGTAAGCCCTGCAATTAATTGTCTTACTTCTAAAGGGCAATGAGAGAATACTTGTCTATGCCACGTGAAGATGCAGCAAATGCTGATTTACCAATCGCTTTTGTTTCATTTCCTTCTGCTAAAGATTCAACGTGGAAAATGAGGCATCCAGGTATTACAAGTTTACTACAAATGTTTGTTTTTGTTGTGCAATGAAGTTAAAAGAATGAATATTATTTATAGCAGATTTTGGCGATTTGTACTTTTGTACATTTTTTCTATGAGCTATTTTGATGTTTGACTCAAGCAAGGCTGCAGGTACTGCGACTGTACAGGATATTGTAAAAATGTATTACTAATCTCAATAATCTGGTGAATACTTTAAAGAGAGAAAAAATTAGCAAAAAATAGATATCTGAAGCTTGAGTGGAAATAAGTGTAGCCGATTTCATTGTGTGTGTGCGTAAGAACATTTCCCCAAGCCTACAAACCACCTAGAAACAAAGCTGATATAGCGTTTTTCTGAGCTCTTTCTTTTTTTTCATGGGAACCTTGTGATTTTTTCTTTTCCTTTTTCCAACTTTTCATTGAATATTTAACTCATGAAGGAATTTATACCATAGAATAAAGAACCAAAACTATTAGATAGTAGCAAATCTAATATTTTAACAAAAACTAATATAATTTGCCATATACATACTTGTTATTTATTGGTTTCATTATTTTTTAAGGGAAATCTGTTTGTGTTATTGTTACACTTTTGAACTGGGAGTGGTTTGAAGAATGGGAAAATGAGAGAGTCATGAAACGAGGTAACGTTTATAATGATTTGAAAAAATCATTCCAAGATCAAGTTTGGAAAAAAGTTTTGGAGATCTATCCACAACTAGAAGATAAGGTAAGATTTGAATTTCTTTTGAAAAGTATTTTCAATTAAAAGTTTATACAAAATTGAAAACTCCCACGCATGTACTTTGGTGGTGTAGTTGGTCAATTTAGGGTTTGGAAAAAAGTTTTTTGCACTGTACATGTGACTTTTTCTTTACTAATTTGATATTATTATATTATTCGACTCCCCTAGTCTCGCATGAGGAATTAATACTCACTTTAGGCGCTGTATGGGCCAGATGAATAACGACTATTAGACTGGAGCAATGATTAGTTGCTAGCTATTATTGCCCGACAAAGCTTGGGTGAGAGAATTCATTTTCATGCAATGAAAAATAAAAATATATCTCTCAATGAAAAGTTGCCATTTTTCTCATTTCTAATTGGGATAGACATTTTATATGTTACCTCTAGGAAGTCTTCATGATGTTGAGATGATTCTTGAACGAATTAGTTTTCAGCTAATTACAGCAAATTATATATTTTAATTTTATTTTCAAAGTTGAATAATGCAAAACTATTCTGCCCAATGAATATGATAAATTGCCGAATTCTCTAACAATTAAGGCTATATTTCAACTGTTAACTGTGTCCATAATGACTTTATTGATTGTTTTAGGTAGAATACATTGATAGTGGAACTCCACTCAGTCATAAATATTATCTTGGATCTCCTAAAGGTGATATTTATGGAATAGATCACACAATGAGAAGATTTCAGAAAGAATTAGGAATAGGTTTACGTCCTGAGACAGAGATACCTGGGTTGTATTTGTCAGGTAAGACACACCAGGATAATGTATGATAACTCATAGTTACCTATTATTGCAGGACGTTTAGGATTAACTATGACAATTATTCATTTTGTTACAAAAACTATACCTTTGGACGATGTATTTCGGTCATTGTTTTGTATTTTCCGATATGTTCCTATATCACCCTCACAGTTGTGGCAGTCTCAATAGCCAATCTCTATTTAATTTACTTTATATTAATAAAAATTTTAATTAAGCAGAAATATTTATCCTAGTCATGCCCCCTTGATATTGACTTTGTTTATCTAAATAGAATTATTAGTTTCAAAACTTACTCAAATCATTCTCTCAGCTCGAGTTGGGCTTGAGCCAATATTTATTGAAGACTGGAGTCATCTAAATTAAATGAATCACCACCAGTAGACCTAACTCAGTGATTGACTCAGGTTAGACTCATACTTGGATGTGTTCATTCACAATTTGTTGCCAGAAACTCCCACTCAACACTGCTTTGTAAATTATGAATAACATGTATAAACAACAATTTAAATCATCAGACATTCTGGGCATTCGTTAAGCTTATGGTCTCATTAATACATGGTTGCTTCTAGTAATATCCTATCTCCAATAATTTAATGTTAGTTGGCTGATTCGCAAAATTTGTATGATAGACCTACTTACTACCAATAACAGAAATTTTGAAACTCTAGAATTTTCAATCTGTTATTATTACATATATTAGAATCTTGGATGTTACTGCTCAATAACCAGTTTTGGTGTGTCATGGCCTTCCCTTCCCCAGTAAAACTGTAAATATCATTTTCTCGTAATTTGTGTGCGATTTTTTTTACCGGCTGGAAAAAAATAAACTTGATGATGATCTGATTTTTAACAAGAAAAATGCCTTATTTTGTTTGTATTAAATTTTTCTGAATATTTTATGTTTTGATTCCCAATTTGATATGTAATGGACAAGCAGTGGTAGTTTGCCATATACCTTAACTTCATATTTAAATCTTTTATTCTCAATTTAATATATTAAGCTCTAGCTAGAGGGTAAAGGTTAAAGTATGATACAATTTGATAACAGGTCAAGATACATTTACTTGTGGAATAATGGGAGCTGCTACATCTGGTATTGTAACCTCTGGAGCAATACTCGGAAGAAATCATTTTCTGGATTTATATGGGTTAATGGCTCGGAGAAAAATAATCCAGTTTTTGAAGAAAATGAAGTAGTTTTGTCTCTGTCTTTATAGTTGTTGTAAATTAATACGTACTGTGTAATTCTGTTTCTATAATGTGAAAGAGATTTAGTCGTAAGAGTGCTAGACATTATTTTATGCAGGGTAGCTAACATTTCAATGTCAATCGTGGGAAAATCAAATTTCAACATTGCTTATTTTCATTTTGAATGTTGTGATTTGATATGTAATATGAATAAAGAATATTGCTACTGATTAAATGCATTACATAGTTCATTTTTTTTAAATTTTACCCAGGTAATCTCTTACGGTACAGTGCATTGTATGTATTTTTGTTCGATTATTCTTTTATTGAATGTGCACAGCATTTGACAGTTTACACTAGCCAAATTTAAATAAGTGTTCCTCAATTGAATTGTTATTTTTTACCTCGGTACATGCACCCTCATGTTTATGACGTGCATATTTCCCAAGGTGCTCATTAAACTGAATCATACTCCTTATTTCATCCCAATTTACTATAGATTAGGTAAGCATTTGTTTCGCTTCAAAAAGTTGTTCATAAACTGCAATTTATGAATTGCTATATTTTTTGAACAAGGTCTTCATATATATAGAGAGAATTTTAATATTGTACAAACTGTTGGATGATTTAAATATTGAATAATTCCAATTGATCCGTTAAGCATTAAAGTCTTGTTCTGTGATTTAAAATATAGTGAGGTTTCAATGTCCAAATACCGTGTTTTCCCGAAAATAAGACCTAGCCTGAATTTTAAAAATGATTTTTTATAAGCCCTTTTCTTAAAATAAAACCTACCGTAGTCCATAGTGCGAAATTTTTTTTAATAAAAAAAGTTTTTTTATAATTGAATGGATATCTTTTTCATCATTTGTATATTTGAAAATTTCATAATTCTCTACTTTGCAATTTTGTTTTCAATAAATGAAAATAAAAGACAGCTCTCAAAATAAGCCCTACTGCTATTTTTCGAAATTTTTTTCAAATAAGACCCAGTCTCATTTCTGAGGAAACACGGTATTAAATATTGCCTGAAATAGCTGAAAATCCTTCAATAAAACCTCTCATGCAATATCAATTTTAAATTTTGCCTAAACCAATTTATTTGGACATTCTTGTGAATCATATCTGTGCTAATATATTAATGGTATTAGCTATTATTTATTTCTCATATTTAATTTATTTCTTTAGATATGTACTAAATTTATCATATGGAACAGTTACTACTAAAAGTGTTATATTATCATCATATTGCCATAAACTGCATGATTTTGTTTTTTCCCTACTTAGTGATAGATACATAACATATTGCAAGTTAATAATATGCAATTACTCTTATTTCAAACATTTTTTGCAACATATAAATGGTACTTAGACTAGTCATATTAGCATAGTGTTTAACCTCGTTCTTCAACGCCAAATTTTATGTAATTTTATAGAAATTGGTACTGTTTTTGTATAATATTCTTTATTGGTATTTTTGTTTTGATTTTTCTCTTGATTTATGTGTTATTGGTTGTATTCATATCTTGATTATCGTGTTAACAATTCTGAATCTATAAGTACATTTAATAAAATCGTAGTGAATATAGCATGTCAAAATTTTGTTGTAATATAACATTGTGTATCTGTTCGAATTGTTACCTGTGAAATATTAGTTGCAGAGAGTAATGGATGTTTCCCCGGCCTTTGACCCCCGGACAATTCTTTTCATTCTGAAAATCTATGCCTGAAAATTTGTCTGAGTAACAAAGGTGTCTGAGCGACAGCTAAAACGTCTATTGTTAAGTCACATTTTGCAGCTTACTTATTAGACAATGTTAGGGAGGTAAACAAGGAAGTCGATGCTCGAGGAAACAACCATAATGTGATAAACGCAGGACAAGAAATCTTGTCACACGATATCCCAGCTTCGAGCCTGCTGATTAGTATACTTGATGGCAAGCAATATTCTTCAAAAAATTAATAATGTTAGTCAAAGTTGCCTCAATTAATAGTATTCGCCAAAATATAATATAGGGCGAATTTAATCACCTTGGCTTAGTGGTCGACCAACGTGGACACGATGGTATTAGAATAAGTTTATTTTAATTGCATGAAGGGGTGGGCCAGACCACGTCACACACCAAAACTAAGCCAAATTAGAGTCCAAATTATTTCCAATATTATTAATCAGTATAAGTAATTATATTAGAAATTAATCAATTGAGGATTGTAGGTTCTCGAAGGTTCAGGCAAGGTTTTCCCCAGTTATATTCATGGATTTTAGACAAGGAAGTATAATTGAGGTTGTCGATTAAGAGAGTCAGTTCAAATTTATCATAGATGATTCGTCTATTGTACGTCACCATAATATTAGTCAAAGGTGCGCTTACCGATGTGTGATTGAAATTGCATTACCTCATGTAATGAGACATTAGAGGTAGAATTCTGGTTTAATATTTTAGACCGCTTGGTTTTAGTCACATCGACTTATCACTGCGTCGCATATCAGTCCGTCATTTATGTGTTATCCAGATTTGAGTATTACATAGATCGGATCAATCTTAGTTTGTCATCAATTTTTCACTTAAATAGAGTCAACTTTCGTATGAAGGTAACAAAACCACCGAATATAAGACAGCAATCGAAATAGATGTTATGGAATTGTGCCGATACATGCAATAACAGTATATTGAGTAGGGTTGCCTTAGTCCGCTGTGATCTGTATGGTCGCAGTGGGGCCCGCGCTAATTCTACGTATAAATTATTAGATAGCGTAAGGAAAATTCCAATCCAATATTTAAAAGTTAATACCGCTGTAGCAAAATTCATGAGCAGAGGCTTTTAAATTAAGCTATAATAAACATGAGAAAGAAGTAAATTGTGTCAACAAACATTTAATTTCGGTATACTCATACAAAAGTTAGAAGAGGTCCGTGGCTGTTCAATAATAGTAGCCGATCATATTATATAGATTATGTGCACGCAAGGCTCGTAAAGTTACTTCGATCGATATTTTGCTCTTAGGCAAAAGGTAATAACATGAAAAAGCTTAATTGTTAGTTAATATGCGTTTCTCCGCAATAATGTGCCCCGCGCAATCAGTTCCACATCGGGCCCCGAAACACGTAGGTCATGATGTGAAAATTATGGAATGTTGATGTTGTTCATTCATGTACATCTCATACACACTAGAATGCCCGTGAACATCAATCGTTACAATTGGTTTGAACGGTTTTTTTATGAGAAACGCTCTCTTGCAAGTGGCGATTATGTGTATAAGGGAGTGGCATAGTGATTGCTGTGCTCTTAGGAACAATGTTAAGGTGGAATATCGTGGAAATTTTTGACGAATTTGATCCATATACTTTTCAGGGTTTTTGACGCCTACTATTCGCATAAAAACTGCTTCAACAAAGGCCGGCCGAGTGAATTGTTTAGTTCTAGTTTCTCGTCGTGGTCCTAGTTTCATAAAGATTAAACCAATGTTGTAACGTAAAACAGAAATGCATATGCATAGATGCCATCGACCGGTACACTTCGAACTGATCATTTGTGAAACGAGGTTGAATTGGAAAGAAGATGAAATTCCCAGTTCAATCCTGTGTAATTTCCAGGATGTAAGAAACGTTTAGACCCCTCCGAAAATATAAAGTTGGTCCTGGCATATTAGGGATGCCCTTACAGAGCCATGTTTGGAGTGGAATGTTGAAACTGCCCATTTAAGCTCAATCCAATGTTTATAACGTAGGACATATTGACATGAGTGATTTACATACAGATAGAAAATTGTAGACTCCACGCCGATAAATATCGAATAGATCACGGTGACAGAATAAAGAAGATTAATTAAAGGAGGTCAGCTGGGGTAGATGCGAAAATCGCGGCTGTATTTTTCTAGACATTTTTAGACAATTATGTCTCAGCTCAGAAAGAACCAAAACTAATAACAAACTTTTATGTTTACATAACTTTGTTCTGGACGGGTCATACTTAGCAACATTGTAACAACTGAGTTGCTATGTGGTCAATCGCTATAACGAATATATTTTATCGTATTTCATTGATTTCTGAAAAAGAAGGCAGAAAACAGAATAACCGATCAGCAGCAGACTCTATTTATGTTGTAGTATTAGGAGTTGATACAATATTATAATTCCGAGCACATGGTGACGTTTATGGCTTTTCGAATCCATATGCCGAGCTTGGTTAAACATTGAAAAGGTGTGTCGAAATCTATTACGTCATACAGCGATGCCCTGGCATCGAAACTTTTGTTTCACTTGCGTGTATTCTCCGATTTCAGTCAGATCTGGTCGATCGATGTCGTGTGTGGACACGCACAACTGAACTTGCACTAGTATGTTTCAGCAGACGCAGGGGAGATTTGTATTTATTGATTAGGAGGTCATCGATAAAGAGTCTTAGTAAGAATTTTAACGAAATTTATGTATTTATTCATATGTATACGATATGTAATGGTCTTACGCTCTTTCTCTTTCCGCTTAGAGATCAATTTATGCCGAAAACAATTTCATATGACTTGAAAGATATTTTTCCAGAAAGGGCGTACAGTTTCAACTTCGACCATGCTAATTTTCATGATATATACCCACGGTATTTAAAATAAAGCGCGTACCGTATTTTACGGACTGTAAGGCTTATAAAGCAAGAATATGTCAATATATTTATTGGATTGAGTTTTTAGCTTACAAAGCACGCCAGGCTATAAGGCGCGATGTGCTTTATTACGTCAGACAGCGGTTTGTTTATTGAACAATAATACCGGTTCTGGTTTGAAATGTGAGTATAGGTGAGTATAGGTGAGCACACATTATGCTTAGAGGTACGATCGATTTTTTTTTGGGGGGGGGGAAGAAGTAAATTTTAATAACTCATGTAGTTTTTTGATATGATATAATATGATATGAACAATTTGTTTTTATTTTTCTGTGATACTTAACGACTCCTAACAGTAAGAAGAGTAAAGGGAACCATACATTGTGTTATTGCAAGATAAGGAACCTTGTTTCAAATGGATGACTATGGATATTATGAACTAAATTATTCAACGGGTGTACAAGAATCGCACACTGTGCGGTCTTCTACTTCAAATAGGAGTAGAAATCGTACACGTCGTACACCGACCAGGTAAACGTTATTTCATATTTTAACACGACGTGTCACTTTCTGACTAACCGTGAACATTGTCGACGTGAACTACGTCTTGTGTGTGGAGCATTTAATAAGTTTAGCAAACAAGTATAAAACCAATGGTATACATAAAACCCGACGATGAACATATCGAATCCCACCGGGAAACAAAAAAACTTTGAAATACAATTTTTTAATTGATCACAATTGAAGTTTAACTTCTCTTTCCAGAGTACCGACATCAGCTGTTCCTCGTGTAGGATTTCAAATGCATAGTGGAGGGACTTCGCACAGGGCAGGTTCGGTACCACCTAACATGAGGTATATTTTTGTTTCTCATTTGTTTAGCTAGATTTGAAAAAGGGGGCTTCCAAACACGATCACAAATGTATTCGACTAATACCTATCCATGATAAAACCATTTCCGGATTGCAACTTTATGCTAAAAACACCACCGCTGTATCATTTCATTGGTTTCATATATCGTTAAACTCACTTTAAACTAACATCCACACTACTCCATGTATATTCATTTCAGAATGTCGGGAATGAACAACCAGTTTGCAAAAAGCACAAGACAAACAAACGCAAATCCTTTCAGAGCAACTCACCATTATCCGGGCATGCAGACTGCAGGCAATTCGCGACCAAAGTTAGTACTTCCATATAAATTTTGTTGAAGAAGAATGAAGATGTGGTGTTTGTCTCAATATTAAATCGGAGATAATAAGTTCTTGTTAATGTTATCCCCGAAAACACCTTTGCATTTTGTTATTCAATTCAGTACATCGGATTTGAGTGGCAAATTTGCAAAGAGTGTCAGCATGGGACCAAGGACAAACCACCCCAGATCAAGAACATCTTCGGTTCCCAGACATCCACAAACACAGACGGCATTCCGCAATCAAAATCAAAAATCAAGTACAAAGTTAGTACATAGGCGGTTTAATTTTTAATCACATGTGTGCGTGCCTTGAAATACGTTTGAAACTGATGTTTTATTATTGTTTTATCAACATTAATTAACCCCATAACTTAAGTAAATAACTTTTACCAAACGTCGTGTAGTCATATGAGAAAGATATTACATATCGTCACGCTAATAACCGAATTGTGTGGGTCATTTTTGGCGGTTTTGAGTTTATCATAAAATAGGTATTTATGTAATGCACCTGTCTGTTAACTCAGATTTTATTTTAGGAATTCCGAAATCCATAAAAATAGAGATTTTGTATGATATGCAAATTTATTCAATTGTTTCGTCATAATGAATTATCATGGTTAACGCAGACTATTGTGACGTCACAGAGGCAAAAATAACCTCGGCGAAGGATTTTCGAGTTTTCGCATCTCAGATTCTGACTTAGCGCTTATAAATTTCAATTTATACTACAGTATAGGAAGGCGTACACTTGTGATATTCACTGTCCGAGTCCAATTCACCTTGGTTGGCTTTTATATAAGGGTACATTGCTGTTTTATTCTTTATATTTAACTTTAGTCTTATTTCGGTGGATGTGCAAAGCGTGTTATATTGATGAAATATATATTTTTAAACATAAAAAATAATGTAATTGAAACAGATTAGCTATTTTGGGGATTAGACATCGTATATACTAAGAATTACATTCGTTTTTGGTTTGTTTGGTTTTTAGGACTGGTACATATAGTCAAGTTGCAAAATTGCGTATGTCCTCTAGTCATAGACACCTTTCTGCCTAAGTCACAGTGCGCCATTATGACGTGACATAACTGCGTCATACAAATTAACTTAAATCCGGCTACGATGAAAAAATTGAACTATGGCAAATTATTGACTCTCAATGGCATAGCAATATCATTAGGAATTTTTTTACGTTTTTATCAAAACTGCTAAAAATGACCTACGCAATTCGGTTATTAGCGTGACTATATAATAATAATTTTTTGATAAGAATTTTGCTAAAAGTGCTAGTTTGCATGCTCGTATTTGATGGGTCTATTTCGAACCCAAGAATGCAATGCCCGATAAGCCAGCTAGACGTAATACAATTTTATATGCTATACGCTTCATTTTGGGATTAAGTATGCTAACTTAGCTTCACTACTTTTTAGGATCTTATGTATATGTGTAAGTATATAAATTTATTAATATATTGCATAATAATCATTCTCTTTTATGATGAACTGACTATAGTCGAGATGGAAACGCCAGACCTCGTTTTATTGGTTATAAAAAGTTGGAGAGAATGCTCGAAACTTTTGAACCGCGGGAGATAGTTCTCTCTCTTGCCTTGGATTCTTCCGAATTAGAAGAATTACTCTCAAGTCAAATGGGGAATGGTAAGCTTTTACTTGCAAAAAGTGAATTTGTAATGAGTGCATTTGCAAATATTTTTACAGTGTCAAATACAAATTTTTTATGACTTTCAGGAATGATTCAAATGATATTAAAGGTTTGTGGGAAAATGTCGGAAACGGATGATCTTAGGGAGCACGTAACAAAAATATTGAATTTGTTGGCGAAACATCAATTTTTGACAAAAGCATACACGTTTATTCACGGATTTCTCAAAGAAAGGTAAAATAGCGTAGACTAGATTCACTAGATTACGCCGACTCAAATTTAAAAATTTCAGTATTTCCTCTTTCCTAAATCTCGTATTTCCCAGCGAACGACACCGAAACCTATTTCACGGTCGGTTGAACATATTTATTCAATGACATGGCTAACTTCATATGATTGTAATATAATTGTTTGAAATTGAATAATATTTAATTAGGAATTAGCTGAACCCCGTGACTAGTGCTAATTTCATCAGCAATTCTCGTATACTCGGTAAATATTTATAATTGACTAATTGTATGTGACTTTTTTAATGTAATGAATTCTCTCAACACATGAATTACTGGAACCATAGATTACATCATTCAGACAGTTTGCTGAGCATCCACGCAAAATAAACAAAAAACATGCTTTATCAATATCTTAGGAGGAAAACAGAATTGCATTAAAAAAGGGCTTCAATAAAAAAAAATGAGAAATTGGCCTTGACATGCTCAGTCATACCCGTGATATAGCATTCAATCCCTTTACGCATTTTCGGGTGGAAATTAAGGTTAGGGCATAATTTTATCCCGATTTACTTTATCTTGGTTCTATTACGAGTTCGAGGACTGTCTGTGTTAGCCAAGTAAATATACCTCATGCCCAGGTTTCAGTTCCTTCATACAACTTGATGTAAAGTGGGCGAACAAAATTAGTTACCTCCATATATTGATATACACATTTCTGGAGCGCCGAAATTAATATATATATATTAATATATCATACCTTGGCCGCGTGGGCAATTTATCGTTTTATAGATATTTGATATAAAAAAAAAGTAAATGTAATAATGTAAATATAATATAGTTGATGTAAATACAATTGTCGAATTTTAAAATCGGTTCGCGGCCGAGTTGAATATTTTGGAAATACCAGGATTGTTAACATACAAATAATGCAATGTGAAGGATTCATCATTCTGTTGCTGCCAATCATGCATGAATCGTAATACACACATTTGTTATTTGCAATACCAGTAATCCAGCTATTCCGATCAAAAGCTTTGTTTCACCATCGCGTTGGCCTATATGATTAATTCCCCAAATACTGTGATATTTGTTTTGAAATTACCCACTTAATTAGGCAACGTTAAGAACTGTATACACACGGTGAATCACTATGATTTGAACTTGATCGTGATGATGTATTATTATGTGAAGCAATATATCAATTTGAGATGAAAGTAAAGTCGCAATAAAACGAGATTGATCGTCCGATGATAAAACGCTTTTAACCCTTATCTTCTTATGCCACACTTTGGGAATTTACATCAACTTCTAACAGAAAAAAATCATAGCTACTTTTTAACTGTTTGTTAGTAATAATATGTTTAAAAAATTTGCAGACAATTCCAATTTCGTTGACCGACATGAGTCGCAAGTTGGTCTTACATGATAATTCAAGGTCTTGTATGACGAACATCATGACGCGGAGACTCGGTTGTCGGGCATCGTACTGAGACTCATGGGTACGCCTGCTATCGCACCTCTATTAAACTCAGCCGGTTCACAAGGTTCAAAACCCGTAAATAATAATCGATTCTGGTTGCTGGTCTTCTCACAGTAGTAGTCTGGTTCGCATAACCGCTGTCAAATACGGCTTCCATCTCCATCAAATCTGAGTCTAAAATATATAACTGGATAACTATTCCCGTACTTGATTGGTAACCGGTCGAGCGCCGATTTCTCATACTGACAATACAGAAATTTTTTATTTTTTGAAACATGAAAGGTAAAGGCTAAGAAATATTATTTGTTAGTGAATATTTGAGCTGAAAGTTTGTAAAAAATATTTTGGACGGTGTTGTCGACTTTTTCCAAAAATAGAATATCGTGTTGAATAAAATAACAGCCAATAAAACATATAATTATCCGTACGTGAGGATACCAGTATATTTTTGAGATTAATATCTTTCAAAATCAATTTATTTGTGAACCTGCGTCGGTATCCCAAATGGCTTTACCGCAAGAAAAACTTTAAAACTTTTACATGCCGGAGAGACCGCATGCGTTTTCTACGTTTTAGAAATATTTCGAGTACGCAAAGAAATAACCTCGACCCATATAGATATTCTCGGCCCGGAATATTGAAATTGGTCTCAGCTGACCGCATCAGAACATATTTCAATCAAATATGTACAATTAATATTACAGCAGCAGAGGTGAAGATAACAGAATGATACATTTGCAAAATTGTCTGCGTTTGATGGCAAATTTTTTGACTGTTTTACCAGCATCTACAGAGGATGAGGTGAGTTGGTGGAGTAAATAATAAGAGTATGGAAAAAATAAATAAATTAAAGCCCATCTACTCCATTATTTGTGTGATGTGATATTGGCTATTTTGGGGAAAATGTAGGACTTCAAATAAATGGGCTGATATTTGTTACTATTTTTCACATTATTATTTGTATATCACTGCTAATTAGCGTATTGAACAGTGTAGCATTATTATAAAGCTTGCTAGCTTATAACTCGATTAGATAAGTTGAAGAATACATCTTTACCCTCCGGAACCATCATATTCCAACTTTCTTACCTCCGAGACCACTAACTTATAGTATAACCGTAACGGATGAGAGCCTACGATGTTTCATATCATTGCAACGCCTTGTCAACTTTCCTTTCTCAAAATGTAGCTGAATTTTTATTCGTATTTTTGTACAGGTCGGATTAGCTCTCACAATTCTTGACATAGTTATAGACAGATTGGGTTTGGCAGTTATTAAAGAAGATGAATATTATAAGGAAGTAAAAACTCTTCTCAAGAATATACAAGAAAAAGAAACTATCAAAGTAGAAAGGTTGATATTTACCGTAGTTATCGGTTACTTAGAGTTTGCTCATGTTTTTTATCCGATTCTCAACTGTTAGTAAAGACGTACTATATTTTGAGAGGATCGGAGAGTTTCCATTTCAGCATTGCCTACTCAATTTATTATCCCGGGTGGACACAAGATTTTCAATCTGCGATGCCATCAGTTAAGCCAGACACTTTTATAACAACCACTAGGTTTAGGCAAGGCATTAGCACTAGACGACGTTTTCTTTTTATTCCTACACACGATAAAGGTTTTATATGTGAACACGAATGCTTGCGAATTTTTAGATCTACACGGAAACGAGAAATGCAATTGGACAATGCTCATTTGTTGGCCCCGCCAGACGATTTTCGGCATATCCCTGTGATACCGAGACCGGAAGATTTGCGAGAAGATGCAGAACCTTTCGTCCGATGTAATTTGATTGGTGGAGCTTATCAAGAGTAAGTTAATGCAGGCTCATTTGAAAAATTGGGAAACTGGGGGACTGCATTGCCTTGTTTGGTGCTTTAAATCTTGTGTCAATTTGAATCTCAGTTTGAATGATTATTGAAATCCATTATGAGACTGTTAAAAAAGTTGTAAAACTCCTTGTATATATTTAGCATGGATCACTATTTGGATGTTCAATACAGACTTCTGCGAGAAGATTACATTAGACCACTTCGAGAAGGAATCGCACTGATATCGGGTAAAGGTTTTCATATGTAACTTCGTTGTGCTTCAAAATCCAGTTTTTGTGACCTGGACATTTGTATATTGAGCAAAGCTAACATTCCATTTGGTTACTCTTTCAATGGTTCGTTCGACTTATACTGGATGGGTGGAATCTGTTATTCTTCGAACATTTTGACACATATGAACTGAAAGTACTTTAGTATATACAGTACTAAAGTAATAAATTCCAAGGTTTATTGAACGCAAAGTGTACCTATTGATCATCGTGATATCGTGTCGTTGTTGTTGTTGTTAGTACTTCTTTTCTATAATAATATAATATAATCAATAAACTGCTCACAGACAATAGATGATAGTAGACAAACGACAATTGCGACAATTCTTCTTTAGTTTATTGAACAGTATACACTTCAAGGTTGTTTTTTACAAGACTGGATAATACTACGGAGAAAGCGATCCTTATATACAGAAAACGAACGATAATTATGTCTCTCCCAGGATTTTGACATAATCAGAATTTTTAAGAATACTGTAAGGATTTGATCTATAAATCTATATTCCGGGGATGATCCCATTAGCCTTATTGATCGAAGTTTTGAATACTAATTACCACCTGGACGTTATTGATACAGTTATTTTTCGTTGCCATATGTTGCCTAATTTAAAATGGGTTTTTCATCGACCTAATTTATGAATACGGAGAATTTCGTCAATACTAATTATTAGCCTTTTTCTATGTATTTAAAAATGTTTGTCCAAATTACTAATCTTTCCCTATAACTCCATCAAAATTGAAAACATTGGCACCCTGTGGCGATTCCGCCTTCATTTTGATTGTGCGGTCTGGTGTGAAAAATTGCATACCTGCACTACTTCGTTTTGGTCTTCGTGTCCATGTTCGTGAATGAAGTCATACCGATACATATCGTTACTCTGTGCAACTTATTAACATTTGTATAATATTTGTTTCATTCCAGAAAATCCAGCCGGTACAGGTAGAGGTGGTAGTAATCGTAACGTTAAAGTATACACCGACGTTAAAATTGAATTTGTGAAACCTTCAAGAAAAGGTAAGCTTAGTCTTCTTCAGTCTCATTAGTCTCTGTTGCAATGAACAAATAACTATCGTCATTTATTTACTGAGGAAAATATTTAATTTAGGACAACACCACGACATAAGGTCACATATTGGGGTTGGGTATGTCGAAAACTTTTGTAAGCTGTGATCCCATGCGTTACTTCCAAATAGCGCGCTATTCTCGGAAAGTGTGAAACTCCAAATGTAGAGCATAAAAGTCGATTCAGTCCATTGGAACCTCATGGAACGCCAAATTTTCAAATTGTTACGTCATTTTATCTAGGAGTTCTTCATCGTCTCCACTTCAGTACAGAATCACTACAGAAAATAAGATGGAGAAACACAAAAAGGTTACTTCAGGGAAATTTACTGTGTCTTTCATACGATAATTTCAAGGTATTTTGTCCTTATTCATGGCGGTCGTATTTTTTTATGTTCGTACTTTGTTTTGTGAGATGTGTAAATATTACATAATCTATGTAACTATTTGTTCTACGACAAAAATGTATGAGAAATGATTAAACAAATCGTTGTATTAACCTAAATTCTGTTATAAACGCAATAGTCCGTTGTTGAGACTTTCAGTGTACTAGAGCTGTACGGTAGTCGAAATCCTATATTTCATTCTATTCATCGTACAACAACCAATCCATACTGCCATAAAATAACAAATTCGTTAAACGAAGTTCCAGTCAGATATGTTATAGATGTTTTCTGGATTTTAAACAAAGTGAAGCTACACCTATCTCATTGTTAGAAAAAAAAGTATTACGTTCTTTTTTCACAATATACCACACCTAAAAAACCTATCTCAAATCTATCATTTATTCATTTATATAAATGAGTTAGTTTGGGATTATTTTCCAACTTAATGTTTTGGCAAAGATTACTACTGTGTCTCTTGGTAGGTTGATACCAGTGGGCCTGGTCACGACTGATTACAATATAGAGACATTTTTAGCTTTTTCTTTGTTTTTTCGTTTTGCTATCAATTTTGGAATTGAATGATAAAGTATGAGCGTTTTATATAAACCTTGCTCAGTTTTACAATATTAAACTATTGCTAAGCGAATTATTATTAACATTAGGCGACCAGGGCAGAGTCTCTAGTCGGGTCTGCAGCTGGGTATGATGCTAAGCTTGGCTGCAAAAGTAACCCCTATTTGAAATTGGCACTGGGGCAAAATTCAAGATTAAAAGATCTAAAAGATGTCCCAATTTTATCCGTTTTCGATAGCCTGAACATAACAACACAAAACTACTTGTTATAACCGTTTTTAGGATCACATATTATTTGCCGTTGTGGCTGATAGAAATCCAGAAGATCTTGAACAAGGATATATATGGGTTGAATTTGTTCGAGAAGATAAAAAACAGGATGAAGCATCTCAACTAGATCATGGCTTGGAAATGGAATCAGGTTTCGATTGTGTATTTAAATCACGCATCCATAAAATATTAGGTCGAGTCATCCATCAGTATATCATAACTTATATATACGTTCATCAAAAAAATATTGTATTACCAGACCATCTCGAAAAGCGTGACTACTCGAATTTACTCATAGGCAGGCTTTACATGCATGAACATCCTATGGGATGGGACAGCACACAGCAGTATTTCAGATGGGATAGTAGTCTTTTCCGTGGTATCTAACTCTAGTCTTTATACTATTTTTGGCTTTTAAATGTATTTTACTCTCATTTTTCACATACCTACATCAATTATTTATTTTGTGGTAAGACACCGGCATGGTTGTCTATGGGAATTGAATTTCCGTGGAAATTCCTGGGCCTGTCCATGTGAAACGTCCCATGAGATGGTATGGGACGGGTATAAATTGCTATTGGATGAGATGGGCCAAAAAAAGCCTGCTTTCACGTCATCGCGTTTTTCATCGAACTTTTAATTTCAGAGATCGGATCTCGCATTGATTTTCATCTGCATCATACAATGGTCGAGTCCGAAGCTTATTTTGAGGCATATAAGCATGTTCTTGAAGCTTTAAAAGGTATTTGCTTTTACTTGTAGGTCAGGGTTTTCCAGTCGGGTTTGCTTAGTGTAACACACACACACACTTTCAACAAGCACGGGGTTTTCTAAACGATTTATAACAATTTATAAACAGGAAGGTTGTTTTTTTATATTTCAACGAATTTTTCTCTTTGTTTGTTTATGTGGTACGTTTCGAGAAATACTCTTTTCCTGTATTGTGTTTCCTTTTTCAATAATACCAGGGATGGCAAACCGCTACCCGGCAGTGAAGTTAAACCACATTTGAATTTTAGTATCATTATCACATTATCTCGGATCGCTGACAGAAAAAAAAATAAGGATTTTTATTTGAATAAAATCACGTTATTTATTAACGCTCAGAACACAACGCAATTATTGGACACGTAGTGGACATAACGATCGTTTCAAAATTTTATTGTTATTGTTATTATTTGTCTCCGTCAACACGTTTTAAAGAAATCGCTTTTCTCTTCGAATACTGGACCAATTGCTTTGAAATTTTCAGTGGTTAAAGATAAAATTTTTCTCCGGAAGTCTATTCCTTTTTTTCTCGCTATGACGTCATCAAAATTATGTGACTCTACGTGTCCATATATTTGAGCATAGCTCTCTTGTTAAAGACACCATTAAAATTTTAACAGAAATGCGTCGCATTCCACTGGAGAGATACATAGTCAAGTGCTCAAGCGATGTACACGCTCCAGAATATTTAAGACCATCAGTAGCTGGAAAAAACGTTTCATATGAAATACAAGTGACAGGTGCATTACATAACGATTTATTTGGAGAAAACGAACATTGCTTGGTTTAATATTTTGTACAAATATACTGCCGTAAGATTTAGGGAGAATGAGAAAAGAAGCGCCGGAAGCTTCAACTATTTTTATTAATCACAACACTAGATCGTCATTACTTATCGATCTCGATCGGTAAGTATATGTTGATAGGTATTTGTCTGTTGGACACTTTCGTATGTTACTCGATATCTCACGGAAGCGAGGTCCAAATTTTGCATGTGCATTCATCATATCTCGAACCAGAAGCTTATTGATATTGGATGAATTATGTCGTATAATTAGCGAGTTAATATTTATTTATTGATGAGACACGCGGTGTCGCTATTGAGTCAGAGCGAAGGGAACATGTGGAAGATCGATAAGTTGGCGGTCTCCAATCGCTATCTAGTTTCTATTCCTTACAATTTATCGACATAGCTGACTACAATTAGTTTTGAATTTTTCAATACTCAGCTGGTACAGCTAGTGTAAGAGTTTTGGACGAGAAATGGCCAACACCTGAACAATTGTCACTTGACGGAACACAAAAGGAGGCATTAAAACTCGCTCTGACAAAAGAACTCGCAATTATTCAAGGACCTCCGGGTACAGGAAAAACCCACGTTGGTCTGGAAATTATGAAAGTCCTGTTGACAAACAAATCAAAATGGTAAGATGAGTATATTTTATATTTATATGAGTTAGATAAATCGATTGGAACTCATGATTTCAAAACTCATAGAATGAATTGGCAGTTCGTTATATTTTTACACCTAACCCTAACCGGAAGGATTGCATCGTACTGATTTAGCCAGTAATGACGGATAATTATTAAAATAAATAAAAGAGCAATGCTCAAATATATGGACACGAAAGCCAAAAAGAAGGTTCTCTCAGTACCTTACCTATTTCACTGTAAAATGTTCAATCCTGAAAATTTCAAAGCAATTGGTAGTAAATGAGAAAGAAAAGGGCAAATTAACAAATGTACATTCCAGAAGTAATCCATCTGGTAATTAAAGCGACTTCTCTCTTTTTTATCATGAAAGGTGTCACGGTCGTTCTATGTTGAGAAAACCAAAAGAGTCAAAAATAAACTCACCAATATTAGTTGTCTGCTACACAAACCATGCGCTTGATCAATTTGTGGAAGGAATTGCTAAGTTCTGTGGTGGAACGAAGAATATCATTCGCGTTGGAGGAAGATGTGCAAACGAAGCTATAAAGCAATTCTCCCTAAGAAGTGCAAGAGATAGAAAAAAGGCAAAAGGGAGGAAGGGGATGGTAGGCGCTGCCATAGGAAAAGTATTCAGTAAGTGGAATATCTTAGACTTAGAGTGTCTATCACTCTTATTTATGTATCACAATAGTATATATATGTCATTATATGGTATGAAATTTGGATTTTTTACATTAATTTTGAAATGTAAAATTACGTATTAGACTAGAGGATTATCATTGTTTTGTAATATTCATTGTCATAGTCTACTCTATAAACCCAAGTAATTTGTGGTACCATTTGGTCTGAATTATTTTTGTGGGAGTTGTTTTGAACGGTCTGAAGAAAGCAAAAATACACTAAATAACTTAAATTATGTGATACAGTATTTGGTATATATCTATGCATTTGCATACTTTTTGTAAACCATTTGTTTTCTTTTTTTGGTGTTGGTATATTTAAATGGTCGCATTCTGAGAGATTCTCAAACAATGAACGAATTTTATTTGACTATTTGGCACATGGGTATAATCTTCCCCTGGATTACTCTAATAGTTCTGTAAATACCATTGACATCTTCTTGAATAAAAAATTGCCTGAATCAAATTAAATCACAATAAAATTCGATTTCAAAATCAAAAAGCTAAAAACTTTTCGAACTTTAAATCAAGCAACATATCCCTGACCTATTTAAAATTGTTGTACTACAATTACACACTGCTTTCAAGTTGCGTGTGAATTTTGAGTGGGGAAAAAGGGTTAGCAAAGATCAAAAATGAACTTACTTAGATCACGAACAAACTGCTGTCCTAATTTGCATATCACTTTTTATTTATCTAAATCACAGGACAAATGAAAGAGTTTGAAGAAAAATTTCAGGACAATATCAACCGACTCGAATACTCACTTCGCGTTGTTCTTAATCTCGACTCGTTGAAACAAGTTGACGACAATAGACATCTCAGACAGTTGCAACCAAATTCATGTAAGCATTGCATTTAATAGCTATTTTGTGGTTGAACTCCTTATTCATTTTCTTCAAACTAAAAAAAATTATTTGCTGTATTTATTATAGACGAAGGACTCCTACACTGGCTAGGAGTAGACATTGCACCACCCGAAAAGCAAAATTCTGGAAATAGAGCTAGAACTACAGGTATGTTAGTACAGATTCAAATAATTTTATGATCATTTTTGTCTTGATAGTTGTATAATAATTGTTTCAATGAAGAATAACACCATCATGAAACACAATATAGATAGCATAAACAATATAGATAAAAAATTGTTTTTTTGTTTACTGTGAAAATTTTGTGTCGTGAAAATTAATATTTTGGACAAAATTCGATTAATTCATGAACATTCTACAAAAAATAGAAGCACCCACTATGCAACACGTAATTGAAATTGAGTTACCTTTGATTAACTTCTAACTTTGCAGAGTGCCTTCAAATACAAACGTCAAGTTTTGAATACTATAATAGTATATATTTTCTGTCATTGTTAATTTGAATTACATTTTAGGGGAAGAGAATTTTGAAATGATGGAGGAAGCTGACGTAGAAGAGGAAGCAGATTACGAGCTTGATCGACGAATATTAGAAGAAGGCGTGTTTATATTTTAACTGAATGGCTAAATAATTTGAATTTTTTGTTATCCCTGGTATGTCAGTGACCATTAGTGACTTCGAAATGACTGTTTTTCACATCGTTTGTAAGTATTTTTCAAACCCTTTCACAGGAAAATGTTTATATCAAGAGTGAAGAATCGTCAAAATTCAAATATGAATCTGCAACAATAAATGAGCAAAATGTTATTCGTCCATCATGTATTTCACATGATTATAGTTTCCCACTCTAATTATCAGCATCTTATTCAAATAGATCTGTAGTTAAACTGTAAATGTAATAATAATTGTTGTAATCTTTTCTTTGGTTTAGATGACATGGATGATTATATGGAAACAAAGAGAAAGAAACAACAGAAAAATGCATATGCAAGTATGGATTCTGCAAAGTTCGAATCTCTCAAAGGTAGGCTAAGAATTTTGAATTATTAAAAAAGTATGGAATGTGCGAAATTGTTCAGTCAGTATTTGGGATATCAGGAGAACTTAAATCCAATTTCACTACGCGTTCATAACGTGTGTATCACAAGGTTTTGGCGTGGAATTTCGCATTCATAAACACCTGTGTTTGCTTTTTATGAGGTACAACAACGTTTATAATCTGGTCAAATCATAAATTTCTTAGTTGACATTGACATCATATTATTACCAAAAATATTATCAAATTAGCTGGAAATTTGCTGTCAAAGATAGTTTCAAAATGTGTACACGTTGAATAAGTATTTTGACATATTCAGCTATACAGGTAATATATAAATTATAGGAATTGATTTGATTGACATCATTGCAAGTAGTCCTCCTAACTAATGTAGACTCGATGTTATGAAATACTTTTTAGACAAGGGCAGTATACAGATTGAAAGTTATGTTGTATTACAGCATTCATTCCCACAGTTGATGAAAATGGATTTCAGCTTCCTAGCGAAGTTGTGAAGAAAGCAGTTAAAAACTTGAAGGAAGCGCAATCGAAAACATCGATTATGTCTGATGCGGAGGTTTTTTCCGTCAGAGATATTTATCAATTAAAACTGCACGATAAGTGGAGATTATACAGGTTTGTATTTTTATGAAATACACCGTTTTATATTGTTTTAATATTCTACAGTTTCAAATATACTTGTATTTAAATAGCATGATGGCTTTTGCTCTAGAATATGCGATTTCAAATATTTCTATCATCACATTGATATTTGAGTTATCATTGTTTTTAAATTAATAAACAATTTGCCCCCAAATAAAAACAAAACAAAATATGGCTAATACATGAAATATCAAGTTTCGCGCTAATGACAACAAGTAGATCAGGGGGTGCAACCAGTGGCTGCAGGCCAAATTAGGGCCCAAAACGAAAAGTTGTGCCGTAGGCGGAAAAGTGCCAGTTTTGAATGGTGTCACGAAAAAGTTTTCAATTTAGTTAAATGTATAGTACACGTAAATAATTCTAATTCTTTAGCGCTGCAAAAGCTTGTGTGAAGCGAACGACGCACATCATATAATATCAATAACCAAAATTTGTGTGCCTACATCTTCTAGGAAGCCTATGTTAAAAGTGCGGCTGCAGTTTCATCCAGTTATTTGTATCTTGCCCTTCTGTTTTAATTTTTGAAGGTTGCACACACGCAATGTAGATTATTACGATTATATTGCAGAACCTGGGCAAGTCGTTGGCGTGACAACTATAGAAAAGATTCACACAATGGCTTGGAGGAATATGCAAAATTGTTGCGAGAATTAAAAGATCTGAGAGATCTTGAAGATGGAGACATTTTGAATGAAGCTGATGTCATCGCCATCACAACAACAGGAGCAGCAAAATATCGCAATATGATTCAGAAACTCGACTGCAAGATTGTGGTGATCGAAGAAGCGGCAGAAGTTTTGGAAGCGCATATAGTAACGACAATGCCAAAAGCCACTAATCATTTGATTCTCATTGGTGATCATCAACAATTGAGACCGTCGCCAACTGTTTACGAACTTGCCAAAAAATACAGTCTCGATACTTCACTTTTTGAAAGATTGGTGAAAACAAATATTCCGTTTGTCACGTTATCCTTGCAGCATCGTATGCGTCCTTCTATTGCTGACCTTATTCGGCCGGAGATTTATAAATCACTCAGCGACCATGAAAGCGTTTTCGGACGTGCCCAGATAGACGGAGTGGAAAAATCACTTTATTTCATTTCCCACCAGGTACCCGAAGAAAGCGTTCAAGATGGTAAAAGCAAGAAAAATCTACACGAAGCGAAGTTTTTGTCAAAACTTTGTGAATATCTTTTGCTACAAGGATACAAACCAGAGCAGATTACAATTTTAACGATGTACACTGGTCAGCTTTTTGCGTTTCGCAACTTCATGTCTTCAAAAAGTCGCGGAGTACGAGTAACTGCTGTGGATAATTTTCAAGGAGAAGAAAATGACATCATTTTGCTGTCTTTAGTACGGAGCAACTTTGAGGTAAAACGTCATGTACGCTATGACGCAATATGCGATAACTTTACATGGGTACTTAGTGATTAATTGTGATATTTCGTCTCTTCGTATCTCAATTAGAAAATATTCGACCCCCTCGTAAATCATGTTTAGTCATGTTGCAACTCTGCTTGGAATGTTACCTGCGCGAATAATTGATTTTGCTTTTAGGCGATTTTATCTCCCTCTGAGAATAGTATACAAATCCTATTTCAATATTCAAGTTCATACGCTATTTTATTTGAACTACCTGTAATAATTGTAACATAATTGAACTGAATTTTGATCAATTTCTTTTTTATATTTCAGGGCAAAATTGGATTTCTCAGCATTGATAATAGAATATGTGTTGCTTTATCTCGAGCAAGAAATGCATTGTATTGCATAGGAAATATGACGGTAGGTACTGCAAACTAAATCAGCAATTGTAAAATATTCTGTATTTTATCATTGCTGTGATCATATCACAATCAGCAACTAATCTGGTGATACTTCTTAACTCCATTCTTCAGGAATACAAATTTGTATTTTCAGTTATTAAAAGCCAAGAGTGGAATGTGGAATAATATAGTGACTAAGCTAATGAAAAATAACAATGTTGGTGAAAGCTTGAGACTGCAGTGTCAAAATCATCCTGATCGATATACAGTAGTTCGTGCCGCAGAAGATTTCCTGCAGGTTGCTGAAGGCAAGTTGAGTTTACTTTAAGCCTGTAGGTGCATACGTCTTTAGGTGTAATAAAAATATGCACATGTTGAATGTTTCACGGTTCCCCAAAATAGTTTAGAATTTGTTTTGAATATTACATTCTAATATCGTTTATCATTTAAGTGGGGCAATTTTCTGGGCATCCATATTTTTTTTATGATCACCCGGTAAACCTCAACAATAAATGCTAAGTTCTAATATTATGCTATTATTATGTATAAAACATATATTTTACTTAAACCCATTATTATATCGTTGACTAGCACATTGCTTGTTGTATAAATGCTAAATGCTATTTTCTGCGTCGGAAAATAAATCAACACATTATTTTGGTTTCATTAGAATATAATACTATTTTTATGTTTTTACATGGCTCTGCAACCGTTTTAGAATGTTACGTGCAATACTTTAGACCAGGGGTCTTTAGACCACGTACTAATTCCATTACTTTTCTTACAAAAAATATAATACTAGGTGGATGCACACTCTCTTGTACATACCAACTTCCATGTGGTCATGTGTGTCCAAGACGATGTCATCCAGGTGATCATTCCGATGCCAAATGCATGAAAAAGTGTACAAAAACAGTTTGTGATCTGGGTCACAAGTGCAAGAAGAAATGCTTTCAAGATTGTGGAAAATGCATGGAATTAATTTTGAAGGTAATTTACTGATATAATAGTGTAATAAAATTGTTATATATGTTTACAATGTCACATTAACTACCATATGTATACTATTAGAAAGAGGACATCATTACATAAATTCTCATTCAGGATTTACCGTGTGGACATCAAACAAAGGCTCAATGTTATTTGCCTGCTGAGAGGGTAGTGTGCAGAGTAAAGATAACGGGTATGTGTCTATATGAAATGTTCGAAGTTCGGCATGAATATTTAAAAATAATTTATTTGTGTTATTTCTGATTTGTTTTAAATTTACTAAATGAAATATAATTTTAGATGAGAAAACAGTCACTTGCGATAAATTCAATTTGTGAATAGGTAATAATTATAATGATATTGGTATTACTTTTTATTATTAATACAGCGTTAAACTATTTAATTATGGTTAGTTCCCTGGAAATTTTCCTAGTATTCCTCTTAAATTTCGGAAACAATGCTGCATCAATATATATTAAAATATTATTTCAGAAAAACTTTCATGTGGACATGAAATCACAGTGGATTGTCATTTTGCTGGAACCAAGAGTGTGGCTGATTGCAATGAAAAATGTTCCACGTTTTTACCTTGCGGCCATTTTTGTGGTGGCACTTGTTCCAAATGCTTTCAGGTATTTTACATTCAATTTTTGTTTTTGGATTACTTTCGTGATAGCGCTTCTTACTCTTACTACTTACAAATTTTACTCATCTACTTTCAGGGTCGACTTCATATTCCATGTCAACAAAAATGTAGTAAAATGCTTTGGTGCGAACATAAATGTACTTCCTTATGTTCACCCTCTTGTCTACCTTGTATATTCCCATGCACTAATTATTGTGATCATGCGGCATGCAAATTGTCGTGCAGTCAGCCATGTATTCCATGTCAAGAACCGTGCACCTGGGAATGCCAGCATTACAAATGCCGACATTTGTGCGGCGAACTATGCGATCGACCACGATGCAATATGCCTTGTGAAAAGAAACTTAAATGTGGCCATGATTGCATTGGAATATGTGGAGAGAAATGCATTGACGTATGCAAGTTTTGTAATGTAAAGAAATACAAAAATCTTCTAACAGCGTCAGATGGGGACGTTGAACCAAGGTAGAGTGAATTTGAATGTATGTTTCCAAGCTCCAAACTTCTCATGAAATCTGCAACACGTAGAAATAAACACATCAGGCATATTAATATTTAATGCATATATATGTGAGACCTATCTCATACGTCATCTTTGACACCATCGAATGTACAGCAAAGAAGAAACTTTACGACCAATAAATAATCCTGGTAAATGGTATATAGGTACAGAAAAGCTTCTTATTTAGTCAATTGCCTTCGATACAATTGTTTTTCTATTTACTCTTCCATAGAAATGGATGATTCAGAAGTGTTTGAATTATTTTTGCTTTCAAATCTTGTTATTCTCAAAGTGGGGGCTAAAGAGTGAAAATTGCCTAAACCAGTGGTTCTCAACCTTTCTCTTTCGTGGCGCACTTTCGTTGCACTCATGCAGGGGAAAAACTAAAAATTATTCCACTTTATAATTAAAATGAGCATCGCCACTCGACTACAATCAAATTTGAAAATTACTCTAGCAAATTTCAATAGATTTGTGATCCACCTGAAAAATATTCTGCGGACCAACCGTGGGCCATGACCATGAGATTCGGTGTCCTCAACCATATATTGTGATTCATAGTTTTTTACATAAGATGATTTTCACCCAGATTCGTGAAACTTGCTGGATGTGGCCACATTTTTAACGTTCATTATCTTGACAATTTGATGGATTCGTTAGACGAAGCAATCCCGATAAAACATAAAAAATGTCCAAAATGCTCTAAAGCAATTCTTTGGAACCAAAGATATGGGAACGTTATCAAGAGGAAGTTAAGGTAACTATTTTGCGACTTTGATCAATACATAAATACATACTTCCATGTAGTAATCTGCTTGGCAAAGGTTGTGTTAATTTTGAAATGTGGTATTCATTTTTGTGTCTCAAACTAAACCTTTTGCCCAGATCAATAAAATTAAAGATAAGTAATATTATTATTGAAAAATTTAGAAGAAATTTGCAAGAATTAGAAGCATTCTTTATCAATGTCCAGTCATCGTAATTGCTGCTTATAACTGTTTTTGTTTTAACACGCTTAGTCGGATATGGCACAAAGACACCGACGACCAATTTCAATCATCAGAATAATACCTGGTTAAAACGAAATTTAAAATATATTAATAAAATACACACCCATATCTGGATGAGTAGAAATGTTTACTCCGAATGCATTTTTATTCTCTTCCATATTACTTCCTTTCATACCGTGTTTTGCAAGAGCGTAACAGCCCAGAATTGGGGGCGACCGATTTTTTTCATACAATGACATAGTACGACTCTTACTCGTGTTTTTTGCTCCAAACAAAGCTAGACAAAAGCAGCCACTCCCACTGATATCTAATATTATCTCAGAGAGTCTCTCCAGACTTACTTCGCAGTTGAACAACGCATTTTCATTTACTCGGTTGGTCCATTTGGTGACAGTATTTTTGATAGCAAGCCAGGAAACGACCGGTTTTCAGTAAATCGTTCAAGAATATAGCGAAATGGTGTGGAAAAAGGCGTATGTCTCACTGCAAATACCGCGAAATTGCTTTTTAAAATAGATATATTTTATCACTCTACCTATATTTCTTACAGAGACATTAACGCAGTGAAAGCTAAAATCAAAGAATCTGGTGCTGTTGATCCAAGCAAGTTGCATTTATTGAAAGTTAATTCTGTACAACAGTCCACGAAAATTACTTCAGCATTTCCGTTTCTTGGTCAAGCATTGGCGAAATCTATAAAGGTATTTCGATATTTTATGAATAAGCAAGCTCGGTAATTTTAAGTTATTCGTATTTTATGAGACGCAAAAGTATATCTCCATACGGCAATAACAAGAAAGAGATGCTGAATTATATGGACACGAAAGCCCAAATGCCGTAGTACGGGTATGCAATCTGTCACAGTAGCCGATACCGCAGGCTTAACGACTTTGCTTGACCGCCACAAGGTGCGCAATTTTCAATTTTGATGACGTCATCGCACACAAAAAGACCAGTCGTCAGAAATTTTGAAATAAATAAAAGTAAAAGCTTCTAGCAAAAAATACAATCTTCAAGTTCTGAAAAGTTCAAAGCAATCGGTCCTGTAATTAATGAAAAAAGCGATTTGTTTCATACGCTAACAACAAGAATGCCGAATGGCAAAACGATCGGATCCATTTGGTGTCGGCGCTATCCAGATATCGATTCACGTGTTCCAGATTGATTTTCTTTTTTGTGTAATTTCCGATACTTATATCCTCCATTTCAAATAAATAACAGAATAGTTTGGATCATCCGATAAACAACATCTTGTTGATACTTGAAAGGAAATTAAACAATCTCGAAATTTTATCGATTTTAAAAACATTTTTGACTAAAGAAGTGAAAGGGACGGAAAATACAAGTAAACAAATGAAAGGTAAGAATCATCATGCGAATAAATTTTTTATCATTTAGTTAATTATAGTTGTTACATATATTTATTTTTGGTAGAAAATAGTCACAAAATGTATCTTGCAAATTTCACAATTGGTATAGTTATATAGGCGCTCCGGAAGTATTCGTACCAAGATGACGCACAACCTGAACCTTGACTTGATACACATACCACGTTTAGGTTGTGCGCCATCTTAGTACCAATACTTCGGGAGCACCGTTATATAAATCTTCCTCGACCGTTTGCACGTCACGTTATTTTGTCCATCCAAATTCTTTCATCAGGACGACATAGTTACACCGATTTTCTGAATACAATTCAATTCAAAATGCAAAAATCATGTGGTATATTTCATAAAATCGTTTTAACATGATATTAGTTGGATATATGAACCAGCAAAATCCAATCAATTGAATTAAAATCTAATTCACGGATGTTAATATTTATTAACAGTGTTTTTTAGGTAGAAAATATCAGAAATAACTATTTTCCCAAAGTTTCATAGATCCATATTATTTATTCGAAAGAAAAAATGGTTACAAAATAAAATTATCAGTACGTAAGTTTTTGTGTACAATGTACTTAGGAAATATAGAATCTATATAACTGCAATATGCTTGAGACACGTAGTCTGCGTATGACTTACGCAAAACTAAGATTAAATCCCGCTAATTATATAATGAATTTCTCGAAGACATCGAGCAAGACATCAAGAATATAGCAAACTGGATTATATTGCCTCGCTCAACTTGGTCAAGTCACGAATCAGAAAATCTTGACGCCGAGTTGAAAAGGATTGAATTGAGTGTTCGTTTCCTGAAAATATACGGTGAAACCAAGGGCGAAGTTTTGAGGTGAGCTATATTTAAAAAATACAGCAACTTTTGAATGCGTATTCTGAGTAAAAAAGCAGTAAATTCTAGAAATACTTAGACTTACAACTGATCATATTTTGAGCCGAATGCAGAGCCGTGAAGTGGAGAATCGCAGTTAGCCAGTTTTTTGTTGCGATCGGAGCCAGTGTCGTATTTTTGAACTATCCGGAGATAAATTCTGAATTCATTGGAGTCGGAATTGCAGACTTTTAAGGATGATAAAACACATCAACACTTCCTGCAAAACTCCAAAATCATTAGCTTACTAACGCTTATTTTCAACTTCGCTGTGACATTCTTGCAAATCCTAGCACGAAACACAGAATTTAACACAAATTACTGACGTAAATTGAATCCTGCAAAATGTATTGTTGTTAGATTGGCCATAATTTAACAACGGTGTTTGGATTTATATTTTCAGTGACAAACCGTCACTAGCTAGTGTTTTGAGACGAGCTAAATCACAATTGTTCGATATCGCCGAAAGCATGACTAAAGCAAGACGGGATGCAATCGATGGTCTCATCCACAAAATGAACATATATGTGAGTATCATCGGACATTTATAATATAATTTTTCTTATTTTAGTTTTATTACGAGTTCTGGGACTAGCCAAGTGACTCCCGTAGTATTTGTACCTGAAATTATGGCCTAACCTTAACCTGATACATATTCTACGTTTCGGTGTCCGCATCTTGATTCACATACATCGGGAGTACCGTCTGTCGCCCATCGTTGTCAAGCGTTTTTATTTTTTTTAAAAAGTTGCCTCTGCTAGGGGCCAACGTTGTCATGCATAATCTTACGCGTACAAACGGCGTTCCCTTGGTTTCTAATTTACTACTAATATATAATTGTTTTGTTCTGCTATGTTGTGTACTTATATTATATCTGGCTACTTCTAATAGCACTGACTGATTTACGCTTCAGTATGTTGTATTGCAGGAACTTGTATTTGTTATTCAAAACATTACACACAGATTATATTGGATACTAGAGCACACACGACGCCAGCTGAACATAAAAAACTGATAGTCAACTCTAAGATGACCTTTGACCCTAACTGATAGTTGCCATACATTACAATTATTGAGTGCAATAGGTTTAATTCATAAATGATATCATATAAATTCACCTTACTGTACGTTTACCCACAAGTAATGTAATTATCATAATGATAATGAGAGAAGATAGAAATCGAATACTAAAATTCGTTTTTACGTGTAGAAAGTAATTAAAATAGAGAATGCTGCTTCTCTGTTGAGAACGCATGTTCAAGTATTATCATTTTAATTGCTTCTTTAATTTTTTTTTTTGCATTTTCATTATTTTTTATTCCGTTATTATTTTATATATTTTTTATTTGTTCATAAAACTTTTTGTTGTTATATTTAGTTGAAGATATCTGATGATTCCCTGTCAGATATTTCACGTCTGAATGAAGATTCAATGTTTGAAGCTACAGAACAGAATGTTCATAATGAATGGTTTCGAACATTAGACGGAGATGTCGGTTTCTCGTTACTATAGTAATTTACAAATCCATAACATACTGACCAGCCCTAGAGAAAGAAAACTGTGTCTAAATCATAACAAAAACTACCCGAATGATTTTGATTGTTGTCAGTAATAATCACTTAAGGCAGAATTTTCAATATATTTTTAAAGTTATTTTGAACTGCATATTTAACGGTATTTCAATAAATCTATGTATTTATATATATAAATATGCATGCAAATATTAGTGCCGATTTTAAAAGGTAAAATTTGTCTCAGTCGGTGAAAGTATACAACTGCGATGTGTAATTATTTTAACCTATCGATATCATGACGCATATCGCATTGTAATTGATGTTGCGGTTAATTGCTTAAATGTGGTAAAAACTTCATAAAAATAAAGTTGATTTTTAGCGTATTTACGACATTTTTATTCAAAAAAAATGGTATTGCTACATGGCGATTTTCATGTGAAAATGGTATCGGTAATCAATCAATCAGATGTATAAATTTTAAAAATCAATTAATATTTATTATTCAATATCATGATTAAATTCATTTACATTTATTCGTTCACCAGATATCACTAAAATTTAACACCATAGGCGCAGTCACCCAACATCCCCGAATCCCAACTTTTCAGCATGTTTTTAACGCAATTTTCCAACACCATTTTGCTATATTCTTGAACTATTTACCGAAAACTGAAAGTTTCTTGGATTTCTATCAAAAATTCCTTCACCAAATGAACCAAACGTCACGGATGGAAATGTGCGCATACATATCTTGGATAACTTCGATATCGAAGTACATCTGTGAAACGATTCTTTAAGTTATTGTTAAATATCAGTGGCTACTTTAATCTGGCTTTGTTTAGAGCAAAAGACACGAGTGAGCGTCGTTTTACGTTATTATACATAAAAAACAGCTTGGCTGGCTTCGCACTCATTCAACACTGTAATTATTGAAATAAAACTAAACACCATAGAAATTCGCTTGATCAATTTTGAGGTAGGAGTGAAAAATGTACCCATGTTAAATATTGTGTTAGTGGCATCGTAGAGATTTAGGTATCACTGTATTTAAGTGTGATTTCGTTTATCCTTCTTATACATGTAACTTCTTCTGCTTTCTTCAATAAATTCAATCAAACTAATTTGTTTCAATAAATATTGTGTTTGATTTGCATTTTGAGGGGCGATAACATTGATCCCACAGATTTTTAAAATAAATAGAAGCAATAGTTTTCTAATATGGCTGGGCATTTTCGAATACCCGACGATTTCAGAATCAAATCGGATATTGTTTTCGAATCTCAAATACTGAAAAGATATTCCATTCCATGTGATTTTTTATTGTGATGGGTCAACCAGACCAGATAAATTAATGAAAACATGGAATCCATCACTCAGACAATTTGCTGAGTGTTCGCACACAATAAGAAACTTATTCCAATAATAACTAATTAGGAAGGGTATAGTGTCCTATGCCCGAATTGTATTTCCAAAATATGGCTTCACTGCGAAAATTGAGGAACTTACCTCAACCTTTGGCGACCAAATATAAAACAAGATGGCGGCGATTCGAAATTTTCGTTTCAATATATTCGATTAGATGTGCCTAGCCCAACCTTCTAGCGACAACAACAGGCTTAGATCAGTAGTTCAAGAGAAAATCGTCTTTTTCACAACAACAACAAAATAATAAAACAAAAATGATCCATGGGTCCATTTCGTATCCAATATTAAACATCGTTACCATAGAATAGTGAAGGCAACATTATGCAGTCAATATGGTACATGCGTGGTGTCATTTCAATACATTTTTATCACGTGAATTTCAGTCTAGAAATTCAAGCCATCATTTCGTGTTGAGTAATATGCTTTGGGAAACAAATTCGTAAATATGTCTTACTATGGAAGCGAAGATAAGGCTCAAATAAGAAGGAATACAATTCCCAAGGTACAATATCTACCTGTACCGTCACTGTAAATGCATCAGTTTTGGTAGCATTAAACGTTTCAATGGTCGTTTGCAAAGTTCGATTTCGACGCGGAAAACAATTATCATCCATCGACCCGAGTATAAATTGCTCCAGGTGCGTTTTTGTTGTGATGTGTGGGTGATTTAGCAGGTAAGCCCAACATGCAGCATTGAAGCAAACAGGGAAAATCCAAATCAAATACGTATAATATGGTCTTTTATACAGACCATACATAAGGGTGGAGTATACAAAGATGTTTGTACAAAGGAGTTTGTAAGACAAAACAACGTCTATAAATAGAGACACAACACAACATGAAGCGCACTGCATGTAAATATAGTGATAAAATTAAGAATTTGGATGTTAGTACAACAACATTGAGTGATGATAACGCATATTATAAATTGGGGGAATGGTCAAGTTTAAAGGGTGTGTATATATATGATATGCACCACTCGAGGGTGATAGTGTCAGTGGCGTAGCATCCACCCCCGCAACGCGGGGGGGGGGGGGGCTCACAGCGAAAAGGAGCCCCAAGCGGTTAAAATTTAGAAATTTAAGCCGCAAAACCAAAAGCTGCATTGCAAAAGCAGTAATGAATATCTTATAATGTCCATGTTAGTTTTGCTCAAATCGTTTTGTTACGTATCAATGCCGGAGGCGTCGATTTTCGGCGTCGTGTGGTTTGATCGCACCGGCCACCGGCACAATTACGAAGGCTGTCAGATTGATGTCGAAAGCAAAACCTCTTAGTGGCGCACAAAAACGAAGAATAAAGCGCAGAAGAGATTGAACGTATGAAAAAAATTAAAGTAACCAAAATAAACGAAATATTTAAACCAAAATTGAAACAATTAGGCTTGGGAATACCGAACGTAACTGAGGAGGAATTAAGCCTAGCACCGGTGGTATCGGTAGAAAACTAGATGCGTGTTCAATCTCCAAAAGTGATGGCGGCGGCGCGAATGAATTTTCTTCCAAAACTTACACGACAATTATCACGGGTAAGCTACTGATTTTTGAAGCAAATTGAAACAATTGATATGACGAAGAGGGTGGATGGGTTGCTAACACGAAAGCGCAAATTTCAGGTTACCATAGCCTTTTTATAGCGTCATGTTATGCTTTATACGAATACTTTATACGACGAAATAAAAAAAAACTTTGTTTTAGCTTATGTCCGAGAGTTTTAGGGTCATTAGTCATTTCCACAAAATATTTTTGTGGCGGGGGGGGGAGAGAGAGTCTTGCTACGCCACTGGATAGTGTTATAAGTGGTCTATAATAGATGTTTTGGCGAGAATGTGACCCGACATGTTATGGTGAAATGTGATAATGGCTAATGCTATGTGACAAATTCATCAAATTACTATGGCCTTACAGGTACTGGCAAGTTACTGTACCGCATATGGATATCGCGGAATCGATATTTTTTATTTTGCCCTGGTAAAAGAGAAGTGACTCGGATCACTTGGTATTTCAATTCATGTTGAAAGTGAAAGAAGAGGAATAGATCATTGACACAGGACATGGAAAGGCTATGGCAGTCCATGTAGGCTACCGTTATTTGTACCCCGATTCAGTTGCTGGTAAGGTAACGCATATCATTTTGGGAAGTTTTTTATGGGAAATGTTTGACTGGGTGACCGTGCATTTGAACCCACGTACGTTTGAACTCATACATTTGCACCCGTATATCCGCTGGTTCAATCTATATGAGGGTGCTAAAATCCAGGGTTAGTATGGGTTCAAATATCCGTAAAAAAATTCTATAGGTGCAATTGTCGTGGATTCAAATTAAGGGTTCAAATGTAAGTGGGTTCAAATGTAATGAAACCGTTTGACTGCGGTACAGTACCTGATCCGGTAACACAGAAGTGACTCGGATCACGTGATATTTCAATTGGTGTTTAAACATAATCAAGAAGAAAGGATCATTGTCACAGGACCTGAAAAAGCTATGACAGTCCCTGTACTGTCACGGTACCTCGATACATGTACTGGTAAGTCACCGCATATGATTTTTAGGGAATTGCTTCGCGTGTCCATATATTTGAGCATTGCTCTCTTGTTTCAGAAATGGAATGTTAATTTTATTTATCAGTAATGTTTCATTTATCAGTAATTTGGCCTCGTACCCTATCACACTAGAGACAATTATTATGGTGTCGGGTTTCCTGGTGCCATACCGTTTTACTACGAATTTGAATTTCTTGTTTTCAAATTCAATTCACTGTCCAATCTACTTGCGTGATAAGCGTACACAAACTGCCTTTGACTAAAATTCCACGTAATTCAAAAATTCTTTAATCGCGTCATAATACATTTTACATAACATGAATGGCATAATATTATGACACCATTATCAATTTTCAAGGCGGCACTGTTGAAAAGTGTCTCACAAATGGTATAGCCTAGCCTAGGGCTATCGCATCGTCTAAATCCGACCCTGATTGCAGTGGAAGGGTCTTATTACAACAACTAAATAGCAATAATGAAAACTTGAGAGCTGTTCACCGTTGGCGCTGACAGAGGCAGCTAATATGGAGAGAACACATTTTGTAATATCGTTTCAATAATCCTTCCCCCTGATGGAATTTGAATGGGAATAGTAATCGCGATGAGGGGGATTCTTTGGCACTAATGGCTATCACGCACACTAGATAAAAAAAATCTGATCAAATGAAATGGGAGGAACTTGTAACGCAAATGCGGATTTCAAATTGCGCTCAGTGATAGTTGTGGGGTGATGTCCCATCAGTGTAAAAACTAGTCGGTATCAGGAAGTCTTGCATGTTTTGTCGAAGACTTATATTGACGGTATTTCACGTAGTGGCGAAACATATGATCTAATGGGCTTTAGCGAAATGTTTTTACTTTTAAATGTAAGATAAAATTGTCCATTTTTATAATGTGTATAAAAGCGATCGCAACAAATTAGCAAAACAAAGATCGGATTACGGTTGCTGAATTTTGTTTCACTGAAAGTTGGGAAGCTTCAGGCTACATTTTGTTATAGTAGTCATGCGTATATAGGTTTTGAACCGCAAGTGTTTTATCATCTATGTCTATGTCGTTATGAGAGAAAAATTCACTGACCAATGTTCAAATACAGTAGCATATGAAATAGTCATATTTGTTCCTGAGATTTCTGTTTGCTGAGTTGAATAAAGAGATATTGTTCGTGATACTAAATATTTTAAAGCACAGAAAAGTTAATCCTGCCATGAGAAATGAGTTTCCTGCCTAACCTCTTCTTAATTTTGTCTGTTCTGCTGATTGGCCTAAATTTCGATCCCATTGTGCGACAGGAGCCTGATGCCGTATACGATTTTATTGTCGGTAAGTACCTAGTGTTCCAACAACAAGTTTTTTTTTTGACTCATAGGCTAGGGAATCGAGCTCCTTCAAATTATTCACCTACAAATATTACAAAGTAGTTATTTATATATAAATAAAATTCTTCAATATACATTGATTATAATGATTAAATCTAATCTATTTTTATGTTTTAGTTGGATCTGGGCCTGGAGGAGCAACAGTGGCTAGTAGATTATCAGAGATCCCAGATGTGAAGTAAGTAGTTTTGGTGGTTATTTATCATCTTTTATTTTTCATAGACCCGATTGATACATTTCGCAATTTAGAACACGCATCCTGAAAGAAATAGATCTAATGATTCGTACTTAGTCCGTGATGTCGACTCTGTCATCAATATCCACCAAAATTATTGGCTCCTGTCAGATATATCGATTGTCAGCAATGTTGTTTATACACTGAATAACAGATCAAGATATTAAACATTTCTGCATATATCAGGATTCGACGAATAATTCACAAATTCATCTATTGCCGACTGAGTCGATACATTAGAGTTAGACATTGCCGATAGAGTCGTCTTGAGTGAATTAGCGAACTCTTACTTATTAATAAGGTAATTAACTTTGAACCTTTTCAGAATTTTACTGCTGGAAGCTGGAGAAAGCGATTTAAATAATCCGCAAATACAGATCCCAACTCGAGCGTATGAACTTGACCAAACTGATATAGACTGGAAATATGAAACCGAAGCAATCTCACAACCACCATTTTCTGACCGGGTAAGTTTCTACTAAAACAGCGTGAACGCCAACAAAATTATTTAATCAGGACATAATCAGAAGTTGGTTATGCATCTGGAAATTTAATTTGGAACTGCCGAATTCAGACGAAATGGCTATCCAGAATTATCTAAACGATATATACCACCAAGACGCTGAAAAAATTTGTTGTATTTTATTGAATACATAACTGATTTTGTAGAAATATTTGAAGATAGAGCAATGCTCAAAAATATAAACATGAAGGCCAAAACGCAATAGTACGAATCCCATAAAAACCAAAGAAATTTTAAAAATAAATATAAGTAATACAATAATAAATAAATATAACACAATCATTAAACCAATGAAAATTTCAAAGCAAATGGTCGAATAGTTGAAGAGAAAAGCTATTGTTTCATAACAATAAGAAGAAAAAAAGCAAACAAGAACAACAGCAACATAATAAACAAAACGACCCATAGGTCTATTTCGTGTCCAAAAATATGTAAATATCATAAAATAATCATCATCGATTGGTTGCTAATTTGCTATCGGGCTTATTTATAGTAAGTAAGTATTGCTGATGGACCATTTATTTATGAATGTAAAGACGCGAACAAGTAAACAGATGCGTTATCTCCGACAATTGTTTATTTTTAGTGTATGCCTTTGGTATACGTTTTCGTGTACTATAGTCGTTTGCGGTTATTTGAAATATATAGAATACTTGCTAAAGACGTGCCTAGAAAACGCCCTGCAGTCGAGACAAAACGCGAGCAGAAGTGTGTTGAAACGATAAGTGTAACTAAAAGGCTATGACTTTTCTGCCTTGTACACCTTCATACTTTATATACAAGGACGCGTAGGCGCTGAACTAAAAAAATATGAAAAGGGAATATCTGCTGAATTGAGAGAGTAATATTATCGAATATTGACAAAAATATGACGATATCTACCGTACATAATACGTGAGGCATTTTATGAATCAATCGGGTGAGCTGTGATTGTCTTGATATACTTGCGAAAAAATATTTTTTTTTTTGAATACTCCATTTTCTTTCATCTGTCAGAGTTTTCAAATGCCAAGAGGAAAAACCCTTGGAGGTACGAGTTCAATAAACTACAACGTCTATATGAGAGGTTCACCGCATGATTTTGATTCCTGGGAAGACTCGGGAGCTGCAGGATGGGGATGGAATAATGTTGAACCTTATTTTCGTAAAGTGGAAAACGCAACAATGGATGAAATGTCCGCTAATTTAGGAAGAAATGGAAATTTAAAATTATCTAGAAATCACAATAAGCCATCCGTAGCCTGGACTTTTATAAAAAACGCGGCTTCCGAACTAGGTGAGGTGCTGAAGTATGACTCAAAGAAGTGATATTCTATTATTAATATTAGCCACTTTGATTGAATTTCGGCTAAAATCGTTCGTTGAAATTGATATATATCGATCAAAAAATCTGTACAATTAATTGGAACTGGAATTAATTGACAGAGCAGAGCAGAATAAATACTTAGGTAAAGAGAAACACCTTTGTCCAAAATATTTCTGACATAATGTGTTGCCATATATTTGCACAAATTAGCAAAATTTTGAGTGAATGCTATGCAACTAGGCATTGAAATGGATTTTCTTTTCCATTAAACATTTCCAATGTTTTCAAATGTATAGCAAGCGATTACGAAAACGGTTTCTCATTTTTGAAGGTATAAAAACAACTGATTACAATGATGATATGTTGGGAATCAGTCCAGTAACATTCACGATACACGAAGGAATAAGACAGAATTCGGTGACTGCATATATACGGCCAATACATAAAGAGCGGTAATGTTCCTTTTTGTCATATATATATAGGAAGTTAGGAACTATTAGGTAACACTTCGCTCCTCTCTATGCATAACTAAAAAAATGAATTACGTTGCCCTACATCACACCTTCTCTCTGTTCCAGGCAAAACAGACTACACATTGTAACAGGGGCTCTAGTTTCGAAAGTTCTGATAGACAATGATTCTCAATTCGGTCCTAAAGCATATGGGGTTGAGTATTTAAAAAACGGCAAATATCACACCGTACGAGCCCGCAAAGAAGTTATTATTTCAGCTGGAGCGATAGGAACGCCGCAAATTCTACTATTGTCCGGCATTGGCCCAAAAAATGACTTACGAGATCTAGAAGTAAGTGTTTTTTTATTATACCATAACATCATTACCAAACTTATATTTATGTGAACTGCCTGATTTTTACTATTTTCCATATTAGTAATCAGTAATTAATGTTTTTGTTCACAGATTCCAGTGATCAAGGACCTACCGGGAGTTGGTTTGAACTTGGAAAATCATTTGTCAATTAATGCTAACTTTATGACGAATCTAACCAATCCACCACCGGTTTGCTCATAATAAAATGTTCTGAATATAATCCTTTAAATTTTAATAAATCACAATTAAATAAGAAGAATGCGCATATACAACATCTTGAAAACATTTCTCACAACAACAGCAATTTAGCTAAATGATCCATATGTCCACTTTGTGTCCGATAAAAAAATGGTAATATAACGTAGTGGTGAACGAGATACAGAGTAAATATAAAAATGAAATGACAAGAGAGCAATGGTCAAATATACGAAGGCCTAAACGAAGCAACATTCAATCTTTTACATTACCAGTAGGCTGACCACCAGATCGCTGAAGTGCGATCACGGAACCACGGCACTGTGCGAAACTTTTGATTTTGATGACGCCATCACACACAAAATTTAAAGCGAAAAACGAGTCCCGTAGAGCCCACAAAAATTTTTGAAATAAATAAAAAAGATAGCCTTCTAGTGACAACAATTATCATTAACCACCGAAAATTCCGAAGCAATTGGTCCAGTAACCAATGAAAATATCGATTTTTCACAACAAGAGGAAAAATACGAAATGACAAAACGATCCATTGGTTCTCTTTGTGCCCAATTATCGTTTTCGTTGCGTTTAATTTCCACTAAAAATTGTTGATGAATCTGTGATAAATATATATTCAGACTGGTCCCTACGCGGATAGAATATTACCAGTACAAAATAAAAGTACTGTACGAAGTTTACACCTTCCATTTCTAATTATCAGGAGATGGAACCTGTTGTACAGTATATACTGAACGGAAACGGACCTATGAGTATGTTTCCATACTCTGCTGTTTTTGTAAAACTACCCCTGAATGGCACGTCGACAAGCTTAAATGAAAGGTTAGTTGACAGATTGTTGATTTTGAAACATTGGAACTGAGCTCAATTGAACAGAAGGCATCTCAAATTTTATACGTCTCATAAATATACATATACATCGAGCATAGCTGGCATATACGGTCAAGTAGTGAAAGTTGTTCTCACATTTTTAGAGCGCGGTGTAATTTTACTAAACGGCTGTTGAAAGCCTACGAGAGTTGACAATAAATCGGATTAAACGCATGTAATATGCAGCTAAAGCCTTGAAAGCTAGTTGACATGAATCAATTTTAAAACTCAACAAATGTTGCCTCTCGTTCGTTTATTTCTCCCAGTCGGTGACCGTACATTTAACCCATGTACATTTGAACCCATGCGTATATCCACGGGTTCAATCTATATGCGGGTGCTTAAACCCATGGGTTAGGGTTAGTATGGGTTTAACTATCCGTGAAACAAAAAAAATTCCATAGGTGCAATAGCATACAGGTGCAATTGTCATGGGTTCAAATGTACGTGGGTTCAAATGTAATGGAACCCTCCCAGTCTCTTATAGGTGTTCATTTTTGAAATGCGAGTATACCAATTCAAATTTAGACGTGATTGTGGTGTTATAGAATAGACCTAATATGAGTTGATTCGGTGTAGGCTACATCAACACTGTATCACTTGATCGCGTATGTATATAAATGTGTGTTTGGCTACAAGTATTTGCATCTGCATTTGTATATGACGAAGAATACAAATGAATGTTTGTCAGCTTCATATGATATCCTTACACGACATTTATTGTTGGTGAATACATAATATTAAACGACATCATTCTAAACAGTTCTATACATAACCGATTTCAGTACCGGCAATTTTAATCGAAACAGTCAGAATACCATTATTCGGTCTCAATTATATTTCAGAAGACGTCTGTTCCCTGATATCCTGCTTTTTGTTCAAGAAAGTCCAGCGGTTAGTAAATTTGAAAAGCTCATGTTATTAAAAATCAAAGTAGTGTCGAAATCGTAGGTAAGCCTATTTCCATACATTCACAATAAAATATGGTTAAATTCAGTTATTCACAGAGAAATGAACAATTCATTAAATAGTGATCGCCACACGACGTTGCGACTCTTGGATTTTTAGAGAATGTGTCAAACTCAATATCCATTATAGACGTGATAGGCTGTTAAGGGATTTTTCTGGAACATCTTGTTCAACAAGACGAGAGATTATGGCAATTCGAGTATATTTGTTATACACAATTGTATGATATATATTCCTTCTTCAAACTATGACATACCAATACATTCCAGTTACCAACTCTTCTCTACCTTGCCATGTTATTGCATCCTAAATCAAAAGGCAAGATCACATTGCGATCGAAAGATATACAGGATTATCCAGTCATCAACCCAAACTATTTGGAGCATGGAGATGATTTGCAAGTTCTCAAAGAAGGTAATACGATTAAATTTAATCTAAAGTACTAATATTTCCATATCTAATGAAAACCAATTTCATTTAATCTAGGAGAAAACTAATTCCCCTAATTATTTAATTCAAAATTCAAGTAAAAACGACTGCTTTTATGAATAGCTATTTCACCCCTTTGCATCGATTCAATTCTAACCAAGATTTATTTGTAATGTATTTTTCCGTTATTAACCACCATTAGCCTATCGTTTGATGGAAAAATTCGAGATGACGGCTGCATTTCAAAAAGCAGGAGCTCGAGTGATGATGCCTTCCATCTGCAATGTAACAGAAAACAAATATGCTCCAAGGTACGAGTATTATTTTGAGTCTCTTATTCGCAACTTTCAATGTTTTATGATGGTAAGTTTAATGTTAACTGTGTAACGAAATATTTAGATATGTGTTTATCTGTTCAGTTTGCTTGTATAAGACCCCCTCTAAAGCAGTGGCTAAATGCTGATTGGCGGGCGGCCAAAATTAGAAGCGGACGGATATTCGCGGGCCAAGAGGTGGGTACGCCGGCAAGTTGGCGATACCAGTACCGGTATCCATAATTGAGATACCGTATAATTGGACTGCTATGAATAATAAACTGTGATAATGACGTAACAATTGTCGGTATCTATAATGTAAAAAGAAAAAACATGAAGTGTTAAACTATTTCACTCAAGTTTGGAGGGCCATATTAAATCGTTACGCGGGCCGTGTTTGGCCCACTGGCCGCGGTTTCGGAATATCTGCTCTAAAGTATGTTTTTATTTCTGTATTACAGAAGTGACCGTTTTTATAATTGCCTTATTTGGGAAACAAGTGGCTCCGAGCATCACCAATGTTGCACTGCCAAAATGGGATCGAGCTCTGATGAATATGCTGTAGTGGATTCGAAACTGAGGTAAAATTCACGATAAATCTTTCATTTTCTTATGCATCATGAAATGTATACCATAGCAGATATATTAAATGCATAAAATGGCTCAATTATAATATCAACGAAAACTGTTTAAAATGTTTAATGAATACGTAACCATGACCGCACGAAATACCTGACTCGTATGAAATCCACTAATTCCTTTGCCTATAAAGTAAATATGTTGTTTCAGAGTGATTGGTGTTAAAGGTCTCCGCGTGGTTGATGCTTCAGTGTTTCCACATCAAACATCGTCAAATACTCAGGCATCAGTGTATATGGTCGCTGAAAAGGCAGCAGATTTGATAAAACAGACATGGCAACTTCGAACACTTTAACAACATATTTACGAATACTATACTTTGTATATACACTTATTCCTGCGTATGCGACTAGCATCAGAGTAGGCAATCAATTTGCTTTTTAAAAAATCTAAAAATCAAAAACGAAAATTCGACATTACTTGTTTTAGTGCAATGAGTTGGGTCGGTATATTGATTGACACTTTCTCTGTTGGTAAGAATCGAATTAATTGGATTTCTACGGGACAAAGTAGCAAGTACTATCGATCCTTATTTGCCCTTGCACCGGTGGATCCATATACTGTATGTTCTTATAATGCAAGAATGCTTTAGCGAGGATGAAAATGACTATTCAAGTGATTCAAGGGTCTCACTACAAACCAGCACAATATAATCTTGTAAACAAATTCCTCCGAACAACTTGCTCAGACAACATAATTCAGTTGAATTACAAACGCTATAGAAATATTTTTCACTTATTGCAGTGATTGAGATGTGTGAGAATTTCAAAGTGTTTCTCTCAAAAAAATACGATAATTGATCGGCAAACGATAGCCTCGTGTGTTGCCGGTATTGTATAACTCCATCTACCCGTGTGACTAGAACGAGGAGTGAATCGGTACAAACCTTCATCTCGCGAGAATAAAAAAAATACAATACTGGGTGCTACCAGTGCTGAACCAACCATTGAGCAATATAAATACGTGCTTGAGGCACCAAGGAAGAAGGGTACCACAAAAAATGTCATGGACGATTTTTCAATGGTGCCTTGGTGTTTAAAAAAAAACAATTCGAGTTGGTCAGACGACACAGACCTCAATATTGGCCCGGTTGAATTAAAATTTCAATCGATGTTTGTAAGTATGACCCTGTTCCAAAAAATCATGCAAATTTTTTGACCGATTGGACGATATCTATTTTAATAAAGTATCAAACCTTGATTGATGAAGAGTTGGTAATCAAAATACAAGGCCTATAAACAATTTCATGTCGGTATCGGAAAGAAGTTTGTTTAGTCAGTCTAATGTCACGGCACGTCACTGCCAAGTGATGGTGCAATAATGATATAAATGGCAAAATATTCGAGACGGAATATCCAGCTTTATGGCGCCAAAATAACAGTAATAGTCTGATTTGAAAATGAATATTTCATTAATTTCGGAGAAATGCGTTTATGTAAACATCAACAACAATTTAGCAAAACTAATCACGATGTGTGCATTCCGTGTCCTAAAAAGAATCGTCATTGTACGATGATAAACAACATGGAGCGAAAGATTTAAAAATCGTTATTGGAAGTTGGTAAAAATGATTGAAAAAGGTTTCCTTTATGCTGATTTTTGTCAGTGTATCAGATGCAAAATTAGAATTGTTAAGGACCTACGCGATCCATTACTTGAAAATTCGAAATGTTTAGATCAGGATCGTCCAACCCGTGGCCCGCCTTAGGTTTCCGAGTGGGCCGCGCGGTATTATTCCAATGTCTTTCACAAATCTAGGCCTCCTAGTTGCCGGTGAACGACAGGCTTCTTCAACACAATGATGAAATTGAAAGGCTGTGAATAATCAATGATGAAGTTGAAAGGCTGTGAATAATCTTTAACCTAATGAAGCTATGCTGTATAGATATTCGAAATGTTCTTGCCAATACCTTTGTTACAGGCGCAAACAGGAATGGTTTACTGACTTTATTCAGGCCATTATCTTTGCGATATGTCAGAGCATCGTTTAGTTTCTCCCATATAAACGCTATTTGTTAGGAATTAGTTTGGCCGCATATTTGGGAATTCTGTTATCTTTAGCTTGGCAGCATTTAATGGTCTCGTCCGTTTGGTCATCTTCACCCTAAAAACAAAATATGCTCATCAGAATAATTTAACAGTTTTACAATAATAATTAATGATATTTCATTTGAAAAGAGACAGAAAATATACACATATTACTATATCCATAATTAAAAACGAATGTAGGAATTACCCTGTTTTTACTATTTGGGGTTGTTTTTTCTCGTAGACACGTTTCAAAAATGAATGATAATTTTCAGTAATTGGGCGATTTTAATGATGTCGGGTTTTCTGGTGCCATTCTCAAATTCAATCTACTGGTGTGATTGGCGTACATATCTCGTCTTTAACTAAAATTTCTTGCGATTCAAAAAATAATTTATTGCTTCATAATACATTTTTCATAACGTGAATGGCATATTATGACACCATTGTCCATGGCGTCACTGTTTAACTCTTTGAACTCGTTCGCAATTGGGCGTTCGCAGCTTGAGATCAGATTGTGCCATTGATTCATTAGTAGAATCATATCGTTGGCGGCGGATAAAAGCTCTATATTTGAAGCTCTATCTTGACTGAACATAGATAAAATTTGAAGGCCATCCTATATACCTTTAATATCTGAACATGGGACGAAAATGACTGGCCAAACTAAAAAATCTGATCACCACGTGTTTATGGGGTTCCGCCGGAAACATCAAGGCTAATTTTTGGATATCATCAAAATCACAAACAACTTTCATCAACGAGAACTTGGGAGACATGATGGCACCGGTAACTCACCTGATCGAGAATTTCGTCAGATTCTGAAGTAAACGGTATAAATAAACCGAATGAATTGAACGTTCGGCATGAGATTTACAGGCCACAAAGGCCAGTAGAAACAAGAGGTGTGTTGTTTGCCGAAAGGTACATAGGATGGCAAAAAAGGCAACCCCAATACTCTCAACAAAGATTTGCCGAGGCACAGCAAAATGCTGTTTAAATGTGCTCATTGCGACGTTTTCCTCTATATAAAAGATGAAGACGAAAATCATTGGTATGATTGGCGCAATGAGGTTCAGTATTGTTGTTGAACAATGCATTTAGCGATTTATTCACATTTATTTCATCATTCCTTAGACATCTTCATTTTTGTTATTCCTTTTGGGGGGGGGTAAGCGTATTTGGCGCCGAAAATGTAAAGCGGCATGAAATTCGCTAGGTGGCGACAAATTTGCGTAACGTCACTGCATAACACGTGATTGCGTAACATCGTTGTTTAGTTCAAGTTGGCGCAATGGTTATTTGGCGTCGAGGTAAATATTGAATGAAATGCTTATAAAATACGCTGTCGATAATGTAATAGGTTAAATCGATAACAAAACGAATAAATTGATGGAATTTTGGACCATTTAAAAAAGAAATTATGTTTTTTAATTTTACTAATTTCCATAAGATAACCGCAACATGCTATTTTAATTTTAAAACTATAATTAGTATTCAAGATTATCTTTCACATGATGTAAAACTTGTCTTAATATAATTTAGGGATCGTGTGATACGAAGTTTCAAGTTGCATTCCTCGTACGTGATGCCGAAGTCGCAAAAACGCCTTCAGGGTTTAGAAGACGTTCTCCGGAAAACCGCAAAAGCGACTTATAGGGTTCAAAAAGTTAAATGTGCTTTAAAAATGACATAGCCTATCCTAGGGCTATCGCATCGTCTAAATCCGACCCTGATTTTGGTAGTAGGGTCATATTACGGCAACTAAATAGCAATAATGAAAAGTCGAGAGTGGTTTATCTTTGGCGCTGACAGATCCAGGTAATGGAGAGTACACATTTTGTGATGTCGTTTCCATCAGTCCTTCATCGCTGAGGCAATTTATATTGAGTAGTACGCACAATGAGGCATTTGACCCCAATAGCTACCAGGAAAACCAGATAAGAGAAAAATCGGTTCCATTACATTTGAACCCACGACGATTGCATCTGCATACTATTGCACCTACAGAAATTTTTTTTGTTTTACGGATATTTGAACCCATACTAACCTAACCCATGGGTTTTAGCACCCGCACAAAGATTGAACCCGCGGATATACACATGGGTTCAAATGTACGTGAGTTCAAATGTACGGTCACCGAAAAATCTAATCAATTAAAATGGGAGGAACTTGTAACGCAAATTTGGATTTTAAATTGCGCTCAGTGATAGCTGTGGTGATGTCCCTTGGTGGTGATGTAAATCTTGGGAGGTTTTGTCGAAATATTAATGACGGTATTTCACGTGCTGGCGCAAAGTATTCTCCAATGGGTTTTAGCTTCTTCTTCCCTATCTTTGAATGTGAGATGGAATCGTCCATTTATATAATGTGTATAAAAGCGATCGCAACGAATTAGCAAAACAATTGATCGTTTGTACGAGGTACGACACGTAAGATTACGGTTGCCGAATTTCGCCTCACTGAAAGTTGGGAAGTTTCAGCAAGTGTTATCAACGATTTTTCTGTCGTTATCAGAGCTGAATTCACTGATCAATGTTCAAATAGGGTAGCATAGAATAGACAAATCATATTTTGGTCCTGAGATTTCTGTTTGCAGAGTTGAATGATCAGATATCGATAATTTGGATAACTTAATGTAGATTTTAGATGCAATATCATTATCCTTGCCTCCAATAATTCAAGTACCTGGCGTACGTTAATCTTATGTCTAATTTGGAAAGTGGTTTCAGTCGTAAATTATAATACTTAAAAAGAAAATTGTCATAACCTGTAAATGGGAACAGAGGATGATCAGTCGCAGACGGCAAATAACACCAGAAGAGCCCTTTTTGCCCAAACTATTGCGCAAGTAATTTGGGTAAATGTTGACTTATTTCACTGCTACAGAGCAAGGTTCATTGTTGGGCAGAGATAATACTTAAAAACTCACGTGACGTCGACCCCAGATTTACCTTACGAACTGTAATACATGAAGTATTTGAATTTTGACGTGTGAGACATTGATTTGTCTGACCGTCGTATATTGCAAAGATGCTGTATAGCCAAAGTGAAGATGACTATTCAAGAGATCCAAGTCTTACTGCACAGTGCACACCAGCACAAATTTAATCCTGTAACCAAATTTCTCAAACAAACTTGCTCAGACAACATAATTCAGTTGAATTACAAACGGTATAGCATATTTTTCATTTATTCCGCTGTAGCAAACAACGTTATGGTAGGCTGTACATGTAGCATACATACATAATTGTGATATATGAGAATTCAAAAATGTTTTTCTCAGAAAAGACGTTAATTAATCTGCGAACGATAGGATCGTGTGTTGCCGGTACTGTATAACTTCACCTGTCCATGTGACCAGAACGAGTCGTGGATTGTGATAC